TAGACCCTCACACAGCGGGAGTCCTAGAAGGCCACATTCATGATAGGAGATGAACAACTGAACAATGTTTAAGACACCCCTACACAGCGGGAGTCCTGGAAGGCCACATTCATGATAGAAGATGTGCAACGAAACCCTGTTTAAGACACACCTACACAGCGGAAGTCCTGGAAGGCCACATTCATGATGGGAGACGGTCAACTGAACAATGTTTGAGACACCCCTACACAGTGGGAGTCCTGGAAGGCCACATTCATGATCGAAGATGGTCAACTGAACAATGTTTGAGACACCCCTACACAGCGGGAGTCCTGGAAGGCCACATTCATGATAGAAGATGTGCAACGAAACCCTGTTTAAGACACTCCTACACAGCGGGAGTCCTGGAAGGCCACATTTGATGACAGAAGATGTGCAACCAACCCCAGTTTAAGACACCCCTACACAGCGGGAGTCCTGGAAGGCCACATTCATGATAGAAGATGTGCAACGAAATCCTGTTTAAGACACACCTACACAGCGGGAGTCCTGGAAGGCCACATTCATGATGGGAGACAGTCAACTGAACAATGTTTGAGACACCCCTACACAGTGGGAGTCCTGGAAGGCCACATTCATGATGTGAGATGGTCAACCAAATCATGGTTGAGACACCACTACACAGCGGGAGTCCTGGAAGGCCACATTCATGATGTGAGACGGTCAACCAAATCATGGTTGAGACACCCCCACAAAGTGGGAGTCCTGGAAGGCCACATTCATGATGTGAGCAGGTCAACCAAATCATGGTTGAGACACCCCCACAAAGCGGGAGTCCTGGAAGGCCACATTCATGATGTGAGACGGTCAACCAAATCATGGTTGAGACACCCCCACAAAGCGGGAGTCCTGGAAGGCCACATTCATGATGTGAGACGGTCAACCAAATCATGGTTGAGACACCCCCACAAAGCGGGAGTCCTGGAAGGCCACATTCATGATGTGAGACGGTCAACCAAATCATGGTTGAGACACCACTACACAGCGGGAGTCCTGGAAGGCCACATTCATGATCGAAGATGGTCAACTGAACAACGTTTGAGACACCCCTACACAGCGGGAGTCCTGGAAGGCCACATTCATGATCGAAGATGTGCAACGAAACCCTGTTTGAGACATTCCTACACAGCGGGAGTCCTGGAAGGCCACATTCATGATCGAAGACTGTGCAACGAAACCCTGTTTGAGACATTCCTACACAGCGGGAGTCCTGGAAGGCCACATTCATGATTGAAGATGTGCAACCAAATCATGGTTGAGACACCACTACACAGTGGGAGTCCTGGAAGGCCACATTCATGATGTGAGATGGTCAACCAAATCATGGTTGAGACACCCCTACACAGTGGGAGTCCTGGAAGGCCACATTCATGATGTGAGATGGTCAACCAAATCATGATTGAGACATCCCTACACAGCGGGAGTCCTGGAAGGCCACATTCATGATTGAAGATGTGCAACCAAATCATGGTTGAGACACCCCTACACAGTGGGAGTCCTGGAAGGCCACATTCATGATGGGAGACGGTCAACCAAATCATGGTTGAGACACCACTACACAGTGGGAGTCCTGGAAGGCCACATTCATGATTGAAGATGTGCAACCAAATCATGGTTGAGACACCCCTACACAGTGGGAGTCCTGGAAGGCCACATTCATGATGGGAGACGGTCAACCAAATCATGGTTGAGACACCACTACACAGTGGGAGTCCTGGAAGGCCACATTCATGATTGAAGATGTGCAACCAAATCATGGTTGAGACACCACTACACAGTGGGAGTCCTGGAAGGCCACATTCATGATTGAAGATGTGCAACCAAATCATGGTTGAGACACCCCTACACAGCGGGAGTCCTGGAAGGCCACATTTTGAATAATGAAGGGTGTATATAGTGGTGAAAAGTCAATCCTAGCAATCCTAGGAGGCCCCATAACTAACCCTCAAGACCTCACTGTAGGATACCAGTTTGACTCATATCACAATAGCAAGCTTACATAATAATACACTCATATATCACACCATGTCTGAACTGATTCCAGTGACTCCATTCTAATTCCAAATTGCAAAATATGAGAGGTTGATTTCAAAAAGTCTGACATTTGTATATTTGTGCAACATAGGGGTTGATTTTACGCAAATCTGACATTTGCATATTTGCGCAATATGAGGGGTCGATTTTGCGCAAATCTGACACTTGCATATTTGCACAATATGAGGGGTCAAGTTTGCACAAATCTGACATTTGCATATTTGCGCAATATGGGGGGTCCATTTCACGCAAATCTGACATGTGCATATTTGCGCAATATGGGGGGTCCATTTCACGCAAATCTGACATTTGCATATTTGCGCAATATGGGGGGTCAATTTTGCGCAAATCTGACATGTGCATATTTGCGCAATATGGCTGTTTTAGATATACCATAACCCAGCCTTAACTCTAATGGACTTGCAAAATCATGGGTAGAATCGAGTTGTACAGGGCATTATTGAATAAACCAATATTGAACCCTTGGTCTTGCGCTAAGCGATCATGCCATTCACGGCGCACAAATCCCGCGTAGCGAAGCAGAGCCTTTTCTCCTCGCGGACGCATGCGATGCTCATGGTTGGTAATGAGCGTGAAAAATAACGCTAAAGCCTGCTGATGCTTTTGCGGCCAATTGTTCTTTTCGATGTGAACGAGAAAGCTGGTCTTTGCGAGGTTGAATTGCCGCCAAGATAGGTCGTGGTCCTGTAGAGCCTTCTGAGAAGCTTTGAAAGACGCTATCGTCTTGAGGGCGACTATACCATCCACTTTGGCGAAGCCAAAAGCATCATCTGAGTCTGATGTGGACCTAGAGGTGGTGGCAGCCTCGTGGCAACCGTCAGGACTGAAGTACCATAATTCTACGTACTCCATGTTCTTGACCTTTTGGATGGCATACTGGGATGGGCGAGGTATGATAACGTCTGCGACAACGGCCCCATCATCAAAATCGTTAATCTTGGGCTTTTTCTTCTCAGCTTCGCGTCTCTCTAACTGTTCCTCAGCCTCTTTTTCGGCTCTCTCGCGCTCTAGCTGTTCTTGCAAGGTGCGGGCGTCTTCCTCATTCTGTTGCTGCCAAAGGAGGATGCGCTCCTGGCGCTCGAGTCTCCAGCCCACAGCCATTTGCTCGAGTGCATCTTCTCTGGCTATGCCCCCTGCCACAAGGGCATTGAGCCATCCCGCGTACGCTGCTGACTCGAAATTGGGCTGCGCTTCCAGCGCTGGGTCCGCTAAGATGCGTTCCATGGTAGGCTGGGTGAATTCGGAGTGTTTGCTAAGAGTGTGTTTTGAGAAATTGACTGGGTGTTTCTGAGAGTGATAGAAAGAGCAGAAGGAATGTAGAAAAGAAAAGGAGGAAGAACGTTGTCGTTGAGGACGACTGAGACGATACGGCGCGACGTCACAGTACGAAGTCAGAAGGTTCATACTGCTTCCGACGCTTGCGCAAAGACTTAATTCTGTTCCTACACTCGTTCCTCGTTACATAATAGACTATCAATAGATACAACCTTTGCGCCACTACAACTTGTGCCAGTCGGCCAAGTGTGTTAGAGTCCAAAGTTGCGCTGTTTGAATTATTGTTGGTCGTATTTGGTCTGTGTGGCGGCACTCGGATGTACTCTCAACACACTGCCGATGGTTTGGAGTCTGGATGGTTACCTGATGTCGGGATTTCCCAAATGAACGGCTTGGTATTACATAATGTCAGTGATCGTCTACCACCATCAAGAACAATCACATCCACATCACGCCACAGTAGTCAAGGTCACCCTTGGCATCTTCTGCTTGAAACGATCCGTGTAAAATACGGTATGATTTGACATGAGGTTCTGTCTCCCATTCCCAGCATACATCCGCCGGTATCGTCTATCATAATGTTTACGATGTCAAACTCGGGCGCTCAGTTGTAAAGGTAACGATGCTGCGTGACATGATCCCAGGACTCCCATTACTGCGCATGCATGACACTGCTGCGCCACATCAAATTCGCTGAAGACACAGTACTATTGAAATGTTTTGGGCAGTGTACAAGCTTCTGATAACGCATCAGACGCCGAACAATACCCAGCTGCCACAACTTTGGAATTAAGTCTAGTACTCTGACGACTTTCTTTTCTTGGTTCTACACAGCAAATTCACACTGCTAGCTAGGGTAGTGGTTACCCATTGCTAGTACGCTCACAGCCAGCACCAGCGCGATGGGTAATGTAGTTCCGTTACTTTAAGAAGGAAATCCGCAGGCCTAAACTATTGAATTTACAGGATGTACAACCCCCGTGTATGCATCTGTCGCTTGCACAGCAATTATCTGTCGAGCAGGTACTTCTTACCGCTCCCGTTTTGTGCAGCTGGGTTCTAAAGGTAGCGCTCACTCATCAACACAGCCATTACACTTGTCTTGCACCACTGCCTGTCAAGTACTGATCTACGATCCAAGGAGAGACACAAAGCTCTTGTTACTGCTCCTATGGATAGTTCTCGATCTGTTCCTCGAAGGCAGTGACCGTTGGCATCAGGTGAGTCCCTGAATTGTGATGGCAACTGGTGCTTCAAGGTGTTTAGGATGTCAATTAATTCGTTGGGCTCATTGTTCAGGCTCACTCCCACATCGTACTATCTATGAGATTCTGTTACGTTCATACTGTGAGTTTCCCATCGCTCTCAAGTCAGTATTCTCACTGAAAATCACCTGAATCAAGTAACATCGAGTTCCTGTGGACTATTTCGGAACAAGCGCTGAACTAGCGATATGCATGGATAGCCAAGATAAGAATTCTGGATAGCTGCCTAGTACAGCTTCTTGGCAGCAACATCCTTAAGAACAGTCTTCTTGAATCCCTCTGCGCTTTCGAACGGCTACCAAAGACGTGCTATCAAGTGCACTCTGCCCTATTGACGGAAGTCAACTTGCCCATGCACGATATAAATAGTGAGTTCGATGGCTCGCAATGATTTATGCTCACTATTCTCTCAGGGATCCTATTTTTCTTACTCCTGCTCCCATTTCTCAAAGGGACATACGCCAGCAACATCAATATTACCGATTGTTTTGTCAATTTCAGGTCTAATGCGAACCAAAGCCTCGATCCGTCAGGATTGGTGAATGGCAATGGCGGAAATGTCTTATCCTCGGACATCATGTCCGCAGTTGGATTCACGTACGAGACGTGTCTCTCGCAGTGCGGCTCTGGAACACAGAATCCCACCTGGGCAAACATATCACAACAGTTCGGTGCCTGGCTATTGCCTTACCTTGCGCTCATTTCTCAGTTGCCTTTCGGTGCCAGACATAGAGTTGACAATCTCATGTCTGCCATCCTCACAGTCGGATCACCGGTTCTCGCTGGTTACTCGATGATCCTCACCATTCTCAACGCCAACTGGATCAGTCGTCGGTTCGAAGACATATCCTTCCCTAATACTAAAGACGCTGTCCGTATCCTTATAAGCCTTCAGCAAAGTCCACTGAGAATAACAAATGAGGACTCGCTGCTGAGCTCTCTCGTTGTCCTGCCACAGAATGATGAGTGGTGGCCGACCATTGCCGAGTTTCTCGACTACACTCATACCTGGTCCATCGCATCTGTGACATCCATTGGGTGGGTTGTTATCGCCTACCTGCTGACGGTCGCCAGCTCGCTATCGGACGTGCCCTCCAACATCAATTCCAACGGTCAAGGGACGGGATCGGTGTGGTTGTGGCTCATTCCAATCGTTATAGGTTGGCTGCAGCTGTCCCCGAAGTGCGATTATGCACGCGTTAGAAAGGCCATGGACAACGCAGATGCGATGGCATTTGTAGCCACCGATCATGAATATGTCGTAAAGGCATCAAATCTTTCGGAAAAGCGAGCAGTGTCCATCGATACCAACATGGAAAATCCTTCGTCTCCCGACGAAATGTTGACTCCGCCCGTTTATAACTATGCCAGAGCCATTTCATGGTCTCGGTCGGCAGAGGACGTTTTCGATGCTTTTCGAATAGCCTCTAGCAATGCCAGAATACACAGGCCGGTCATGATCGGTGCGACATGGATGAACACGAATAAGAGGAATTTTATTGAGCCCAGCAACAGGGAAGGAAACGCATCCGAAGTCAATGCTTACTGCAGACTTCCTCGATATGCGGTACGGAGCGCCTGGGCGACAGGGATGTTCTATCGCATGTTCGTGGCCTCACTGCTGCCTCTAGCTTTGCAATGGGCAACAACTGGATCTGCAGTACTAGTTGTGTATTTGACACCGACTGTGGTGAGCATAATTTAATGTGCGGTTATCTGCGCCTGTTGCTGACTAGCGGCACGCGACAGGGTCTTGGTTGCAGATCTCTCGGTTACCTCATCTATGGCGCACTTGCGACGATAGTATGGGCGATGCTCGTTATGTCGAGCATTCTGTCGCACTACGCATTCTCGTGTGCAGACAGACCCGGGAGTTCTTCCTCATACACTGTTATCCGTCTCGCAAAGGTAGCATCTAATCTTTTGAGGTGGGGAGGGAAATTGGTGGCAATCGTCAATGCACTCTGGATAATTGCGGCGGGGATGCTGCAGTTTACGAGTATCTATGATAATTGTTACTGCAACTCGAGTGTGTTGGGGAGAGGGGCCCAGTATGCATATGACATTGTCCTGCTCGATGGTGTAGATTTAAATCCGACCAAAGCCGCTTGGTTCGGAGCGTTGGCTTTGGCTGGGACTACCTGCTTGGGATTCATCTTTTACATGAGTCTATTAACTGATCTTGTACCTATATAAGGTCTCCGGCGACAATATACTACACTATACTTTCGTACCCATAACGGTTCATTCCATGAGTTGAGAATCAAAATGCATGATTAGCAGCATCTACCACCAGTAATATCGCTAGGAGTGTAATAGTGAGGTCCGCGAAAAGTCCGTGATAATTCCCCTACAAATATCCATGTCCACTGGTGATCAATCAAAAAAATGAACGACCACAGCAGTAGTAAGTAATGTATATATATGCAATAAAGTGAAACAACAAGAATTACGTAGGGACAAAGATCAGCACATAAAGAACAGTCATTTGATAGTTAGATCGGGCCATGTAGAATTGGCCGATCAGCTCGCTACAGATGCAAGGGGCTCCGTATACCCAACTTGATCACAGCACGTTACATGCTGTACAACAGGTGGAAAGATATAGATGGGACATCATCGTCACAAGGCATTGCCGCCACCTGTAACAACAGTAACAGGATCATTGTTCCCAAGTGGGCTAGGTCGTGTAGGATCCATGCTAGGGCCTCCTGTGATGCTCAGCCCTGCAGCTTCTAATAATGCAGTTTGCGATGTGTTAGATCTCTCTCTAGTTTGAGGCGCGGATTCATGCCCTGAGAAGTCGTGATAGGAAGACGATAGGGAATGTTGTGAGTAGTGCACGCCTGACGCTGAAGGGCCCATGACGTCGTTGATGATGTTGCTCAAGTCAATGTCCCCACCCGGTACCATGTGACCCATAAGCGTGCGACGTTCGGGATGATTGGGTGATCCTGAACTATCGCGCGGATCCCAGGGGGTATCATAATCAGAGTATCTTCCTGGAGGCGGACGTGCGGGATCAACGTCCTCGAGGTCCTCTCCTGCAAGCATTGTTGCTCTGACATGGGCTTGTCGTCTACGCACGTTGATAGAGTCGAGGAAGTGGAAGTGTTTAAAGCGTTGACGTTGGCGGTAAAAAAATACAGAGAGACCAATGATGAGGAATAGGCCTCCACCGATCACGGAGCCAGCGATAATGGCAGTGCGATCGGTTGCGCCTGTAGTGGTAGTTGAGGCTGTACTGATGACCGTAGGAATGAAAGTGACAGACTGATAGCGTATTAAAATGGAGTTCAGTTGATAAAACAGGCACGTACTGTTATGGTGGATGAACCTATGACTGTCACAAAAGATGAAGTGATTGTCGACGTCGTCTGGCCTCCATTTGTGAAAGTTGAAGTCGTTGAAGTCGGGTTGTTTTGAGTAGGTGATGGCGATGGTGATGGAGTGGTGGTGGTAGTGCTAGTGGTGGTAGTGGTGCTGGTGCTGGTAGCACTGGTCGGTGCTGGAGCCGAGGCTGAGATATAGGATGGGGATGATACAGATGAGGTTGTGGAAGTAGGTGGCTGAGATGAACTCGAAGTTTCTGAACTTGTAGATGAAACGAGCGATGTGGATGCTGTTAACGTAGACTGAGATGACCTAGTTAGAGTAAAATTTTGTTAGATAGCTCATAACAAAAAATGGCGCAAATACCTACGTTGTGACATCAGAAGAAGTTGTAGTACCGTCATTAGAAGAGGATGTTGTAGGGCTGCTTGACGGGGAACTATTGCTGGTAGCCTGGGAGCTACCAGGCTGGCTGGGTGACAGTACAGTCGACGTTATCGTGGATATCTGCATTGAGAGATAAATATTGCTGCGCAAGATGATAACAGCGTATAGGAAAAATTGTGGTTGGTCTCCCGGTCCGCAGCCAAGACACGCACCTGACTGTTACTGGCGGTTAGCGTGGGTGTGTCCGAGGCAGTAGTAGTAGATTGTGTCAAGGTATTGGAGTCGGTTGTGTTTGTCGACTGCCGTGGATTGAAATAAAGGAACAAGTTGGGCTGCATCTGTCAGCGTGACAGTAATACTCAGTGAAACAGTTCGTCAAGACAACTTCAGCTTACGGTTCATGTGAACATTTTCAGTGGGAAACAAATTGCAATGCCGTACTCTAAATTCAGATCTGGGCGTCTAAATTATGGCTTTCCCTGATTGCGGATTGGCTGGAGACGGGAGTGCACGCTGCGGATGCGGACCACATTAAGGCTTTCCACGGTGCTGGCACGAATGACAATTTCAACGCATGCTGCATTGAACATAGTTCATGGGCTTTATAACAATTTCATATTCCATATAGCTATACTGTTTTCCACCGTAACCAACTATTTTACCCAGAGGTTTCCTCATTCGCCTATTTACATTCCTTCCCACTACGGCGCACCGCCCACTTCATAGGTGAGTCTTTGTTCGTTCCGCCAGGTCTCACACCACCATAAGCGAAGTCTAGCTAGCGCGATCGATGAAGGCCGTAGGTTGGATGCCCCGTACTGTGCGCAGTGCGTTTTCTTGGACGTTCGGATCGGAAAAGTATATCCTCCTTGGCACCACATCTCCCTCATTACCACCACGTACCACTAAGTACCGTCGTCAACATTTTTTCTCATGGCGTAGCCTCATCCGCGTCTTCACCCTTCGCAAAGTCCTGGTCTCCGTCTCACTCGTCCCGGTGTTCCTGTTCCTTGCAATTATTTGTCAGGGCATACCACCAAACTATGAAGATATCAGGTCATTCGAACACCACCTCCCTCAACACTCCTTGTCAAGACATCAGCCGCAGTACCTACGATATCCAGGTCATCTGTGGGGCTTCGGGTTCAATAACGTTCTTCAGGAAGCGTGTGTATTCTTATCGTTCATCATGATCAGGTCTCATAAGTAGCTAATCGTTCTCATCAGCATTTTGATGTCTTACCTCGCCTACGTTTCCAACGTATCATTTGTCTTTGAGGACTATACATGGTCGCACTTACCATTGCCATGGACAGTTTACGACTTCGCTCTGCGTCCCGCACGCATACCATTAAACGCTCTCATATCTGGGCCGACCGCAGGAGGGCCAATGCCTAGCGCACCAAATGCACCCCGTGCAGTGAACGCTGAGTTCTACACACAAGTCTGTGGAGGTCCTGAAAGCCGAAAACACGTTATCAGCTCTCTAACCGCGCCAAACGATGCAGACGGCGATGTCATGATTGATTGGTGGGTAGATCAGCTCGCATCCGTGCAAGAGCCGTGCATAGAAATAGATTCGTCTGCCCACGATGTCTTTGACAGACAGTGAGTTCTTCTCCGATAAAATACCGAGTTGAATGACTGATCTGTCGTTAAGCTTCTTCGGAAATCCACGGATTCTTTCCCTCTGGGAATCCTTGACTAAATCACCTATATTGACTGACTTCGCTTGGTCGCCGCTTGTGCAAGCGGCGGTTTCGCGTAACTTTGCGCTGCTGCAACCAGAGTCTGCTAAAGACCTCTACGATGCACATTCCCGTAAATCACTTGCTGGGCTGGTCGCGCTGCACCTCCGCAGGGGCGATTACAAGCGGCATTGTCCGAACCTCGCAAAGTGGGGCGCAGACTATATGGGTATAAATCAGCACCCATCACTCCCTGATCGATTCGATCCGTCTCCGTATGTCAACGACACGAATGCAGGGCTGTCATATTATCTTGATCATTGCTGGCCATCAACAGAGCAGGTTGTGGAAAGGCTAAGGAACATTCGGAAAGAGTATCCTGGGCTGAGACGAGTGTATGTTCTCTCAAATGAATGGGCGTGGAGTCTTGATGGTCTGAAGAACGCGCTTGAGGAGGATGGGTGGGATGACTTGGTAAGCAGTACTGATATCGTGCTCGATTCGGAGCAAAAGCATGTGGCTATGGCAGTAGATATGGCGATTGCAGAGAAGGCAGAGGTGTTCATCGGGAACGGGGTATGTTGTTTCTACGCGGGTGATTTCCAGACTTTTGATTCGCCTACCTGCCTTAGTTCTCGAGCCTATCTTCGAACGTGGTGATGCTGAGGATGGCGAAGGGGATAGAAGGGGAGAGCAATCGGTTTTTATGATGAATCTAATGGACAAATATTTTAGAGATACCAGTATACTCCGGAACATTATGCGACAGGCGAATAACAGAGGCGTTCGCAAGGAACATGGACAATTGCTGCATGTAGTCACAGAGCCTGAGTCAGATGAGCGCCCTAGCTTAGGGACTCATCTGACGACCAAATATTAACGGCAGTGCCTTAATAGCTCGAGTCGACCCTCATCGATTGAAATTGATCTCATCCAAGAGCAACTAGTGACGGCGGATAGGAGAACAGGCAGCGATGGACCTGCGCTCCCAGTTCTGAGAGGAGTTCTCGAGTCAGGCTGCAATTCCAAATTACATAAGCGTTCGCATGATCAAATTCAAGTCGACCGGTCCAGGGCCCAGGCCCTGCAGGGATCAAAAATCATGGGAATATCAACATCAAACGAAAGTCCAGACTCAAACAGAAAGAAGCCTGATGAACTAATCAAGGCTGACATGAGTGATACAGCGATGCGAGAGTATGCAGGGACAAATGCGAAGCTTGATCGGGAAGACAGCCAAGACGTACGTAGTATAAGACACTTGAAATTTATGGCGGCGCGATGGTATCAATACCCGAAACAAAATTGCACTCGCTCGATTGATGTGATTGTGCATCTTGGTGATAAGATGACAAGTGCCAACTTGAATATGCTTGCCACGGGGTCTGACGCGAGGAGCTGAAAAAAGCCAGTAAGATCAAGGAAAAACATAAAAGGGCCAAAGAGAGGCGAAGTACCGACCCACTTATTTCTTCGGGGTAGCCTTTTGCTTTTTGCTCGCTGGAGGCTCCACTTCAGCCTCGATGCCCTCTTGAAGCTCAGTCCACTCTCCCACACCAACTTCCTGGCCAAACCTTCTCCTGAAACGTCCCAAACGACCAGTGCCCTCCTGCTCTTCATCTTCTATACCTCCCTCTCCGACCGCTCCGCTCAAGCGTTGAGTAGCGTTCCAAAGGGGGTTGTTCGTTGTATCGCGCGTCAACGTTATTCGTGAGCGCGGCGATGTCGTCCATTGCATGTATGATGAGCCGTCCGCACGAACGACACGCTGAGGAAAATGAGGAACTACTGGGTTGGGCAATTTGGGTAGACGTTGCTTGAAAACATGTGAGCGACCGTACGGAGAAGTAGAGACACATCTTGTCAGCGGAGATGGTGACAAGAGCCCTGCAGGGGAACGTTTGCAGAGTAAAGACATGGTTTCCAATAAATGACTGGGAGAACTTGAGAAGAACTCTGATCAGAGTCAATCACGTGACCTGGAAATAGTACTTTAAAACGACGCTCGCCGCTGTCAGTGTCAAGCTGCAAGCACGACGTCACGACTACTAACTAGTCCTCATTCACCATAAATCATTCATTAGCCCGCTTGGACGCATCGTTGCATTCAATTATGGCTCGTTTGCACCGCGTCTCAATGTACTTCTCCATCCTTATTTTAATCTATCTTCTGGTGTTATTGGAGGTCCTGCCCATACCATTCATCGATGCCAGTGTAGCCCAAGAGATCCTTCCTGTCGTGCGTCCTTCTAATAAGCTGACCGGTATGAATGCCTTAGCTTACGCATTCATAACATGAATTAGATCCCGTGGTGGCTTTTGGTGTCATTCGGGTCGTATTCCCTCTGGAGTCTCGGCTGGGGGGTTTGTACATTCCGTGACTGTCCCGAAGCTTATCACGAGTTGCTGCAGGTAATCATGCGTTATGTGTCTCAAGGACTCGTACGCTGACCATCGTCTGTAGGAAATTGATGAAGCCAAAAACGATCTCCGAAGTCGGGCTGTCACCGTCGACTAGGCATCCCTTCTCTCATTTTTTACACCTTTGTTTGAGACTCACCTCAAATTACATACTTAAATAAAGCTTTCCATGGGACGGTTACTTTTTCGTAATCAAAACCTACATGTGAATGGTGAGAGTTACAACAAAGTTCGTTTTGTGCGACGCAGAGTCGAATGTCCGAGTCGCTGTTCAAACGTTCAAGTCGTATACATGTACGTCTTCGGTGCTTTATCCTTGCATTCTTCACAGATGTCTGCATCTTAAGCACCCAAGTCTTCTTTTCTGACCACATGCGTGCAGTTTCTTCATCGACATCGTGCTTGACTTTTCAGAGTCAAGGCGTGATCACAAGAACCTAGATACTGAACATAATCTAACTGACTGGCATGTGTAAGTGGACAGAATATGATCTCGTGACCTAAACCCATGAGTTATGATGACATTACCTTTCAGTCAAGGGTTGGGTCTCGCAGTTACTGTCAAGGCTGGTCTTCTGGCGTGTCACTAAGTTCTCGTTCCTTCTCATCATCCCATTGATCCTCTAGGACTTAATCGCTCACTGGATTTTTCAGGTCGGATGATAGCTGTTGCATCAAAACGAACGATTTTGTGACCACTGCAGTACTGACCGGCGAGTTACGCAGGTACAACACATCGGCTTGACTGAAACATCAAATCATCATGATCACGCGTCTACATGTATTGATAATCCAGAAAGGTGCTAGTATTACTCATTACTACTCCCCTGGCTATCAGCATTGATGACACAGTGATCTGTGCAATGGTCTTGCATCGCTTAAGCCTTAATCATAGATGAAATTCTCAAGTGCATCAGGCTCATCGATCAATACGCGAGGAGCTCATCCGTCCAGAAGACAGTCGTTCTTGCCCAGTAGTTTTGAGCTTTCTTTAATGCCACTCAGGGACATGGTCCATTGCAGGATGCGATGATGCGAAGACTCAAATTTCGTCTGCAGAGAGTCATCATGTTCAACCTGTGAGAATGTCGATGGGCGATTGGTTACAGTCAAGGTTCTTACATGTGGGTGACGGCCCAAGAGAGCAGTCGATCAAACCTTCACTGTGCACTGAGTGACGTGACTACAGCTATTCGCATGTACATTTGACTTGATTTTTTTTGATTTTTTTTTTGATTTTTCAAAGGTAAAAAGTACTTGATTTGTTTCATCTCGCCCTCGGGTATGAGATTGGTCACTGGAAGTAACATCTATCATTACAACACTATTTGCAGCTCACAAATATTTGTATGAGCACGCGGTAGTGATGGTCAGTAGCCCTATGCTTGCACCTCGGGATAAAGGATCATGGAGTAAGAAAGGTATGTAGCTCACGATAACGAAATAGGAATAAAGCTCGACTATTCATCGTATTGAGTCAGCTGTAGGTCTGTGAGTACTTGATCCCGCATACAATCGGTTACCGATGACTTACATCCAACGTCAGGGTGCGAGAGCTGTTTACATCTTGGTCACGATAGATTCCAACAAGAGAATTACCACGCTCATACAAGGAACCCTTCAAGCTGATGACGATAAATTGGAAGGAATCGGACGCCTGACTCCGGATATAGTTGGCAATCTTAGCAACGTTGGTGTTGTCCAGAGCAGCGTCTACCTCATCAAGGACAAAGAACGGTGCAGGTTGATAACTTGAGTCATAGTGAGCACAAAGATTTTCAGTTTGAAGATGAAAAGACCAGACCTGTGTATCGCAAAAAGGAGAGCCAAAGCAGCCACGGTCTTCTCGCCGCCCGAGAGTTGTTCCATGTCGCGGAATCGCTTCATGGGTGGCATGGCATGATATTTGATTCCGGCATTATAAGGTTCCTATGATTGATAAGTGTAAGATAGCCTCGACTGAAAGACTGAAAGACTCACTTCACTATCCTCTAAACTAAGGTATGCGACGCCTCCCATCGGCGAGGCCTTGCCTTTGGTGAGGTCTTTATAGACCTGGTCGATGCAATCTGAAATATGGTTGTATGCCTTGTTGAATAACTCGCATCTAGTTGCTGGGATGAGGATGGCTCAAATTAAACCTATTCACGTACCTCTTTCGCTTGACATCGTTGAACTGATCGCGCGCATTTTTCGAGTCTTTCCGTGCTTTATCAGCTTCTTTCTCTGTGTCCGCAAGCTTGGCCTCGACGTCGTCTAACCTGTCCAACAATCACTATCAAGACATCGAAGAATAGGGATCGACATACTTTTCGATAGCCTTCAAGTTAGGTGCCATTCTCTCAATCTCTCCGTTGAGTTTCGCAATTTGCGCATCAAACTCGGCAGTAGTTTCAGGAGAATTATCCTATGATGGAAGTCAAGCGCGATTCTGTTCCGTCCAAGCTTACATACCGCACGCTCATCCTCTGTCAAAGAGTCAAAGTCGACTTCAATCCCATAATCTTGGACTTGACGTGGTTGTTGGGTACCGTCATCATCATCAACGTCCATTGCTACTTCCTCACGCAGGTTCTAAGCGGGAATCGAAATGAATGCGAGTACGATCTCTCAAATAAACAGCCTCACCTCTTCCATTGGGACGTTCTTCAAACTTCCTTCCAGTAGAGGTAGCTTAATGTCCTCGAGCCTGCATTTCCTGTAGGTTGCCGATCGTTCTAGTGCCAGCTTCTCAATCTCGTCGTTCTGAAGATGGATCGATGAATACAAGTAGCCCATCTATCTGAGAAAACAATCAGCATACCTTCAGACCAATTTCTTTGAGAGCCTGGTCAAGTATCTTGGCAGCCTTCGTGTGCGTCTTTTTGGCTTGGTCGACATGTTTGTTCTTCTCTTCGAGCACGTCAGTAAGGCCTTGCAGCATTTCCTTAAGCTGTGCGATGCCCTCCTGTGCTCCCGTAATCTCAACTTGAATGGTCTGCTTCTTTTCTTCTAGCTCCGCTACTTTCCGTTGTTCATCTTCAGCAGCGTTCCGCAGCATCACCAGACGCGACTGTGTCAACTTCAACTGCTCCTCTTCAAAGTTAACCCTGCGTACACATGTCAGTCACGCCCCTCAGCCTCAAAACTATGAAAAATATAACTCACTGGTGCGTCAGCCTCGCAACCTGCTGATCGAACCTAAGTCGTGCCTGGCTCTCCTCTTCGGCAACTTTCAGCTGACGCTCTTCATATTCTCGAATATTCTCAACGCCTATCTTGGAGCAAAACGAGGCAAATACGCCGTCCTCAGCTGAGTCAATAGCAGATTGAAGTTCTGCGATTCGGGAGGAGAGGTTCGAGTGCGAAGTTTGAGCCTGTAATTACGGTCAGTTTCATTTGGGTCTACTAGACTGTTGCGCGAACCTTTTTGAGCTCAGGAGAGAGCTTCTTGAGTTCCCGTTCGACGTGCTTTAGCTCTTCTTTGATGCCATTGTACCTGGATTTGCATGCGCTCTAGATACCGCAGATGAAACAATGAGATTATTGTGATGCCACCGACAACTATTCCAAGAACGTACCAGATCGTCTCTTGCAACAGCTATAGCACTCTCTAGTCGTGTGATTTCAGCGATGACGTTTTCGTCTGCCTTGCCCCTCGGTTTCGAGCGATTCAATTCCTGAAGCTGCGCCACAAGGTTGTCACGAAGACGGGTAAGGCCTACATATAATTGAGTGTGAAGTACCGCGGTCGGTGAAACGCCTACCTTGCACGTCCTTCTCCTCCCACTTCTTTCCACCCCCATGTGTACTGCGCCCACCGGTAATAAGCCCACTCTTATGGATAACAGTACCCTCCAATGTAACAGCTGCCCAGATCTTAACATGGCGTCCAAATTCCCGCAACTGAATGTGAACCCACCTTTCACCTCCTGCCCCCGCTCCCAACACACATACCTCGCCACATCCATCGTGTCACACACAAGTGCATTCCCACACGCATGGAGCATAGCGCGCTCTACGGCAGGCTCATACTGGATCACATCCACAGCGAGACGTGCGCCTCTGGCAAACGAGCGGAACTTGTCGTTGATTGGCTTGGTACTAATCGTGTCGAGCGGGAGGAAAGTCGCTTGACCTGCGCGCTGTGTGCGCATATACTACAGTATCTCAAAATTGATTCAGATGGAAATGACAGAGAGCAGAGAAGCGCACGTCGATGCATTCGATGGCAGTTTTCTCTTCGTCCACGACGACAGCGTCGATATTGCGCCCGAGTATGACAGATACGGCTGTCTCGTACTTGCGTTGTGTGGGTTTACAGAGATCAACCACACGCCCGCGGACGCCTGTATAATGTGAGCGGTAACTTTCTCGGACAATGAAGGCGGCGCTTACCTGGAAAGATGCGCTGCAGGCTGGTGAGTGTCTCCTTGAGCTTTGCCTCGCGCTCGGATTCGTTCCTGTCGACGCCTGCTTGAAGCAAGCGCTGATAAACATCCGCAAGCTTTTCGTTCGTCTCGGTCTCAAGACGGCTACGGGATAACAATGAAATGGCGTGTGATAAGTGCTTAGAGAAGAAAAAATACCTGATCCTTGTCCGCTCGCTCTGCTGATTTTCGTATTCTTGCTTTGAGCTCGCATGATCACCCTGGAGGGTAGCAAGCTTCTCCTCGAGCTTTGAGAATCAATGAGCTGGTGGTATACGTTGAACTCGAAAAGAACATACCTCGGACTTGCTGACTTTCTGAGTTTGCTCGTCGCCGCGCAGTCTTTCCTGGTTCCGTTGCAGCTCTTCATCTTTGGCCCTCACTTGAGTAAGTGTCCGGGACGCTGTCTTTTCGTCTCGACTGAGCGTCTCCAGAACCTGACGCTCAGAAACGGCGAGGACGCTGGCTGATGCTTTTCTATTTGTAGCATTAACACCGCAAAACACACGTTGACGTGCGTGACTCACAGTGAGCGATATTCGGCTAGACTGTCTTCGCTCAGGGAAGTATTATGTTGAGATGCACGTCTGTGGGCCTCTGTGTATAAAGGTATGAAATAAAGGTAAACAATGAAACGGATGGTTCACCTGCAGCCTCATCTGCAGCCTGTCTAGCATTGGAAAGATCCCGAGTGAGCGAGTGGAGCTTAGCTTGCTGACGTTCAGCATCATTTCCAACCTGCTCCTGTATCTTCTGTGAATTTTGCAGCTTTCTGGATGAATGCTTGATCTGAGCGTCCACTTCCACTAGCTCAGGTTCCTGCTACGCGTCAAAATTGGTCAAGTAGTATGTAGCAAAATAAGCTGACCTTAGCTTCCAATGCCTTTTCGGCCTTCTTGACTTTCTTCTCCTCGCGTACGACTGCTGTGCGGGCCCGTGCTTGTTCTGCACGCACATTCTCAAGAGCCTTCTCGTGTTCTTCATGCTCTGCACGTAAACCAGCGAGAGCCTTTGACTTTGTTTGAATTTCGCGTGCATTTGCTTCAAGTGCCTCTTCGATGTGGAAAAGCTTATAAAGAATGCGTTTCAAGATAAGGTCATCCTGGGAGCGCATGAGCATTGCATTGAAAAGAATGGTAACCCAGGTGCACCTTTTGATCGCACAAGCTCTCAAATCGTTCTGCTTCGCCCTTTTGTTCCTTATATTGTTTTATTTCACCCGCAATTCCTCTTCTCTTCGTGAAATTGAAGGTTGCGTTCTCTGTTGCGCGTTCTTGGGCTTCCTTTGCTTTCTCATACTCTTGAGCGAGCTCAAGAGAACCCGAGATTTGTTCTATAAGACGGGAAAGCTCTTTTGGAGACTGGGAAGCGACAGCCTCGACATCACCTTGGAAGACGAGGAAGTTCTTGGCTTTGACGAGGATGTTGTGGGACATCAAGGCGGCATTATACGCAGAGTATGTGACCACCTTATTATTCAGACGATATTCAGACGCTCCAGTTGTCGATATGCTGCATTGCAAACAACAGTCAGAAGTCCGGGTTAGTCAGACCAGGTAGAACACACGTTCGTTGGAAAAACCACTCCTTTCTCTTTTCATCCTGAAACACTGCAAGCACCCATGCCTTTTTGGCGGTCCCCTCACCCTCTCCATCACTATTATCGTCGTCTTCCTGGTCTTGAGTGGCATCAGAGCCATCCAATGGACCTTTGGCGAGCCGTCGCCCGCGGTAGACAAGATCTTTCAGCTGGCTACTGCGCAGCTGCGCACTCTTCACACCAAGCACGAAAGAGATTGCATCCATGAGATTTGATTTTCCAGCACCATTGGGGCCGATGACGGAGGTGAAGTTCTTGAACGGTCCGATGACTTGGTGGCCCCTGGAAAGGAATAAGTAGACCAGGTAATTATCAGATCTATAGATTAGTCTTTGACAAGGTACTATATGGGCGCACCGATACGACTTGAAATCGCTCACTTCTATGCGTACGAGGGGCATGACCCAGCCAACTTGGAATTCTTACTAGGCTGCTGCTTGACTGTCTAAGTGGTAACTGGTAGAACGCGACATAGTCACAAACACGCCTGTCACATGTACATGTGACATTAATCACTGCGTTCAAAAACCATTGAAATTCACTAACGTTGGCGTACAGAGTGAATTCATCCGCTTTCTTTTATTTTGCCTATGTATGAATGTATAGTAGAAATCAACAGTGTAATTGCAAATGTGGTGCTTGGTGGAAAGCTGGAGTGCTTGGTATCACCAGAATCTCCCCGTCTTCAAGACCTCGCAATGACATACGTTATAACGGCGGTCGTGTGGGCAGAGAGTGGCGAGAATTACCACGGGAAGGTCACGAAGGACACCAATAGGCTCGCGGAGAAGCTTGGGAGAATTGTGTACAGATAGGGGTGCCGTCAGTCAGCATGACGAGCTCGCTCAGGCATGAGGTTGTTAAATGGTAGATGAACAGACCCACGCCCTGACAACAGAACAGCGATTGTTCCAGTGAGCAAGGTGGGAGGTCGATAGAGGATGGATATGCTCAGCAGCTGTTCATTCAACATTATACTTGAGATGGTTTGTTGGACAAGACTAGCCTGTCCACATCAAACTCGTCGAAAAGAATCAGTCGTGCGAGGACACGGAAAATGGACTCATTTGGATAACCAAGTTCATGTCGTCCCAACACCCGGCAGGATGGTGGACCAGTAATAGTTGGGGCGATGCACAGTGAGTTTGCAAACTCACAAATGTGATGCAGGGCGCACGGTGTACCCTTTAGACTAGGTGGATCATTCCAATGGACATGAATATTTACTCGTGGCAATGTTTCAAACATCACAGGACATTGTTGAGGTATCATCGGCAGCCGAGGGATGCACGACGATTGAACTGAAGAGTTTCACTGCAGAAGTTAGCGTAAAAATTATGGTGGGAGGTTATTCATCGCAGTGAAAAAATCTTGCGTAGCGATGGTATTGTTACTTCGCGATGGGTCTCGTTCAAGCAATACGAGATTAGTAGTGTTGGTCCAAGCATCGTGTTCCTGTCGAAGAGTAACAGGTGCGTCAACAAACAAAACTGTTGCAAAACAGCATGACGGACAATATTTTGTAGGTGAAGAGAGACAGTCATTGCAACTGTCCAATGGCTAGTAGTGAGTCGGACTTACTACAGTACAGGAGCATTTTACACACTTCGTCCAGACTTTTTTCACTCGCTTTGAGGAACTGACCACACCTGTCACGGGGTAGTAGTGAAGAATGCAAGGTTGGAGCTAGTTGCGTTCTCGATCTATTCGAAACAGTGAGGATGGTAAGGCCGTTCGGAGCTGACCGCGGCGAGACGGACGAGACGGAGACTGAAAGTTGAATATGCGATTTCGTAATATGCCCACTGTCTCATCTTGGCAACATAACTTGCTTGCTGCATCCATCATGCGACGATCTACTTATCGGTCGCCACTGTTCAAGTTAGTCTACTCCCATCAATGGCGAGCACGACACCATTAACTTAGATGCAGTGCTGCCTAGGTAGGCAAACTGTCTATTTAATTCCTAGTGGTACGTGGTACACAGAGTGAAACGTCACGCGAAATGTATGCGGCCGACGGCCGTCCATAATCACGCTCAATCACAGCTGCAGCTGCGACCAAAACACGCAAGAATGATGCGCGGATTCTCTAATGATGTCAGTCCTGAATTTGCATCGCCTCACTGGCCCTTACAACACATGATTGACCGCGTGTCCATGTCGAAACAAGTTATTCGCTGGCTGCTCCAACCGTGACAGGTCCGCCCAAGCCGGCTTATAATACCCCGGATGGCGCTCCCGCAACAATGACCTCCATTTCGCAGGCTGTCACAAATTACAGCCCAAGGACCTTGGAACGTTCACGGCACTCGAACAGGGTCAACTCCGCCCATCAGTAGTACTTCAGTAGCCAAGACCCACAGCCACTGACAGAGTCTGACAGGGAAGCTACGGTCATTCTTACTAGTGCACACGTACTAGCACCGCCAACGCATTTAACTCCGATGATCTCTTGTAACTAACTAGTCCATTGTTTGGTGAGGATCGACAAATAGATTCAGCTAGGGAAATTCTGATTATTTTTGCCTGATCATCTAGCAAGCCGGAGTTGTAGGATGCTCCAATTCTCGTGCCAGTGCTGAGGCTCATTTTTTTCACCTTTAGAATCATTTTAGGCTGACCTGATGTCGACAGTACATTTGGTTTAGTGTCTGGTGTGCTAAAGCAAAACTTGTATATAAACACAGGCTTGACCATTGACTTGCAGGTCACAGGGGGGAAAGGCTCAATTAACCCAATTGATGTGCTCTGGTTTATCACTAAGCAATTCTTCTCTCCAGTTGCGCAAATGCATCTGTGCAAACCTCTAGTCCCCCAAGCTCTGTGCTTTATATCAATCACCTGCGCAAGGTAGACCCATCCCTCTCATCCGCCCTCTTCGTTAAGTTCACAGATGAACACCCAAGAAGGCGCGCGACCTTGCTGATCCAGCTTCGCACAGGGCACATCCCCTTGAACAAACTCCTTCATAGAATATTCTCAATGTGTCCGGCCTGTGAAGAACGAGAGGAATCAGTACACCACTTCCTATTATCATGCCCAGTGTACACTAATACGAGACGCAGAGCAATCATGAATCTTTGAAGGCCGAGCTTGGAACGTGAGCGCAAAGCCTAAAAGGCCTCCTGAACGACGGAAAAGCTTTGAGGCAATTTTCAAGTACATCGCTCGCATGAAACACCTTCGGAGATGTCAGCACCCAAAGAAGGGAACCCCGACAAATGCGCTAAGTGCTTAGCCATCCTGGCCCATCCACTCCCCCCAATCGCCTTAAGATGGCATCAATCGTCCTCATGCAAGCCTGGACGAGGAGTACAGGATTTACACGCCGCAAACATAGAGTACCATAGATTATTACATCTGTCAGATTCTGTCTAACATAGGGCTTCGCCCCCACGGACAATGATAAATAAGGATAAAAACATAACCCAAGTGATAAACTTACGATAGTCTCCTTGGGTCGTCAAAATGGATCTACCAAACGGCGCCCATGCCCCAGAAATTCCAGAATGGTTTTCAAGTGCAACCATTGAACCAAGCTGTTTGAGTCAAGTCAACTGCACGAGCAACGTGGATAATCACGTGGCACATTGGCTTATGTACTTGATAGCTGAAATAGGAAAGCTGCTCTTACAGTGCGTGTCCGACCAGCTAGTAACGCTGCGTTCACCAGCGTTGTTCGATGTTTCAGCGACTCGCCACAATCCTTTAGTTTTCTCGCATGAAATCTCAATCTCATCACCATCGCTGGAACCGTTTGACTGTTACCAAGAAATCCTCAATTCCTACCATATCTTTAGTCTTTGGGGAAGCACAACAGGTTTCGTCGTCTCAAACCGCAGCCGAGAAGCTACCTCAGATCCTGCGCAAAGCCAATCCTAGTTCTGCATTAAGCTCAATGTCAAAGGCTCAGTCAGAGCAATCTTTAGACGAGATACAAGCCCCTACTCCTTCTAGCCAGCCCACCAATGCCCACGAAGTAGGGCAACTTGAAGTGCCGACCACTCATGATCAATGTATTTCACCGTTGGCGTCAGAAGGTACCCTTTTGTATATCTTATGCTTTTACACTTTTGAATGCGTCATGTCATTTCCAGGTTCACCTGATATTACTACGCTTGGACCGCCTAACGAGTGCGACATAACGACCGAGCAGCCGGGTACAGATGTGACCTCCATAGATTCAACAGCAGCTTCTCCACCTGATCCCGTCTCTCTCCGCGATACATCCGTCGCAACTTCGTCTCATAAGTCTTCTTGGTTCGCCTCATGGACCCGAGAAAAAGGGAAACAGCCAAACCTCGAGACGACCCGACCCCCAAGCTCGGTGCAAGAATCTGCGAGATCATCGAAACCTTCACACTCAAACATCCTTACCATCTCTTCAGTCCCACACCAACTACCTGTTCCCAATATAACTGGAGATGCTGGGCAAAGCACTCCACCCTCGACTTTTCCTCAAGATACACCTATACAAATACGTTCAGACGATCCAACGACTGCTTCATCTTGTTCGGCATCGTATAAATGTTCTTTGTCGCCAGAAGGTCATTACTCTCGACCCGGCACTGCCTCCGTACTCTCGCCGCTGGATGAGTCTAAACTTCCACCCGTCAAGCTGTCTCCGGCGACTCCGTCCGCCGTCCTGCCAAGCAATAACACATCGCAGTCTACTTTGACGCTCAATCAGTCCACCAGCCGGTTTACACTGATGATCCCTTTGCTCGGACGACCAAAGCTCCCTCTTGACCAGACTGTTGCTGCAGTTCAGCGTGATGATACCACTACGACACTACCAGAAGAGTCATCTCCGTCTCGCAGGCAAGAATTCACTACGAAAGGTTTGTTACGGCCCTCCAGTTAGTGAGATGACTGAACGCGTTATTTGATAGAATCCGTACCATTTGCTACAGAGAGTCCTTCTGCTCCGGTCGCAGAGATGACCGAGGTGAACATCGCAGCAGATATAACTCAGCCTGACGGGTCGGTTCACAAGGGTGCCTCAGGTGCTCCTGAGGTTACTAACGCGCAGACAAGCACATGGTGGACATATCTCAAATGGGGTAATGCTGAAGCATCTGAGAGTTATATTCAAACAGAACCTGTTTCAAACGCTCCACCCACCCCAGCAGTCGTTTCCGATGCGCCAGTCAGTGAGATGGCAGCACAGCCAACCATCGACTCCACCTTTGTTCCTCAGAAGTCGGAAATTAGCACCGAGGAGCAAATCGTACCACAGAAGGCGCCCTCCATATTGTCCCCCGACGCATCGGAACCGCAAGGCTCTGCATGGTATTCCCCGTGGTCGTGGTATCAAGGCTCGTCTACTCCTGTAAAATCTACAAGCTCACCTTCGGGTACTCAAGCTGTCTCCGATGGAGAAGGGAACGTGCAGGCGGAGCTTAGCCAAGATGATGAATTCTTGAACCAGATGGTTACCGATGTTTCCCCTTCGCCGGACCCACAACCTCCTGCCAGCGAAGCAAATCCGATATCATCGACAATTACCAATAACAGATCGGGCTGGATCTCCTTTTTTTCTGCTCGTGCAGTGGCGATGAAGAGTATTACGAATGAAAGTCACAATGAAGAAATGGAGGTTATGGATTTGGACGAGGATGAAGCTAGTCCGACAGTTGACTCTCCATCATCAGCCACTTGTTCCGCTCCGTCGAACAAGGATGGTAATATCCCATCTCCGAGTTCGACGGGTGTGCCCCAATCTCCTGCCTCGCCATCACCAGCTCAGAAGAAACCTGAACACAAACCTACTCCGACTAACGCCGTCTGGTTTAGTGCCAACAAGCGCCCGCCGTCTCCGACGCCTTCGAAGAAGTCAGGGGTGAAGACGCCCACAATCCCTCCTCCACCAAATTTGGTCTTACCCACATGGGACGATACTTTCCACACACGGCCTCGCGCACATGTGCCTACTGAACCTCCGTCTGCTCTTTCCAAGACATTCCAATATGTCAGCGAGGTACTCTTTGCGCGTGATGAGACCGCCTCACACAAGAAAGGCAAGGGAAAGTCTGCGGAGAGGCCTTTGGAGCCCTATGAAAAGGCGCTCCCACGTTCGTGGGATGTGATTACAGGACAGAAACAAGAGAACGTGCTGCGAGGATGTCAAAGGGCAGTTGTGATTGGCGTGCACGGGTGGTTCCCTGGTGTGTTCTTTTTTCATAGGCAGAAAAAAGTGCTCATACCCAGCCTCCGAAGGCGCTGTCATGCGGACGGTTATCGGAGAGGTTAGTATATGGTGCTATATTGTGTATCACAGTTTGACTGATCGTTATGCAGCCGACCGGGACCAGTTTAAAGTTTGTGAACATGGCTGTTCAGGCGTTGGAAGAATTTCAGGACAAGCACGAGGTGAAGTTATCAAAAATCACCAAGATACCCCTCGAAGGTGAAGGCACCATCAGCCGCCGAGTCGATAAGTGCGTTCTAGACAACTTTTTCTCAACAAGATCTTTTTGATGCTCACACGACCACCTCGCGAAAACAGGTTATATCAGAACCTGATCGGGAATAAGGAATGGATGGACGACCTCCAGGGTGCCGATGTAATATTTTTTGCCACACATTCCCAGGGATCAATTGTTTCGACCCACATCTTGGATCGCCTCATCACCGATGGCCACATTCGAACAGCACCACGTGACTTGACTGTTAATGCTGTCGGCAGTATCACACGTCCTCCGCAAAGGGTGTGTTGTCTGGCCCTGTGTGGAATTCATCTTGGACCATTGAGATATTTGAGCACGAGCTCATTGGTTCTACCTTATATCCAGGTAAGACATGCGATCACGTTGGGCACACCCAAGTTTATACAGAACAAACATAGTATTTCGAGTCGATTGCTGCCCGGGAGCTGTTTGAATTTCAGGTAAGTCAGTTGCATAAAGTGGGATATTGTCGGGTGATTGCGTTATCGCCACCAGAATACCGACAATCAGATTTCAAGAGACTACGTAAAGGCCTTGAGAAACGTCCTGGATAATGGAGTATGCACTATGCCCATGTCTGATTATTCGTCAGATTAACGCCATCGTCTTCAACAGGTCAAGATGGTGTATATTGCATCCTTGAATGACCAGGTAGTAGGGCTGTACTCTGGGCTGTTCACTTCAGTGACGCATCCCTTAATTTTGCGTGCGCTTTACATTGATGGAGATGCATACCAGTGCGTGTCAGACATGTCACTCGTATTACGCAAGTCCAGCTCACGTCGCAATTTTTTTTAGTTCTTCAGACTTCCTGTCCAATCTCCTCGTTCTCCTGCTACGTATTCGAAATGCAGGGTTATCAGACGGTGGACTCCTTGCACATTTGTCGGAGTCAACCGCTGGATCACTGAATGGGGTTGGACATTCAACCGCATACGAGGAGACTGCTACATATTCGTCAGTACTATTCTTCTACCAATGAATGTGATTGACCCCGTAAGCAGATTCGCAATCAACTACCTTTTCCTAGCTGACTCTGGACAACACCCACATGTTGAACTTGCGATGGAGCCATTTGATGCGCGAACAGAGCAGAATGATTACGAGGTTTGTTACTGCATGTCATATCTGTTTCACACAATCATTTTTTCCCCTAGATTCCTTGGGCTCTCCGTGACCTGATTGCTGATGATAGAGTCGCTGAGCTCTTTTCAGATGATTTTATTCGTTTGCGAGATGCTTTCCGAGACTGGCAACCCAAGACTGCAATTTTACGCGATGTAAAAAGGAAGCTTCAACCGATTCAGAGACTGTCATCAGCCATAATTTCCAAACATGCCGATTCCATGAGCAAACTATAATTCACCCTCGTTGCAGGCTCTGATCGGTGGACTTTGTCGTTCCGATCTACTTACATTGAGTTATTAGATGTTCACACACCACACTCGTGAAACAATATCCCCCGTCACTGTATATCATTCATTTGCATCGCCCTCGCAGCTAGTACTCACATATATATATAATTCATCGAGATCATTGCTATGCAAGGAAAAAGTAAGCTCCGAGACCCACAGACTACGGATGATGCTCCACGAGTCCCGGATCTTACATGCTAAACAACACAGCAAAGACGGCGTACAAAACCGATGTGACTTGCGAGATTGGTGTTCATAGCGATGCAAATCAAAGGGTCGATTTGATGAGGTTTGAAAAATCACATGGAAGAACTCCAGCCGCATCAAACTTTTCGGACCCTACTAATGATGCAGATCCTTGTTCTGAGAATAGTATGATGTCTCTGTGGCGGATTTGATCCTGAACATGTGCACACAGATGTGATTTTCGAGTTCTTATCAAAGATACACCACAATCACAAGATGAATAGCTGTACAGAAAAATGATAGAGTACAGCCATATCAACGGTATTCGGCCCCACAGTCCCCTATCAGGGTAATCATCCGGCGACCATTAGACAGAGCTTGTACTGCTTCAATGGCACGATTGTCCTCGTCAGTCAACCTGAAACCAAAAACACGGTCGTTGTCATCTATGTGCTCAGAAACTCCTAAACGGGCGCCTGCAAGAACCAAAATAAATCTCCGCTTCGAGGGCAGACGGATGTCTTACCAATGATTACAGCTCCGACAAAAGAGTGATCAAGGACCCATCGTGTGGCTATGTTTGCAATGCTCAGCCCCCCATAACGATCACCAATATCACGCAGCACTGCCAAGAGGGACTGGAAAAGTGCCCAGTTCCCCCAGGCCTTCAAAATCATATCAAGATACTGTAGGCGGTTATGAGATCTTGCCGTATGCGCCAGGCGACCCTACACGGAACAGAAGATCCGTACCTTGCGTTGAGATGGCGTCAAAACACCGGAATAGAGATCTGGTTCCGGCTGATTCAACCACTGATCTGCTAAAAATCCACCGCACTGCCAAACACTGTGTAGTGATCCGAGATCGTGGCGAGGAAAAACGATACACATACAAGCGTGCCGTATGTTAATAGCTTCACGTTATGCCGTTCACATACGTCGGCCATCCCGTGGAGGGGCCGAGTGTCAATTAGAGAGAACTGGATGATGGTGAGAGATATAATGAAGCACTGGTTTAGAATCCTGACCTGAACTTGATTTGAAACGATGAAACCAGGGCCTAATTGTGTGCATATTTCATCTGTTCGTATGGCATCGAAATTGCACAGGCCGACCGCGCTGATGAGCCCTTCGTTCTGAAGGTCTTGAAGAATCTGGAGGGCGGTAAGATATCCTTTGTCGGAGTAATCTTGCCAATGAAACTGCAGGAGAAGGCCCGAATTATGATGATTTCGAAAGGGTATCAAATCCTCACTGACTTGCAACAAGTCCACGGTGGTGGTGCGCATGCGTGTCATACGCTCACGAACCGCGTTCTCCACCACAGAACGCGACACATTTGTTTGCCGGAATACACACCACTTTGTAGCTCCAACAACTTCTGCTGAGCTGGGTAGTGATTCTTTGAATTGCCCCTGAAAATGCCCAGGTCGATTTCAGACGTGACCTGGATGATACCGAGCAAGTGACTAACGTAGAGTATTTCCGCGCTTCCATAGTGATCGGCTGTGAGATCTTGCTCAGCTCATGGAAGATGCAGCGAAGATTCAAACATACCCTATACGCCGATACCAATGAAGTCAGTCTTATTTGAATGATCTATGAAAGGAGCATAGATTGCGTACCATATCTACCAAAAATAGCGGATACAATTGCAGGGAAGCACACATGACCTGATATTCGCAACTCACCGAAGGCATTGTAACCCATTTCGATGTGCCTAGCCATTGCTTGACGAATCTTCGCTGCCGAAGCGCTTCCCCAAGCGTTACTTGACAGCTGCCAAAGACCTACCCATACTCGAGGGACAGTGAAAGGACCAAGAGGGAATGTCTCTTTGTATTGCGGTCTTGTTCTAGGCATAGTTAGGAGCGGGATAGGAGAGCAAGGCAGTAAAAATGGGGCATTATAATGTTTCATTATCAAACTCCGTTCCAATCCACGGACTAGGGCGCCAAGGGGATATGCAAAACACATTTAGGCCATGTTCAGGCTCGGGTAGAAATGCGAATTAACATAGGCTAAGAAATTCAGAAAAAACCCGAATTTAGCGTTTCATTTCTCGGACATATAAGTAATGACCGCTGTGAGTCTGTGACCGCAGACCGCGATTGTACGTACCCGTACGAAAAGGACACTGGCATGAGCCTGTGTTCATCAGTGATGATCTGACCTGCCTCGAAATAGTTGCGGAACCAGTCTTGGCTTCTAATGATGACACTTTTCCAACTGGGCTGATGCCCGATAATATGCACCGCAAGTGTTAAATAAGTTCGGATCCAGCTGTCCGACAACTCGTGTCTCCCTCACGATCCATTCACCAGCGCTCATCTGTTACAATGCCCGCTCCCGAAGTTGCACCTGTCCATACAAATGCTGAGACTACCAAAACATTGGGGCATGTGTAAGTCATCTTACCCTTAGCATGCTTGTCCATTAACTGATGATTGCCTGTAGTAACTTGATGGTAAGCCTGTCTAAGACACCGTAAAGTCCCACCTGAAGGGCATGCGCACTTTACTCTCACAGGTGGACACATTGATCGCAAATGCCACGATAGAAGAGCAAGTACTTGTCATTTCGGCTGCCACGTCAGAACACTAACAATGTTAACTCCCAAGCAGCTTGCGCGCAATCACTCGAAATCTCCTCGCAACCAGCACTCCCAGTCTTGCAGCCGCATTCACAGCCGCAGCACGATCGCGCCTCCGTCAGACCAATGCTAGACGTATAGCGACAACAAATGGTTTATTCACGACTAGTCAAAATGGTATCCATGCTATTCCCACACAAGAGCTAGATAACGCCCTCGCCCGCGCTCGTTCTCTATATGGAGCTGGAATGGGTTTCGCGAGTTTGAGTATCCTTTCTTCTATTGTAAAAGCGACTGTTGGCTTGAGATGGGAAGAAGATGGTGCAATGGCCGATGTTTTGGCGGTGATCGATGCGGATATTAGTCAAGCCATACAGGTCGGTGTCACACAACTTCCCCGCATATCATCCGCTAATCGGTTAGCGGCAGAGTTGCAAAGAAGAACTGGAAGGCGGACGCGTGAGCGATGCGGCAGTTCCTCAGGAAGCGATAGGCAATCTGTGGTCGGATATCGGCGAAAGCGCCAGGGACGTCGAAATTTGGGGGGGAGAATTTCCTTTTGACAGAGCATCCAATAGCATCGAGTGCTGGAAGTTTTAGCACACCTGTGTAAAGTTGTAATTACAACTTAACCTGAGTATCTCGATGTAGGGCCAACACCACGTAGGCACTGTTGACCCTGAGGGCATTTAGTGTGTAACCATTAGAATCATGAGGGTGGCAAACACTAATCTGAAGCCGGCTATAATTCACGGGAACTAAAAAAGACAGCGGAATCAATGTGGATACCATCTATCAGAAATAGGACATCTCCATTTACCAAGAAGTGGGTACTAACCGGCGAAACGTTCTGACAATGACAATGACAAACGGAAGTAGCGAAGCGTAGTTTGTTGACCGGTAAATTGATTGCAATAGTAATGTCAAACCATCTAGGGAACCCTAAAGGACGCCAAACCACGGCAAGGTAAGCTTAATCGTGATGCGGCAAATAACTAATCTGAAAGTCAAAATGCAGTTTCCTGAGTATTCCTTCCTTTTAGAATAGTTCAAGGAACGTGCCTTTTCGCGATCACGCGAAGTTCTAATTGAGTGCTGTCCAATCGTTCACTGTTCGGGAAAGCCTCGAACATCAACGTAAACTCCGGCTTGGGCAGCGTCTAGCGTGTTCGCCGCTACTTGAGGATCGGTGGCGAATGAGGGTCACTGACTCGTGCTAGGAATTAAGTAATATCGTTACTTACCGCTGGTGACCGACTCACACATATTTTTATAGGTCCCAAATGTCCATATGAAAGGGGTATCAGATTTCTCAGTAATAACTCCACGCAACGGCATTTACTGAACTGCGGAATGGTCCGAATGGCACCTGGACTATCAAATCGTGTACCAAGGGACGCGATGGCACTGAGGGCTGAGAGTCATGAACCTGAGGGTAGTACACGCAACTGAACAGCTCGTGGGAGGATGACAGAGTCGTGCGCTCAGATCGCGGGCTTGGCCCTTCAAGAAAAAGACCGACAAAGGGATAGCGCCTGGGCCCAGGCCATCTCAGAATCTGCTAGCAGCATGAATGAATTGGAATCATGATCCGCCTAGAATCTTCAAACAGTGAGAGTCGAAACGCTCTAAGACTGATTTGGACACTGAGTTTCTGACATGTCGTCACTGGTCAATAATTTTTGATCGGCGATTTAATTCCATACGGTTAACCACCATCAGCTTTGAATGAGTCGGATCATCTCGCGACCTCAAGGCCTCATCTTCGTCCAAGTAGTAGCTTATTCGCTTAAGCTTGAGGATGATATACTTTAATATCGGCGACATAATGCTCCAACATTTTTTTGGTTACAGACCGGCCAATTTATTTGGGGTTACCACGTACGACTTCTTGTCCGTGAACTACTTTCATAATGTGATAGTTACGCGTGGCACTGGTAAAATTTTGCAATTATTCGCGAACACAAGCCAACTTATTCTTTCCCACCTTCAACTGTGGCAAGCGCTACATTCATGTGCTTCTCAATCAGAGGTTAAAAGCCTGTCTCGATATCAAGAAGAGCTATACAATCCAAGGTCGTTTCAGTTGACAGTAAGACGCAGTTTTTGACTCGATTCGGCATAACCTAACGTTATTTTGAGATGCACTAGCTGAGTCCACCAATCATATCGCCTACGGGGCTCAAGCGCTCATGAGTGAGTCCTTGCTAAGGTTAACGTAAACTGTTCGGAATGACATCCTGGCGTCAATGTAGGGTCTCACTATGGCCGGCATCTTGGTCTCAATATAGCATTTGTCAGAATGCAGTGCAAAACGCCCGTGTCCACTATTATTGTCTAGCGACACCCTCGCCTCTGGCCACGATAGCACGTAGCATGACTACTGTCATCCATAAATTACAAGGTCTTTCTAGATCCTGAAGACAAATCCACTGGATACTTGGCATTGCGATTCTAAGCTCTACTTCACTTCGTGTCACCTGCGGATGCTGTTGTATGTTCAGTCACGCGCATTGTCATTGATCCCGCTCATGATATCCATGAGGGTCGTGTTCAGAGTTTTGCCCAAATACCAATCTTGTAACCAGTCGACTCGGTTCATGACTATTGAGGATCTAGTAGCATATGGTGAGTATCCTTTATTTGAACTATACTGTAGATGTAAGGAGTTGACCTCCCACGCGCTTTACTTTTGAGGTTTTAATTCCAGTTTATAATTGACTTCTGCGAGTCGGCTCTTTGAGGAGGCCATCCTCAACCTCGGCCGAGGGTGATTGAGTTTCCGGTTATCGATGGGAGCTTTTCTGCAACATGCAGCCCCATGGCGGTTTGCTCCATGTGAGATGTCCGGTATAATTTCAACGTTCAGGAACGTCCAAGGCCGCCATTCACCAGATCCAAAACTGGCTTGTTGATTGCCGGCTTATATGTCGACCAAGGAAGACGTGGCCACACGTGTTTCTATTTTCCATTTTCTCGATCTCATCGACCAGGTCGGTCTCTTTACCCCACAATGTGATCATTAATGTCATATGTCCGGTATCACATACAGCTGTGCCTGATTTTTGTGCAGTTTAATCAGTTTTTTCATGCTAGTCCTGGTGAGCAGACTCTGGGGCTTCTTCCAATGGTTGTGATCGATTTGATTGTCGTCGTCTGTTTCGTGACGGACGCTTGCGCCTTTGTCATTCTAGGACGAAATGCAACGTTTGCCGGGGCGATGTCAAGCTACGCTGATATGTTATGTACCCTCACACGATGGAAGTCGCGTGATTCCCAAGTTCTACGCTCTAATTAACAGACAACAAGTAAACCTTGTTCTAGCTGTTCATGTCACAGGCTTACTGCGCATAATAAATCTCCATTCTACCGTCTGCCGATTCTGGCCAATGGCACTTCTGTTTATTGCTCGTTTTTGGTATCAGCATGTTTCAAACTACAAAAACTACTAAGCATCCCATAACCTCCCAGAACTTGCTACAGAATATGCAGCGCTTGGTTAATTCATGACTAAATCCCTCGAGTTCGACCAAGGTCAGAGTTGGGGACTTGTTGCAGAGACTTGTGACATGTGAGTTATCGTGGTTCCGACAGATTTATCGGCTTGGGGTGACATCGTACGATACACACATTTTGGTTCCACGACCATATTCATGCATGTGCTAGTAAATCATAGTGGGTCATGAGAAAATTGACGGTCCCTTGGTTTGCAGTCCAAGAGGGTGGTAAAAATGAATTTATTATTGGCAGAGTATCTACTACAGGACGAAGTGTCTGTTGTAGCCGGAGTAAGCAAGAGTGAGTACCAGCCCAGGCACTATAAAGGGCGGCGAGCACGCCGCCAGAACAGCGGCTGCAGTGAAGTTGAGGTTGCCGGCACCAAGCCGAGCGGAGCTGGGACAGCGGAGAACCGCACAAACTAATATAGTTATTAGTTACGGACTTGAACTCGCTCCATCAATCATGCAGAACACATGGAGTTCCGTCAAAATTTTTCGTTAAATTCTGCCACCATGGCCAGCTGGTAACCTGCCACAATGGCAGAACATGCATATGCTTTTGCCAAGTTCTGCCCACAACGCTATCTCTGATGTTGTTTACATAACGGCTTATTACTAACTACTCACATCATCATGCAGACTACAGATGACGAACAATCTGAATCATCGTTTCCCATATTGTTTGAGAGCAATTGTACATGATACGAATCAACTTTTACTCGACTGTCTAGTAGTAGGGCAGCGTAGGATGGTGGTGAGTTGCACTGTCAGCCTTCTTGTATCTTCCTGATGAGTCGTTCTATCGCATGGCTATATATAATGATTTAACGGAAAAACGCTCCGATGTGACTCCGATGATCCGTTCCCAATTTAACATAGCACCAGCTTGTGATTTCGATTCTCGACACTAGACCTTCTGGCAGATGAACACATCCATCACACTTGGTTTCGGAGACTGACTACAATTTCCAGTCGCAGATGTATATGCTTTTGAGTTGCTACTGGCATCTTCGTCCAATCTTATCACACGAGTCAGTTCGTGGCAGTACAAACGTTCATACCGACTTAACTATGAGGCGGCCGCCGCTACAACCATACTCCACCAACATCCGGTGTTAACTATATCAGTCATTCGCTTCGCACCTGCGTACAATGTTGACCTCCACTTTTCTTTATGTCCCTAGACTTGTCGTACCATGTCGACGCTGATAAAGATATCAGGGTCATTTGGCCAGCCCGACGATGCTGCTACTACAAAGACTGACGTGTCTGCCTCACAAAATGCCGAAGGTGATCCGCACCTCGTCATCCTCGAGCCAGAGGATAATCCGCAAAACATATCCTTACTCAGACGGTGGCTTGCGATCCTGATTATCAGTTCTGCCTCTCTGTGCGTGACGTGTGATTCTTCGATTGCAAGTCATCTTATATTTCATTCTGGTCGAAACTAATTGTGCTCCAGGCTGCGTTCACAGAACAGGGTTCCGCCCAAACATTCCATGTCTCACATGAGGTGACCATTCTCGGAATTAGCCTATATGTTACAGGTCTCGGAATTGGACCGCTCCTCGTTGGCCCGTTGTCTGAAGTGTACGGTACGTCCAATATTTCTATCCACAAGCATACTCTCATGGAGTTGGGCAGGCAGAAACGTCGTTTACCAAGCATCTTATGTATTATTTTTTATCTTTACATTCCCCGTAGTGTTTGCTCCCAACATCGGTGAGTACATTTTGCTACCGGAATAAATAATGGATCTACAATAAAACAACAGCTGTTTTCTTCGTCTTTCGCCTTATCACTGGATTCTGCGGATCAGCCTTTTTGAGTGTAGCCGGAGGTAGTGTAAGCGATATGTTCCCAAATTCGAGTATCGCAAGGTAGGCCCCTGGATTTATGCTCTGTTCGATATTCTGCTAAATCACGTGGCAAGTCCAATGGCCGTGTATACTTTGTAAGTTTACTTGAACAACGCAAGCAGCTAAATTACATTATGGAACGACTGATCATCTTCAAGATCTCCATTTATCGGACCTGTGGCTGGTCCCTTGATTGCTGGGTACATTATTTATGCTTCTTGGCAGCACTGCTTCTGACATGTTGTGACGTTGTAGATTCATCAATCAAGTCAGACTCGTTTAGCCTGATGCTTGATCCTCATTTGACATTTTCTGATAGCACCTGTACTGGGAATGGACGTATCGGGTGCAGTTGTGCTGGATTTTCGTAGAGTTTCTGATGTTGGCTATAGTGCGTTTCAAAATTATTTTGTGGGATGGATTGACTTATGGATTGAATTTAGTTTGTTCCTGAGACCTACGTTCCGGTGATCCTGAAGAAGAAGGCAAGAAGGTAGGAGTGCATGTCCTCTTTTTTTCTCATCTTTGCGCGATACATTAATCCGCGTGACAGACTGCGGGAATCGACTGGAGACCCAAAGATTTATGCTCCTTTGGATAGACGGGAAGGTACCCTTGTTTCTGCTATCCTCGTCAGCTGCTACAAACCGTTTCGTAAGTCATCAGGCATTATCTTCGCTTCATCACAAGTAATGCTGTGGCACCTTTACTAGAATTACTTCTATTCGACCGGATGGCACTGCTTTTAGACTCCTGGTAAGGGTAATGCAACCCATTGATATTTGGTGTAAGTCCTGATCATTTCAGGAATGCCCTTATTCTTGGAATCCTATACTTGGCATTTCAAGCATACCCCATTATTTTTGAAGATGTTCATGGATTTAATATGCAAACAACTGGACTAGCGTTCATTGGGATTGGGCTCGGGATGATTTCGGCCATTTCCACACAACCGCTCTGGAATAGGGGAGTCCCTTTTTCGCTGGTATTTACCGTTAATATCAATATTAACGATATCCCTTTCTAGACTATATGCCAGCGAAACCGCCAAACACAATGGTAATCCGCCTCCTGAGATGAGGCTTATCATGGGTCAAGTAGGAGCGATACTTGTGCCAGTGGGTCAGTAACCAGTGGTTCTTAGTTGAGTGATGCTTACCATGTCTACAGGTTTGTTCTGGCTCGCGTTCACCACATATCCACAAGTCCACTGGATTGCCCCAATTATCGCGTCTGTACCCTTTGGCTCCGGGATATATTTTGTTTTCACGTCAACGTTCACCTACCTTGTCACCGCATACCGCCCAATCGCTGCCTCTGCCATGGCAAGTAATAGTGCATTGCGCTCAGCATTTGCCGCTGCATTTCCGCTATTCGCGGGAGCAATGTACGATAGACTTGGGACTGTTGGCGCTACTGCTCTTCTAGCCGGCCTCGCAACAATCATGGCGCCATTACCGTGAGTCAAACAAACAATAATAGTATGTAACATTGACCTTTATTTCTGACCATCAGTTTCATATTTTACCGAATTGGCGCGCGTTTGCGGAAGAATTCGCGTTTCGCAGCACATTGATATTTTACGCATACGACCTATAGATATTCATGTTGTCAAGCGAAGCTTCAACGCGTCGCATGTCGAATCAACTTGACTTATTAATTGACACGTTGGCGGCGGTGGCGGCTGCTATGAAACAAACGGCAAAAACGATCCATATCTCAGACAATACTTACAATACCGTCTGCGTGGTTGATCAAAACGGGTGCGTGGCTCTAAAACTGAGTTTCCGTTGGGCGTCGCGATATGACGCAATGGGTGCACATGCACCAACCACACATCCGTTGTTGGATCACTTAAACGGAGAGGCCGTCGCTGATCTATCGATAAGCCCAGGCATGAAGATTTAATACTCACACGAGCCTCACCATTTCTTACTAGAACGTTCGACATCAGTTTGGTTTGGGATATTGATGACAGCCATTCTTCCTCCGACCGCCACAGATTCCACGGCGTGTTTGTTTTCTGGACACCCTTCCGCAGTAACAACTTGATGTGGTCACCAATCCATATCGGCAATCTTACGAATGATGCCCATGCTATCCCCATCCTTTGGGGACCGGCGCATCGATAATCATGTTGGCATCCCGCCTCTCAAAAAGTTTCTGAAAGACCAAAAGAGCAGCGGTCTCCCTAAACGTTCCCTGTGATGTTTAGGTAGGTGATGCGCTCGCTGCATGATTGATACCATTCACACTAGTACTATTACTACCATAGCTAAGCCATATTTATTGGCAAACTGCCAACCCGTAGGAAAATTTCTGGCTGAGATGGGCAGTAGTACTGACACTACTGCGGCGGCGCTGGGCTCACCCACCCACTCCAGAAACACTCACGCTAATTTGAATCTATATCATCCGTCCCTAAGATTCCATTAATCATCCTAATCGACAACACCACGGCGGGCGAGAGTGCTTGAGTTAGACTCTTCTGTGTTGGTTCCACCTGACTAGTAGAAGCCGTGTTTGCGTTCCAGAATGTTTTCTCAAGAGCCGAGAAACCCGTGTCCGGAACGTTATATTCACCGTTCAAGAAGGATTCGCCGCAGGCAGCACGTGGGTATTTGGGGTCGTGTGCTTGGTTTCTTATCATTCCGTAGGTCACTGATGAGTCGGACATTCACTAGCAGACCGGACGCGGCTTCGCGAATAACAGGTGACAGATGATTCATTGCACGAAGTTTTATTTGTCATCCTGAATGGGGAAGACAAGTTTAACAGCATCTGATTACCAATTGATGGAGGGTATCTATATACAATTATTGTAACCTGGGTATATTCTACAATGAATAACGAATATGTAAGATCAAATTTGCGGTACACGAGAGCAGATGAAAATGAGAAAGATGAACAAATTAGAGCAAGAAATGAGACACGGATCAGAACAAACGAACGATGAACATCCTAGAGCATAGCGCATGTAAAACATAATTATCAGGAGGCGACCGTACCTCGAACACCATCGCTGACACAAAACATAATTCATACCTCCTCATCCCCATCATCCCCCTCCCCATCGCTCATAGCATACAGACTCAAACTTGTCATATCCCCAAGATGTAACTCGTGTTCGGGACGCAATTGTAGACTATTTGGAGACCCAGGACCTTCAGTCATCGAGAAAGTCGCAGTGCTTGGGCTCGCAGCTACTGTGCCTGTCGATGCGAAGGAAGTGAATGATACAGATTGACTGGCGTAAGAGGACTGAGAGGCATAGAAGGGATGCGAACGAGGAATCATGGAATGCGAATGTTTATGCCCCAAATTTTTAACAGGGGAGGAACTGCCAGGAGAAGGCGGTGACTCGCTCATCACGTTAGTTAACCCCACATCCTCCAACATCAACATCGACATTTCAGGGGGTGGAGCAGGGAACAAGCTCGAAGATGTGCTTGCGCGTCGTCGTCTCTGCAGTTGACTTTTCTGCGGGGAAAGAGGAGGCTGGATGGATAATGAAGATGTAGGTTGAGGCTGTTTTTGCGGCGGAGAAGGAGATCTGAACTGCGTGGACCGCGACGGGGAGGGAGTCCGTCCAAATGTGAAATCGAAAGACGCTTTAGCTGATACAGTATGGTGTCTGCCATGCTGCAGGAGATGCGAGTGCGATCGTTGGATAAGATTTCTATGGGGGACAGGAGTGAGCGTTTGGGATTGATGAGCAGGGGAGGCGCGGGGAGAAGCAAGGTGTTTTCTGGGCAAACGCTCGAAGTCTTGATCGCAGCGTTGTGTTTTATCGGACTCGCGTGCTTCGTCTCGGCTAAGCACGCCAAGTCCTACGCCTCTGTCCAAGCCCACATCATCTCTGTCCTGATTTGCCATAGCTTCTAACATCCTCAATCTCTCTCTCAGCATCCCATTCTCCTCCCTCAGTCTCCTGCACGCCTCCTGTGAATCCGCAAGTGCATTCAGGAGTGCGGAGGTCTCGAGACAGTGCCTTTCTTGGAGCGTCCGGACGTTCGCTCCCATTGCATTTCCAACGCCAGCTCCAGCCCCCGATCCCACACCACTGCTTACACTCGTAGGGGCTGTGCTTCCCGATAACGCAGTCCTCGCGGCACTCGAGAACGTCGGGCTCGGGCTCCATGGTGCACCAGCATTCCCTGTCGTATACGCGCTCCTCGTGCCCAACGAAGAAGTGCTTGCAGCCTCTGAAAATGCCGCACGGGAAGGAGCATGGTCCCGCAAGGAAGCATAACGGTTGATAGTCGAATAGTCGCGATCTCTATCATAACGGCCAACAGACGTTTCACAATCACGATCCAGCCGGCTCATCACCGAAGTAGCGCCTTCACGGTCACGATTAAACCGACTCAGCGCCGAGCTTGCGCCTTCTCGATCCTGCTCAAATCGATTGACACTGCCAGACCCAGCCCTCTCTCGTTCGAACCGTGAACCAGCCTCCTCCCGTTCCGAGTCTAATAATCCAGCGGCAGCAAATGCTTTGACAGTCCTCGGACCAAGCCATTCCATGGTTGGAGGTCCTGGTGTATGCGTGCTGCGGGTGAGGGGGGAGGACACAAGCCTGTTTTCTCCAGAGGTGAGCTTGAGTCTGCCTGCTCTCTCTCCAACTCCGTTCCTTACACCAAGTCCGAACCTCTCGGTACCATTGAGGCGATTATTTGCGCTTGACCCCGGTTTCTCAATTTGAGCAGATAAGGATGAGGGTTCATCAACACTTAAGCTTCTCTTCCGGCTGACAAAGAGGTGGGGATGATGACGGCGACGGAGATGGGTTGGGTCATGGGGGGTGCTTGTAGTTGGGGGCGGGCTAGATGTGGGAGTCCTTGGGTTTGTGCTGGAGGTGGTAGCGGAAGGTGAGGATGTGAGCGTGGTTGAGGGAGACGCAGTAAGACTGGAGGGTGCGGCAGCACTAGGTACAAGGGTTGTAGTGATATAGGGCATCGAAGGGGGCGCTTTTCCAGTGGGCACAACGTTGACATTTGGGCACGAGGATACGGGTCTCTGCAGCTTTGGGTGCTGATTCTGCTACAAATTATCCTGTAAGTACGTGAATTAACGCAAACATGAAAAACTCACCTCGGCTGATCCCGCGCGAGCATTCCTTATCCCGGTATCAGAAGAAGAGCGGGGCGTGAAGTTGACATCTACTAATGGACGAGGCACACATGTGTCCGAAGATACCCTTAACCCCGTAGTATCCGATGACGATCGCATTACCGTGTCCGCTGTGACCTGCCCAGCCGATAAAGGAGACAAGGGCTGACGTCTCTGTGTTCCCGTGGCTGTTTCTACAGATGTTCCTGGCGTGCTCGCAGCGATCGTAGGAGAGGCAGAAGTAACGCTCCGCATGAGCCTTGGCAAATGCGACGGTGGCCAACGCATGTTTAGAGAGGGACGGGAAATAGGAAGCTGCGTAGGCCCTGGAGAGCGTACAACTCCTCGTGAGGGTCTGGAGCCCAGAGATACCGGTGATCGTGCATCTGGCTGGAGGACCGATGATGACCGTATGTTCAATGATAGAGGTGTTATTGAGTCTCGTGATAGCGGCTCGACGGAAGAGCATCCTTGCGACAAAGGTGTAATAGGTCGTTCAGCTAAAGGCGCGGAGTGTAGTCGAGGGTCAGGTGTTTGAGGAATTGTCGAAGTTGCAACTGGGTATGGCGCACTAGTAGGCCCATTTGGTACCAAATTATCGGTGGCTGATTCTCCCATGTTGGGCGCGCGATGAGGACTGAGTAACTCGGCAAGATCAGGATCCAGCGCACTGAAGTCAAAGGATGCATTTGGGTCTGAGATCTGAGGGAAACACGCAATTGTATCCCCACTGTCAAACCCATGGTTTGTTCCTCGGAGTGAGGATAATTGCGGTACCACGTCTGCATCTTCAACCACGACAGCGCTAGACCAACCGTCGGCAGTAGTGGGGGATAGGACGTCGTGGATTTCGGCAGATAATTTTGAAAGGGATAAATCGAGATTTGATGTGGTGGGAGAGGGATCACAAGAAGTTTGAGAGACAGGGCACTCTTCGGAAATAAAATTGATAGCCTGAGCCGGTGGGGGAGGAAATGTGACCTTGGATGGAAAGAAAGTGTGTGGGGAAGTAGGGGAGGGTGATGGGGAAGGACTTGCGGAGGGGATATATTTCGAGATACCCGAGTTGTCAGCTTCGAGGATGGTGCTAAGGTCAGCGGGGCATAAGTGCACGGGGGCTAGTGATGACTATTTCATAATGACACATGAAAAATAGTGAAATTACGCACCATACATCTCGTCATCAGGGGACTGGGAAGCAGAGAGTGAAGGAAGGAGACTGTCGGAGGCTGAAGCAGCGCGAACAATATCATAGCTCCTCTTGTGCGCATCAAAATCTTCAGCATCAAGACGTGATATAGATATGACAGGGGGATTATCCTGATCACGTTGATGGTCGCGGACAGAAGAAATGGAAGGTTTGCGATCACTGGAGCGACGGAGAGAGGCAAAGTGAAACGGGTGTTTTGTTTGTGTTGAGGGCTGAGCTGGCAACGTTGGTTTGCTATTTCCGAAGGGAAGGAGATTACGGATAGCGCGAAAGGATGGAATGCTTGACGGTGTGGATGGCGTTGACGGCGTACTACTCTCAGATGTACGACGCATGAGTGGGAAGGCATTAATATTGCTAGACATCGAGGACCGCGATGTGCGCGTACTTATCATGCCCAGGCCAGGTGACAGGTCTGCCATAGTGTCGACAAAGACGAAGAACGTTGAATCGTTCCTGACTTTTCCAGGATGAACGTTAGTCGTGACAGACGCGCGTTTGTGGCATGCACGCTGCGAAGACCAGCTTCGGGATGGGTCAGTTTAATGACGACGACGACCCGTTCGTTGTCGCTGGTGGCAAGCGACGAACCGACAGCGACAACTTCAATAAAATTATCGACTAGCATCGTCCCTTGATTTTAAACACACTTGCCTTTTTTGGTGATCGTCTTTCTCTTTGTACTGGCATAGGCCATGCGCTACTACCGAGTCAACATCAATCAATAACTTCTACGTCCTGGCACTACCACGACAAATCAATTTTTAAATCTTGGCCCATTGACTCAGTTTCAATCGATACAGCGCATCTTCGGGGTGTATAAATGACTGCCAATTAAATCATCAGCGCTAGCGCTATACCACCGAGTTACTTCAAGTCGTTGGGCGTTACATTGATTTACCGGGGAAGCGCCTATGAGTGATGAAATTCAACCGTGCTCGCAAAGTCCACCTCTGGAAATCGACTGCTCGAGACCATAACGATTGAATGCTTTCGTCTGACCCGGGTAAACATCATGATGTTAACTAACAGTGGTTGAGCTAGGACCTAGCGGCATTAGCTTGTTTCTATTCAAGCATGCAGTTTGTGGTGGCACAGTTGTTTGGTCGTCAAGTTGAGCACTTGACAGACTACAGTCCGCCTGATCACACCTACTAATTATCGAACTCACCCCATGACATGATGTCAGCTGAGACTACTGTGAACGCGAACTCGGGCTTGGGCGGGTCCGGACTCGGCGGAGCCCAGCCTCACCATGACGCAGCTACTTAATACTCACAGCGGAGGGGCATCGCCGTGTAGTCACGGCAGTGCTATATTGTCACACTGTCACCAGAGACTCATCATGCCTTCGTTTGAATGGTTGGGACGACAATGTATTTCACTCCCCAGATGTGTGCTTGAATGTCGCTTATGCACAGGATCTAGTTCACGCCGGTCAGTGGTTGATCAGTTATATTTAAGAGGCTTGTGCGGAATGATCATGGTACCCTCCCCAGACCCTGCTCCATGCAAAAAGCAATAGCGAAATGTTTCGTCTCTAGGTATCTCGAAGCTGCCGCTGACGACCCACTCAAGCAAATATCTGACCAACAGCCTGTGACGTCTAATGCCAAACAACGGAGTGTTGGTGGGAAGTAGGATACAGGTAAAAGTCAAATTGATCAACTCTGTTTATGAACGCCGGTAACTGCAGAGGTATTGGAGCAGTCACACATGTCCGCTTAAGAATACTAATATTTCATCCATTTCACATCTCGGAAAGATCCGCTGGAAAAAGGGCACAACGAACAGAACCTTCCGACATCGGCGAATTTGCAATGAAAGTGAACCTGTGTCGGACAACAGTGATACAACGGCATCCAATACGAACCACTGCGCAAGATCAGAATCCAAAGAAATCGCTGCGATGATTGGCCGACGATACAAATATTGGCGAAGAAGCAAAGATATCGATTGGGGGACACACCAATGGCTTCTCTCACAAAAGGGATAGCCTTTTCCGTTCTCTCAATTCATGAGGCTCGTGAAACAACAACATATAAATTCTTTTATGGAGTGCCGAGCTCCCAAAATGCTGCGAAGAGGAGAATCTCCAAGAGGCATCAAGATAAAGACCGCATGACCATCTTGACTCTCTGCGCAGAACGATGACTATAAGTGGCCATTGGCTGGAGGATAATATGAAAAAGGCCGCTCACCTGCCCACAGAATACGAAACAGGACTAGGTAGTCGTTCCTTCCATCTGTTCATTTCCACACATCTATCATACCTCTTCGTCTGTTATGGACAGCGGCATACCTAGAGGAAGCCGACCAAAAAAAAGACGTTGGAGTGCTCTCAGAGTCCAGGCAGTTGATTATGTAATATGATGGCGGCGTAGTTAGCCAATTAAAAATCCTTAAGCTGCTGCTTGATCTGTCTACAGATCGGTTGTTAAGTATGCACGACACAAGCACGACAGAGAGTTGATAGAAAGATTAATTACAGAGTTCAACGTTCAACTAGGTTTGAAATTCTTTTCTACACAATTATGTAACGACAAGTGATATTAATGTAATGGCCGGGCTCGTTTTCAGTCTACACCGCGACCCTAATCTCTACCGCGGCATGCGAGTCTTTCGATCGACCCGCATCTCTATAGTTCCAGTCCAGAAGCCCCGCATGACTCAGACACTATCTGGAGGCCTTCAAGCTGGTGCGAGCGGACATGGTTGTTGATCATGATGGTCGACGTTTTCCCAACAGAGAAGTTAACCATTGGCGCATTGCACCCCAAAGACACGCGTAGAGTTTTTTTCCTCACCGCTTATGGCGGTCCCCAGGGCAAACAGAAGCACAATCTCGAGAAGCATTCCATGGATATGCAAGTGATTTGTGTGTACAGGAAGCATACCTCATTCCCACATTCACATTCACCACTACTCCATGTCAATTGTCCATTCAGACGCTGCATCGATCGTGCCCTTTGCAAAGGAGCATGTAGACATTGAAGAATTCGATCTCGACATAGAACTCAGTGCTCTAGAGGCGTGTAATAAGCTAGAGCGCAAACTTTTATGGAAACTTGACCTGCGTATGTCAATCCTGGTTCTGATTACATCCTCAATTATGTGAGTAACTTCGTGTCAAGGCATTTTCTATCTATCCCACTCTCATATTAGATGGATAAGAATGATATCAAGTACGTCTTTGTCATACATCACTGATGTGGCACCGTTACAACGCACGAAGTATGACCGATTATGGATGACTCGCTGACTACTGACCATAATCCTCTTAATGATTTCGACGGAGCGCTTCTAACGCCATTCTTCCTCAGCTTCGTGGAAGCAGCATTTTTCCTTAGTGCCGTATTCTTGATTTTGAGGTGGTTTGTTGACTATCGAGTATATCATTAGCGAACGCTCTGAAATCCAATGCGCAGGTACAAGAAATATGTCTCAAATTAGCTATCCAAGGATATCACTATGCTGACAGGCAGATATATCTATCGACAGCACATTTTCAGTCTGAAAAGGTGGCTTTTCTACGTTGAGGGAGCCCTGACTTTGCGATAATTGCTGTCTTCATTTTGCCGGATTTTCCGACAAACACAGAGTGGCTTTGTGATGACGAGCGTCAGTTTGCATTGAAGCGTATGGAGGAGGATGCTGCTGTCGGGACCAGTCAGAAACTGAGCATAGGAGTTGTAGGTCACGGCTTTTACCTCGATGTGAGCGACTGAAAAGTGTCACAGGTGGTTCTCATGTACTGCTCAGGCGGTGATATTATCCTTCACTGTCCGTTTCCCCACTCTTACTGCGACGCTTGGGCACAACCCAATGGTGACGCCGTTGCGCCTCCTTTCGTCTTTGCCGCCACTGTCGTATTCTCAATGACTAGGTAAGGCTCCATCTGAAATGATCTATGTAGGAACTGCTATCTGACTTTTCGGGTACTCTGATGGAACACAAGAATGTTTCCACCATATGAGCGCATCAAACATCGTTGCTGTCATTGGGCTCATCTTTTCAATGTGCACCACAAACATTGCTGCTCGATACTTGTCTCTGTAAGTACATAATCTATTTTCGGACGTATCGCTGAAGTCTGGTGTTAGCCGTCGACGGGTTCCTCATGCCGCAGACCTTTGGGGAAAGTATGATGCTGCTCGCATAGATCAGTACCTCGTGCTCTCGACCGCCATCAAAGAGTGCAGTGTTTTTCGCTCATCACTTTACTCCAGCAATTTGGCAGCATTGCGGGTGAGTAGTTTTATCGATCATATGATGGTATAAATTCATTGACGACATCATATTACAGGTACGCCTGGCCATTCATTTAGGGCCCTACCTATCGGTGCTCGTATGCCATTTGCCTCGCTGCCAATTGTAGTATCTGGATTCTGAAGACATTGAACAAGAAGCTGGAGGAAGAAGAGCAGGAGAAAGGGATCAAAGCGAAGGGATTCCGGTACCTTCTGGCTACGTAGTGATATTAATTTATTAACCGGTAATGTGTATTTGTAATATTTCGCGCCGAGCGTGCTGCCTCGCGAGCGTCGCCAGTTTTGAGCGCTCAGGTTTTGGATACATCGCTAGAGATAGCTGATCACCGCCTTCAAGAACTCTATGCCAGCAGGCAGCAATGTTCTGCTAATCTCCAATCGATTTGTAGGCTCTCGTAGAACGCAACTGACATGGACATTCATCAGGGTCGGCATTATCTCACGGCATTTGAAGTACTATCTGGCACGAATACAAGTAAAAATTGTTAGCATATAGTCTTCGTTGGTAAATTGAAACCTCTAGATCATCGCACCACCATTCAAAGAACGTAGCGGAATCCCTTTTCTTTGATTCCTTGCTCCTGCTCTTCTTTCTCCAACTTCTTGTTCAACTTCTTCAGATGCTGTCTGAGAATCCAAGTCATCGTGATTGTAATAACGTTAGCCACTATCACAATGGCATAAGAGTATCGATAGGAAGGGCCCCAATTGGCTGGCCAGACGTACCTGTCATCTGTTTCGTTAGTGAATTCTTACCATCATATTGATCGATGCAACTACTCACGACCCTAAAATGCTGCCAAGTTGCTGAAGTGCATTGACGAGCGAAAGACATACTGCGCGCTTTGACGGCGGTCGGGCAAATGTGTTACTCTCCCACGTGGTCATCAAGACAATTGCCGAATTGGACTGCGCCAGGAAGAACCTGATGAGGGTGGCCACTATCAACCAGACGTCCGAAATTAAGATCATGTGCCTACAGAGATAAGTATCGGGCCGCAGTGTTCATGGTGCATATTGAAATAAGGGACCCAATTATACCGATGAGGTTTGAAATACTCATGTGGAAGAACCTTTCTTGTCTTTTATCAGAGTGTCTGAGGAGTTCTTCAGATCAGTTCATAGTTCCCAGGATTCCCAGCTTACCTAGCCCACACGAATGTGAAAATGACAGCATATACCCAAGGAGGTGCAACGAGGAGCAGCGATACCGTTGGGTTGTACCCAAGCGTCGCAGTAAGAGAAGGAAAATAGAAAACGAAGGACACTGCTGTCACCTGAGCAATCGACAGTATTACGAACCACCACACTTTCCAGTCGGCAATAGCAAGAAAAAAGCCGTGACCGCGGCGCCCATGCTCAGTCTCTGACTGGTCCCCGACACCAGCATCCTCCTCCATACGTTTCAATGCAAGCCGGCGCTCGTCATCAGTAAGCCACTTTGTCGTCGTTGGAAAGTCCGGTAAAACAAAGACAGCCATTATAGCAACGGCGACAGTCAGAGCTCCTTCGATGTAGAAAAGCCACCTTATGAATAAAATTTAACATTGTCCCTTGAAAGATTTGCTAGATTGATTTACCTCCATGCGGCTTGTGCACGGACGCCGTCCATGTTAGCAAGAATACCGGATGCCATGAGAGCTCCGAAGGCGTTGCTGATCATGTTTCCGCTGCAATGGTACTGTCAATGAACAGATACGTCCACCAGCGTAGTGGCACCCTTACCAATAAAGAATGGCCAATCTGAGACCTATTTCTGTTCTCTTGTACCTGCACATTATATTTCAGAGCGTTCAATGATAGATATACTCGATAATCGACGAACCACTTCGAAATCAAGAATATGGCACCAGGGAAAAACGCTGCTTCCACGAAGCCGAGGAAGAATCGCGTGAGGAGCGCTCCGACAAAACTATCATGAGGAGTATGGTCAGTAGTCAGTGGTTCATCAATGATCGATCATACTTTGTAGTAATCCCAGTCAGTGCCGATATGACTCCCCAGATTACCATACAAGCAGGCAGGTAAAGCGACGGCTTTCCAATGTAATTGAGAAACATGTTGGAGGGAACCTGCATGATAATATATCCGACATAGAGAACAGACAACAACGTCGCAAATTCTTGACCCTTGAGATGAAGGTCGGTGGTGAACCCTCGTGTGCGAGCCGCACTTAATCCGTTGTGAACGATGCGTCAGCGATTCATGACAAAGGCATACCTAGCGTTATTTCGATCGATCTAGCACAAGGATAAGATATAAATCAGACGTCTTGACACGAAGTTACTCACAAAATTAAGGATATAAATGAGAACCAGCATTGACATGTGCAGGTCGAGTTTCCATAACAATCTGCGCTCCAGCTTATTTCGTGCCTCTATACCACCGAATTCTGCGTCGACATCGAGTTCTTTGCACTCAATATACGCCTTTGAGGGCGAGATCGATCCAACATCAGTATGGTCAAGTACCATGGTTGGGGTGATAACGGTAGCGTCCGGATGGCCTCAACGATTCGCTGTGCTTTAGATATTATGACACGTAAATCAATTTCATAATGGTTAATCTATTGGTACCAAAAAGCACTCGGCCGATGCGCCTCGGGGATGCACACGGAATATCGGACCGTCGTCATGGCCGTTCGCCGACAAATATCAGTCATGTATTCTGTTTAATGAAGGTATTTTCAATGGAGTTAGGGCTAGCTGGGAGTTTAACGGCCACGTACGTCACGCAGGGTTGCTGGAGTTGTCCAAGACTACCAAGTGTTCGTGCCGAACTCCGCAGTTGATGGTCTGAAACGTATGTATCGCAGTGCCATGGGGAATGCTCCAAAGGTTTGGTCGCTTTTGGCTTGTAAGCATGACGCTTACCATACAATGACGACGCACTCATGATGACGCACTCTATGATGCAGAATGTTAGGCTCCACCGCGTAAGACACTCATATAGCTCGCTCTACACGTACCTAGGACTCACTCCCTATCAATCATACGCTCTTCCATATTACTAGCTACTTGCCTGCTAGTGTTGCTGTCCACGTGACGGCGTTCCAGACATGAAGCTCGGATGGATTCTTCTGAACAGTTTAGCACCTGGCTGTTGGCAAGCGTATGCATATGCAAGTGCCTACTCTCACCGCAATATATCTCCTGTGAACACCGAAAAATATCAATTGACCAGCTGCAAGGGATGGGGCCGAGTGTTTTTCCTGCGTCAGGGCGTGTTTCAAGTTATAGCGGAGTTTGCCGGTAATTATTTTTTGCTCTTCTGCAGTGCAATTGAGGTTGGTGAGGCTATAAGTGTCTACGACAACACCCGACATACCCCTAATACCGAGCTGTCTGCCGCCGCCGAACGCCGCAGAAGCCGAGTTATCTGACAAGGATACGCAGCTTCCGGCGGTGTACAATCGATCCAAGGTGTTCATTTGCTGGTCTCATAACAGACTGAGAATTCCACCGCGACGGCGCTTGAAGCGTATCGAACAACCCCACCCGTGCTAGCAGTGGGAGTCCAAAAAATATGGGCAGGAAGTAACGAGTCAATAAACTAACTGTTTCTCCTGCAGCTGATGCATTTCAGTAATATATGGATTAGTTCGCCAGAATGATATTGCATAACGTCATCTTGATACATTTCATAAAACCCTTCATCAGAAAACATTCAGTGGTCTGGTAGGACAACAAACGATACAACCGTGAAAGGATCTGAAAGGATGTGGTGGGAATGTAAGATTATGGCGGATGAAAAGACTCGAAGGCGCATCAGATTAACGATGTGAGGCTGGTGTGGATTTCATTGTGCTGTACTTAGTGTGTATGCTTCGTCCTCTATCGGTGGCAGAAATAGATTAGAATGACATTCGCCTTCGAAACCAGATGAAAATAAGGGAATCAAGCAGAAATCGCAGCTCACAAAACGACAGCAATTAAGGTCCTACACCCCACACCTCCAGTCCTACACACTCAAAGCTCACATCCTTCTTAACGCCGACGCCCCCAACATCCACACGAGAACACAGAACAGGGTTGTCAAACGTAGGGCACGGTGCGGAAGATCCGTCAAGGAGGGAGGCATCAAGGTAAAGACCGTAGTGTCCATCTCTGCGCATCAAAGCGAGTCAGTCGTTGATTAAGAGGGATGTGAAAAATGAACAGAATCACAATGAAAGAATACTCACCCACCACCAAAAGATATGAACCCTGGCTCACAGAGCGCAACGTAATCATTCCTCCCTGTCCATTTGTACACATCAAGCGTCCCCTCATCTAGTGCGTCCTCTTTGCTTGAAGAATGTGAAGGATGTTGGTATCTCCAAAGGAAGCTGATCGGAGAAAATGAGCTCCAACGACCAGAGGATGAGGCAAGAGAACTCACGACTCGCCACTCCCATAGTATCCTCCTCTTTCCAACCACAACCCATCCCCCATCCACATGCCGAAAATCGCATCTCTTGCATCTTTGATAACAACTAGAGCTCCTTTCGTTGCGCCTGGCGTCGAGGGCAACTTGGGTTCACATCTCGAATACAACGTATTCAACGAGATACCGTGTTGATCGAGCGAGTACAGCAGAGTCCATGTTCGCGGAAGACGATTGAGCGCTGGAAGGTGGGGTCGAATCTAGAAGAGTATATGGGTGAGTGCTGACTGCATGAACATTTACTAAATAAGGATTACGGACAAGATTTGCGACGGTTTCGCTCAGCACCACTGATGTGCCCTCTCTCCTTCCAACAAGCTTAAGACCAGCCATCTTCTTCCCTTTTCCCGGCACCCCCTTTACTTCACTCATTTCCTCGTCATGGAGTGAGTCTGAGAAGCCCTTGTCCCAGGTCCGATCGCCTGCGAAACCAGGGGCACCGGATGGTGGAATATAAGGGTGAATGGCGAAAGGGGTGCCACGCGTGATGCCGGACGTCTGATGCGTTACATGCATGTGTGTTGGTTGAGGTACGTTACTAGGCGTCGAATTTAGCAAGGTTGGCGTAGAAGATCCTGTGGATTGTCTAGATCGGGCAGATGGCAAGAACGCCGAGACCCAGCCGGAGGAAAGGCGGGATAGCGTGGCATGCGCTGGAGGAGTGGCTGGGGAAGAGAGAGACGACGACGTTGATGTGGAAGGAATATGTGCTGATGGAGGGGATGCCGCTTCACTAAGACGGGGAGGAAGAGGTGCACGTATGTTTATGGGAGACGGAGAGATTACGCTCGTAGCAAGCACAGGCAATTTGTGTGGGGGAGAAGGAGGAGGCTCGATATCTACATCAATTAAGTTCCCAGTTTGTGGTATTGGAGACGGTGATTGTGTAACGATACTAGTTTGAGCCAACGTTGGTTGAGATTCGAATAGGGGAGATGAAGGAGGTTGACTGTGCTCCCGAAGAAAATACAAAGGATCATCTTCATGCTCCAGCAGCTCATCGAGGACGACTCGTCTATTCTGTTCGAAAGCCGTTTTTGCATTGGAGGTGAACTGATCAAAGTAATGCAAGCTTGCGTTCCCAGCGATAGCAGGCCTCTGAGACTTCAGGGCAGCAGGTTCGAGCACTGGAAAGTCAAATGAAAGCGGGTCCTGAGCAGCGGGCACCGATACAAAGGCACCGAATTCGGAATCTATGCTGGCCGCACGATTTTTGTGCTGTGGGCGAGCTGATGTTTGGGGCTGATCACGAAGGACAGGTGTTGGGGTTGCAGGGGGCGTTGCGGGGGAGAACAAAGTGGCGAAACGGTCGATCTCAGCTGCATCGAGTAGGTTCATGCGCGGAGAAATTGGTCGGGGTTGTGCAATTGGCCTTTGGGAGGGCCGCCGCGTATGGTCATGAGAGGGTAGGGGGATAAGCGGTTGAGTGGTCATCGTCATTTCGTTACAGTAGTGTTCTGAGTATCGTTTGTCTTAGCATTCAAATGAAAAGAGAATGAACATACATGCAAGTTTATAACATGAGGTGCAAGTTAGCTATGACTTTTCAAGAAGCTGCGCCAGAGCCTGATGGACACGATGTGATTAGTAAAATTGATGTTATAGGAGACGAGGTAGTCTTCTAAGGTTGATGACTGTTGACTGCATGAAAGCTGTAGTAGACTGACCTGCTCAGTAAATATGACAAGACTGAGCGCTGAGATCTGTACATGCACATCTCATGAGTGACCGTGATGTTGCGTTGGCTGAATGAGGACTCACAGAAGTACAAGTGAAATGCGTGTATGCTGAGCGCTGAGATCGCGAATTCCTCAGGTCTCTTTACTCCGAGTGAAGCACGGACGATACTTACAAGGACTTTCGAAGAGAATGAAGAGCACTATGTAGCTAAGTTGATTGAGTAAGTTGTTGAGTACATCACAGCCACCGCTTGGCCGTGGCCATCAAGCCATGCTGCACCAACTTCTGCGGCACGCGTTCAAGTACTGGCTTCACAAACTACGAATCTCCCAACAGTGATGTAAGTAACGACTGTCTTCTCATATTCTTCAATCTGCTCCCTGTTAAAGACCACTAATCTCTAGCTAAAACGCTACCCTAGAATTTGCTCATTGTTTATACAACCGAAGGTATGTACGAGCATAAATCCGTGTGCACAGGTTTATTGATAGGTCCAAGAGTCTACAGCATTTATCGTGCAAGATCCGTTGACTCAAGGTGAGTGGCCTGCCTCGAGAATTCAAGGTGACTTTCCTGGCGAGGACACTTATATCATCGACCGATAACGATACAGGCACGGGCAGTGTCTCCTTGCTGGGTCTCGATCTTCCCATGTTCTTCCTGCAAAGGCATCGACGAAAGATCCGCACGAAAGACTCCATCTCGCATCCCATTCAAATCAACCATACCCCAGAAATCCCACCAGAAAATGACGCACCCCTCTGCTCAACATGCTCATCCCTCGACCTCCATGCAATCCTCCACAACGGCGTCCCAAAAGAATGCGCAATCCCCATCGGTCACCTCACAGACATCCTCAACAAATCCAACCAGTGCGGACTGTGCAATCTCATAGCTATCGTCATCCGCCGCGAGTGGAACTTGGATAAGCTGCCTGATGTCGACATTTCTGATGTTACTTGTGCGCTGTATGCGATGGAATGCGGGTATCCGGGCATTCCGGATTATGTCTCCCCTGTACTCAGGGATATCTGCCATCGGCTGTATATCCTGACTTTTGATAGACCTCCGGATGTTTCAGCTGCTATAACTGCCGCGCAGTCAAACTTCTTGCTGGATATTCAGCTCCTCGAAGAAGATGCTTTCAAGGTTGGCAGGACGAAGGAACTTCATGGCAGAAGAGTCGGTCAGAATGTTGATATCGCCTTGTTGAAGAGATGGATTCACATCTGCGAACACGAGCATGGGGAGCTATGTGAAACAGTATGGTGGAGAGGCGCCGGAGACGTTCTCCCGAGGAGCGTCAGAGTCATCGATGTCACTCAAATGGCTGTGGTTCGCGCTCCGCCATCTTGCCGGTTTGTCGCTCTCAGCTACCTCTGGGGAGGTACAGGAGAAGAGTACTGGACGACACGGGCAAATCTCAAGCAGCGCAGAGCAAAAGGTGGCCTTGATGTATCAGTGCTGCCGGGCACGATCTTAGACACTATCCAACTCGTGCGTCAGCTCGGCGAGCGGTACCTGTGGATCGACGCGTTGTGTATCGTACAAGACGACCCTAAGGACAAGGCAGTGCAGATTGACGCAATGGAGCTTATCTACGGTAGCTCTGTGTTCACAATCTTCGCTGCGGGTGGCACCTCCGCGCATGATCCTCTCCCAGGCATCCGCCCAGGAACAAGGGATCCCAAACAACAAATAGCTAAAATACAAGGCCTTCACCTCGCCATTCCCCTCATCCTTCCCCGGGAGGCCATAGCAAGCTCTGCATGGGACACACGTGGCTGGACATATCAAGAACTCATGCTCTCGCGCCGCCGGATCTTCTTGACACCCCATCACGTGCACTTTCAATGCACCGAGGATGTATGGAGCGAAGACGTGATCGCAGAGCGCAGTAACCTCCCATGGGCATCGCACCCCGTGAAGTATGGTGGTGTAGTTGCGTTGACGTTCTTGCGTGCTCCACCGCAATGGATGAGCCCTACATATATGGAGCACTACATGAGCATCATCGGAAAATATACGCAACGCAGGCTTACTATGGAGTCGGATATCGTGATTGCTGTTACAGCGCTTATCCATGCGTTGGCCAAGGGGTTCAAGATTGCTGGTGGTCACCCTAGTCAAGCGTTCCGGTTCGGGATGCCCATCATTGACCTGGAACTTGCATTAGTGTGGCAGCCAACGACCAATACATCATGTGTGCGGCGAGTGCATAGGAATGGAGATACGATGTTATGGCCATCCTGGTCGTGGGCTGCATGGCGGGGTGCTGTCCAATATAGCGAACTCAGCTTGTTCGTTGATGCACGGAATGGGGGCGTTTCTCCGTGGATAGCGCAGTCACTGGTGGAGCAGTGGCATATCGTGGATGATGATGGTCGGCTTGTTCCCCAGGATGTTAGACGTACTGGTCGGATGGCAAGATCTGTTGAAGAAGCAAACTCTAGTCCATATGTCATTCCAAAAGGCGATATCGAAGGGAAAACTCTGATTACAGAGAATGCATTGCGCCTGCAGCCTGGGACGTTAGTATTCAGGACTCGTTCAGCTTGTTTTACCGTTACGAAAGCGGACGATGTCGTCGGTGCTGATCCCAAGGCCAACTATGCGACATATTCCATACTATCTGACATTCCTCGACCATCAACGTTAGTAGGGCGCGTTATCCTTCCATGTACCACTCATTCACCGAGCTCATGTGAATTTATTGTTCTGTCTCGTGCCGATGATACCAACGGGTTGTACGATGAAGACACACTGGGAAAACGATATTTGGGGTGCATGTTGTATGTGATGGTGGTGCAGAAGATGCAGGATGGAAGACGCGTGGAACGGGTTGGGGTTGGGGTTATATTTGAACACGCTTGGCCGAACTCGACAGGGGAGCACAAGGTTGTTCTTTTGGGATAGCAGTGGATATATCAGACTGAACGCCGCGGCACCTAGGGTGGCATCGAAAATCACAATGATCATTTATTAGCAGCTACTGAGTCGAGCATGGGTGCGAAGGTTATATGCACACCTTCAAGTCGCCAGAGATGCTGTTGTGATGAAGGAAAAAGAGGATGCGCATATATAGTAGTTGAACTCGGACACACCAAAGTGCCCCTCAGCAGTGGCGTCACATGAGCAACACGGTCACGAGCCAAACCAAGAAATTTGAATTGGCAACTCCTAATCTCGATGGGCATCCTTCTAGATATCTCGAGCCCTGCCATTTTTTCAGTCTCTCGATGTCCCACCAGATATCTCCCAGCAAGGGTGAATCCGAGTCAACGGTACAACTTCCTGGATTCTGTTTCGTTCCTTCACCGAACGTGCTAACAGTTAGTTGCATCATCTTCCTTTGAACTGATATTCTTTTCTTATTCATCAGTCCAGCAAAGTTCATGCTTCCCCCGTCAGCTCTATCGGACGAGTCGTGTACAATCATTCGGACCTTCTGTCTTAGTGGTTTTGCCATTATGAAATACACTCCATTCTACATTTTGTCTTGGTGTGCCAACTAAGTAGTACGATACAGATTCGATCTCTGATACTCGTATGTCCTCTTCAACCTCGGCTGGCCACTTCCGCTGAAGACTGATAATGTCACTGTCTACTTTAGCACAGATTCTTTCGCAAATTCTGGTCAGCGACCTTGATTCCCAGCGCTTGGTGCAATCATACCAGCGTCTATATATATCGTGCCGAACGGCCCTTCGACGATAATACGGAAATACACGTGTTGTATCACCAGCTGAACCCTCAACCTCCCTCTCAACCTCCCTCTATCCACAGTCCCCATATCCTTACCCCACTTCTTCCATTCCCTGGCACTCATTCAGTCCACCACTCAGCCCATCCTCGATCCTCATCAAATCGCACTGTCGCAACATCATGCCTCGTAGCTCAAGACGCCGATACATCAGACTTGAAGGTGAGTCCCTCCATATTACCCTCTATCTCTTTCGTGATCCTCATGCTCTATCTACAGTTATCAGCGGAAAGAATATTCAAATCCCTTCCTGGCGCATTCCCGCTGGCATTTACATATCTGTCAAAGTCGACTCGAGGAGACGCTGGAAATCGGTCAGCAGCGTTTTATCATCTGATCAATCTGTAGAGTGGGGGAATATTGTGACTCTGTAAAAGTTCATGCAGACTTTCTGAAGCGATGCGAGAACTGATCTTTGGTTTAAAGAGCATCGCATGCCTCACCTACGTTTTCAGTGGAGATCAGGGCGTCCTTCGAGCTTGGTAGAATGCTAGGCGGTGGAGAGGTCATCAGGAAACTTGAGATGTCGTGGAATGAGCTACTCAATCATGCAGATGAGCCATTCGGTGAGTGATTCGCTTCTCATCAATGCACATATACGGATGTCTTGTAGATCTATCCTTCCCACCCGTGCGCGGTGTCTGCCCTTCCCTCACGCTGAAGGCCGCTGTTCTACATGCTTGCGACAATCAGGACGGCAAACTGTTTCATGTGAGTGGAGCTGTTCTCTGTCCTATTAGCTTTTTTCTGACAGAATGCCAACTGTAGTCCATCATAGACTGCGAGATTGCTCGAGACACAAATGCGGGTCACACACAATTTGCCGCATACGTGACAAGCGAAAAAGTCTCTCACTTGAACGCTGCTGTAAAGCGTTTTCGGTTGGTTCTGGACCGGTGTCCGGTCGGCCATCCAGACCACGCAACAGCTCTCACCAATCTCGCGTGGGCCCGCCTTGAAGGCTACAGGCCGAGATGATCTTCAAGACATCGATGCCACCACTTGCCCTCTTCCGCGACGCCCTTGCATTGCGTCCGCAGCCCCATCCCGATCATCCCTTATCTCTATATAATCTCACCGAAGCGCTGACTTGGCGCCACGACAAGAAAAGTACTGATGCCGACATCCGCGAATCCGCCCAACTCTATCATGAGCTACTGCCTCTCTGTCCAGAGGGCACCTACCTTCGTAGCATCGCGGCAGGGGAAAATGGTGTCGATTATGTGATCGACTGCTGCAACGATCTTCCAAGAGACGCATCTGATGAAGGCATCCACCTTCGAAGAGTCGTCCTCGAGCTCTGTCCTCTGGGCCATCGCCTTCGTCCCGGAGCCCTCGAAGAGCTTGCAGGAGCAGTTGGAGCACGCTTTGAGCAGCATGGCAGCATCGATGATCTTGACACGAGCATACAGCTTGGTCGCGAAGTCGTGTCTCTGTGTTCCGAGGAACATGATGTCTACCTGAATAATTTGGCTAATTCCCTCCAGTTGCGCTTCGGACACCAATGGAACCCTAATGACCTTGACGAGGCCATCTCTCTGCATGGAGAAGCGCTGCGCCTGCGCCCTGTTGGGCACAAATATCGATATGAGTCATTAGACAACCTAGGGAGCGTCCTCCTCGATCGTTTTAGAACACGCGGCGACATTGATGACATTAATCGAGCTATTAGCCTCCTTCGTGAGGCACTGATGTTGTGCCCACCTGGGCATCCAACTCGTGACACCACGCTTCACAACCTTGCCCTCGCGCTCAAAACCAGATATGACAAATCGCATGTTAGCGAGGATCTTAAAGAGGCCATTGACCGGCATCGCGAATCCCTTCAGTTAACGCCGCTTGACCATCCACAGCGCCATATAAATCTTCTCAATTTGAGCTCGGCGTTCTGCTCTCGTTTCACAGAATCTCAGAAGAATGAAGATGTCGAGGAGGCCATCACTCTTTGCCAAGAATCGTTGGCGGCTCTGTCTTCACTGCACCCGGACAGGTTTTTCAGCTACATTTGGCTGCAGAAGGCCTATTTGTCTCGTTATGAGATTCTCCACGACCCGGCTGATTTGTCGCTCGCTATAGAAAACTTCAGACTCGCTTCAAGGCACCCTACTCAAGGATTTCCAGATCGCATCATTCAGGCATCTAATTGGACCTTTACAGCGGAGAAGCATGGTCATGCTTCCGCGCTGGAAGCTTACATGACATTGTTGGAGCTTCTTGATGGTCATTTGGCGACACGATCATCCACAATCTCACGGCGCGAAGCTGCTGCCGCCTTCCATTATGCTAGATCACTTCCTGTCGATGCAGCATCATATGCTACCCGCTGTGGCACCTTTCAACGTGCAGTAGAACTTGTGGAGCAGGGCCGTGGCCAGCAATGGTCGCTGGCATCTCGACTTCGGACTCCAGTTGAAGATCTCCAGTCAGCAAATCCGACATTGGCGCACAATTATTTGGAGCTGAGCAAACTCATTTCCAATGCCGCGCAGAGTTCTGCAACCATCTCTGATCACGATAGAGCTGCTGTTGATCGAGCAGCAATAGAATATAGGAAACTCACAAGGCAATGGGAGGCTGCCGTGGCAAAGATACGCGATCTTCCGGCATTTTCGCGATTCTTGCTTCCACCTTCGTACAAAGACCTTCAAGAGGCAGCGCGCCAAGGCCCGGTCATCATCCTCATTGCGAGTCAATGCTCGTGCAGCGCTATCATTGTCCCGATGTCAGGAGACCCCCATCATGTTCCCTTTCCGTCTGTCGGTCTCACAGATCTGACAAAACTCAAGGACCGCTTCACCAGCGCAATACGAGACGCATCTAGGATGGACCCAGCGGAGCCCAGGAAGGATCTGATAGTACTCTTACGGACAATATGGGACGAGATCATGCTACCCGTCGTCAATGTACTCGAGCACGTCCTCAAACTAGAGCGCCGCTCTCGGATCTGGCTATGTCCAACTGCAGCTTTCACGTCTATTCCTCTCCATGCAGCTCACCCCTTCAAGACAAAAGCAGATTGTTCTAAGGAGCCATGCCTGGAGGATCTCTACATCTGCTCTTACACGCCGACACTTTCGGCTCTGATCAGATCTAGACAGCTGAAGAAGAAACGTATCCCTCCGTCCTTCGTGGCGATCGGACAAGGTCAACCAGGTGCAGGGAAGGGCAAGGCACTGCTGGCCGTCGACAGCGAGCTCGAGCTTGTCCATAAGCTCGTTCCAGCGACAGCCAACCGCACCACTATCTCTGGCGACGCGGCCACACGAGCGGGTGCACTCGAAGCTTTGCAGCAGAACAACTGGGTGCATCTCGCTTGTCATGGCAAGCAGGATCCTAAGCAGCCTTACCATTCACATTTCGTCATGAGAGATGAGGATCTGACGCTGCTTGATATTATGGAGAAAGACATTCCGCACGCCGAGTTCGCGTTCTTATCGGCGTGTCATACTGCCGTTGGCGATGAGGAGACGCCCGACGAAGTGATTCACCTCGCAGCTGGTCTCCAATTTTCAGGGTTCAAGAGCGTGATTGGCACGCTGTGGCAGGTCGACGATGCTGTCGCAAAACACGTCGTCAAAGCCTTCTACACGAGTATGTTCGAACAGGTGAAGAAAGGTGGTGAGATGGACTGTACGAAGGCGGCCTGGGCACTGAACCGTGCTACGCATGCCGTGAAGAAGACAGTGCCGCTCGAGCAGAGGATGGTTTTCGTTCATATTGGTGTGTAGTTATAAATCGTATTGCTGTCGTCTGGTACATATTCACATGTCGACTTGCGATCTTCTTTCATTATGTTGTAAAATGTGACCTTGATATATTTCTGTGCTCTGGCTATCTTGTTTTCATATACTCTGACTGTGTTTTTGTCGATTAGGAATGTTCACCAAGTTCCTGTGCACTCGACTCGTTTGCGGCCTCATCTTATGCTTGAGTATTTAGATAGTGTCGAAAAATGCGGTCACATAAAATGAGCATAGGTTAACATTTCGCTACACTACTACTAGTTGGTACATGAACACGCTCCAGCTGGACTCAAGGTCCCGGCATGAATATCTGCACGACCAATAAAATTGAAGAGTGGCATCGAGTATCTGAGCTCCAATAGAATTTGAATTCTACAGAGATATGCAAGCTCGAGGCAAGAGACACAAACAAAGCTAGCGTGTGCAGAACTCGAGAAAAAAGATAACTACGTTCACATTACAACTATCGATGCGCCGAGTTGTCGCAGGCCAACCGGAAACACTTCAAGTGGTTCCGAGGGTTGTTGCCTACAGTCAGAGCGACGGGTGTTTTCCTATTGCAGAATCCAATAGTTTCTAAATTCCGGCGCTTACCCGAGGCGTTTGATCGTGTAATGTCTGACCAGACACCCATTGCGCTCGACTTGAATTGTTGAAACTACCTGCCACCTACTCATGACAATGAAGGTCTTTCCTATAAATTGGCCGTAGCATCTCGAAACGTGTTATCAGGGACGACAGGAGGAAAGATTTCCGGGTCATGATGGCACCGCCTTGACCTTTGGGAGCGAGCAGATGCGTACCAGTGTCACAAAATATGCGACCAAGGGTAAGTAATTGAATTAGCTACTTACCATGATTCAAGAGGACTCATCATTATAAACCGGATGTGGCGTAGCTGACTCCACGCCATTACGGCCAACTTGAAATACCCCGCGTAAACGTTTCGTCTAGTTACTGCTAGCGACGTGTTGGCCGTCCCTGACGTGGTTCTGCCACGTATAATTATCTTTGGGCAGAACTAGGTCTGCCACACAGTTGATATAAATTGAATATGGCAACTTGAACTTGGTTCCTAAATTCAAACTTGAAGACAATCGCCCCGTCTATGTGAGTGATCCCAAGACTAAAAAACTTCAACAACTTGGACAACATATCTATTACATCTAGTTTTTCCTGGACGTGCCACTATCACCTCTTTTGCGTACACCACAATCAAACCGTATGGTGGGCGATTTCCCGGCGATGACAACCATCACTGACATATATATGTTACCAGACATCATGAAAATCCAGTTCATTCACTACCTCGTCATTCTTGCCGCCGCCATCGGGGTGAATGCAACTCTACCTAGTACATGCATAGATGACTGCCAAGATCCTGATGCATCCGCTAGCTGCGGGGCAGGTTGGGGACTCGTCTGGAATAAGAGCCTAAACTGCAACATCTGCTGCGCTAATAGTTAGTTAGACTATAAGTAGCCATCGAGTTTGTTCAGATGATGCATTTTACATTTATCTACTTACCTCTCAAAGCACTCGACGACATTTGCGTCCTCTGAAGGCATGTGCGCGCTTTAGACCCTCGCGATTGTGTCTGGGTGATCATGTATCACGTAGTAGGTCTGACATATCACTTATAAGGGAGATGTGCAAAATTATTCAGTAGAGCTTGGAAACAGTGACACAAATGTTGAGTGCGTTGGCGTTACTTATCTCCTGTAAAAGGACCCTACCGTCTGGTTTAGAGTTGAGAATCACGACTGTAGAATTGAAAAAGTGGAGAGAAGTCGGTATTAGGACGCGAACGGAACGTTAGGAGAGAAGATGGAACGAGGTGAAAATTCTGATTGCAATGGGCAAGACAAGTCAAGGGTTTCAGGTAAGTTGAGAAGTGGGCCTTAGTTCCGGCTTGTAGATAACAAAGCTCTAGTTTTGCGAGATGAGATGGAGGAAAGGTGAACTGATAGTGCAAGAGTGGACTTATTGGACTCTGAAGTAGTACGGGTGAAGTTTTCAGCAGAAGGTCCTATTGTAAAATGGTCAGAAATGCCCATCATATGAGTCCTATCCCCCAGAGTGGTCAGTGCCAGGACACTCTGCAATATCATTATCTGTCGAAGAGTGCACGCGCTGCGACAACTGCGCAAGTCCTGACGCGGTTATGACTATTGGGCAATCAGAGAGTTGAACGATCCTGCCCAACAGCCAGCTTCCAATGTTCCGATGGGTCATATTGAAATCCCGAAGTGCGCATCATTTCCGCTGTTATAGTCACAGTTCTGATGGCAAAATCATCTCCTGCAGTTGATAGCAACCCACGTCAAGGAGTGCCCTGCCGACGGATCCTATCGATCGCAACTTTGTCCTATAACGCCCAAACATGAGTGTGAATAGCAACAAAAAAAAAACAAGACGAACGCCCAAAGTAGCTCTGGCACTTTCATCCGTTTGATCACGCAGCTCTTTGATGTCATTCTTGAGCCCAGCATTTTCCCGCCTCAGTTCTTCGATGTTGGACTTCAGCCCAGCAAGCTCTTCCACGTCGTGCTTCAACTCGGCATTTTCCCGCCTTAGCTCAGCTATATCCTGAACGATTTTTTCCTCCATTGCCTGGAATCTACGAAGAAGGACACTAAGGATGTCATTTGCAGCTGAGAATACATTAGTCTGACGGTGATGAATTTGAAGGCCACAAAAAACACCTGGTTTAACATTACACTGGGCGTTCTCCTCTCTGATCGATAATGTGGCATTTTTTTGAGCCTTCACGTCACGTACTTCCTGAATGGCAGATTGAAGAGCATCGACAAAGGGTGAGGGTGTCAAACGCTGTCCTTCAGGAATCAGGAGGCTCCGGGTACACGACCATCGTCAGATTACCTTTAAGACTGCGTATGATGGTATTATCGTCCTTTATAGCTAATCAAGTAGGATCGTAATTTGTATACATCGCGAATACGTGGACAACATTGACGTACCTGGGTAAAAATCGATACAGATCTAGAGAGACAGACGGTACACCGGGAAGTGCATTCAAGTGATCTCTGATTGCTACCATTCCCTCCTCCTTAGCTCTGGCGACAGTCAAACTACCTGGCAAGTCTATAGATTTCTGCAATTTTGTCTCCGCATAGAGTACCACAACTTGCTTGCGCTCGGGAGGCATCGTGTAAGTTTGGTCACGGTGGTTATTAGCAAAATGATCGGAATTTGCCGGGCGTCATGAACTTAGGCTGTTGTGTCCTCTCTTCCACGAGGAATCGGTGATTAATGTGGTATGGATATTTTTCGAGGCTCTTTATACGCTGATTTCGTCAAGGACACCATTTATTCCGGCACCTGGTTTGATCAATGGTTGACGCGGTCAAATTCAGATGGTACAGCCTCTTGCTGAATTACACGGACCATGGGCTACTAATGTTTGGGCTATGCGTGCTATAGTCTCTGCAGGTCGGAGATACGTGTATCAATCCAATAGGGTTACTTCATTTGGACAGAGTGCGTCACCCTCTTCTCTTGTCTGTTCTTTGGCTGATGCAATATTTTATACTTCGTAGATGAAATCGATAAAAACAGGGAAGGCCACCCGACCCAAGACTTATCGATGGGGAAGAAGCATATGCTTCGAGAACACCCAGAGGTGGAGTTCTTCATTTCATCTTCCAAACCTCCGTTCGTGTTTCCACTGTTTTGTTCGTGTTGTTTCTAGTATGAAATACACTGGATTCTACATTTTACTTTACTGAGTAGTAGTAAGACTCGGCGATCAAAGTCTAGGAGGAGCAAGTCTCACAGGATGCGCATGTCTCCTTCAACCCTGGCGTGCTACTTTCGTTGATGACTGACCTTGAGATTGCTCACGTTTTAGCATGTACAGGCCCTTCCGCTACATCTGTCTCGACGATTTGTGTAATTTTACCATGCCAAATAGACGACACGGAACCACACGTGCAACAAGATCTGGAGAATCAACCTCTTCTCCTACCCTCGCCTTTTCCTACCGCTTAATCTACCCACCACTAAGCACATCTTCGATTCTCCCTCGGTTTGCTTCACCGTGCCAGCATATCCAGTGGCTTAAGGTGAGTCACTGCATGTTACGTTCGTAATCCTCGCACTCAACACGCAGCATACATCAGCGCCAAAAAACATCAGTGTCCCCTCGGGTGCGTACCTGCTGGCATTTACCTATAGATCAACGAAGACGCTGGAGATCGGTCATTATGGTCTTATCATTCCACGAATATGTAGCGTGGACGAGATCATGACCTTGTAAAGTCCACGGTACTTTCGGATGCATATGTCAGTGCTTACATCCGGTTCAGCACTGAGCGGTAATCTACAAACGAGGCGTCCTGTCCAAGATCTTCGTGTCAGATGATCTTTGAGCCTACCATTGCACAGTTACTCAGGTTCTGAGTGGTGAGTGTTCAACTGAATGCTAAGTGATGTGTTTACGATCAGCGATTCCGGATAACAAAGTCACTACGAACCGAATCTCGTGTGTATCAATGGACCATTGAATGTCTGTGCTTTCAATTTACATCGTATTCAATTGTGCTGGCGCATAAGCCTGTGGCTAAGTCGACGTACACTACCATAAACGAGGTGATTGTCGGTCCGGCCAATACGCAGGATTACTATGGCCAAAACACCACAGACCTAGTTGCCATGGACGCACAAAAGTAAACCCAAACACCAAGCCATCGTAATTCCCACGATATAACTCATTCACCATCATACAAAGCTTGTCGAATGTGATTTGAAGGTAGGAACAAGCGCATCGACACCAACATTCGGCATTTTGCCACTTCGCGCACGACCCCCTGAGCCATGGAACAATCGTATACTTCTACGACCCATCTTCATTGTTCACAGGTAATTTTTCATGACCTACACCATATTGTTCACCGTCCCTTGGCTCACACTCGAGCCTTTCTTGCTTTGCCCGCTATTGCATGGACCCTATTCCTTAGCTCTACATTCCACCTTTGCACACTCTAGTCTCTCATATATAACCTCCATGAAACTCCCTGGTACCGACATCAAACTCTTCCCATCTGATCAAATCAAATCTTCACCATCTATCTCAATCAGACATGTTCTTCCCTCCCTCCATCACAGATAACCTTCCACCGCTGCCCTTGAAAAACATGGAGGCGCTCGCGGTCGGTCGCCTGTCCTGGTTTGCAGGATATGACATCGAGAAGCACGTAAGTACATTACACAATTTTACCGATCTTCGAACCAACCTCGGTGTGCAGGAATGGATTACATTCAAGGGTTTGAAATGTGATAGATCCGTTTACGATAGACATGCGTGGAGAAAGCTGGTCAAGGACCAACAGACCATGGTACGGCAAAAATAACTCTAGAATGATTATCTCGCAAGCTAACGCATTTATCACAGGATCTCATCCAATCCATATTGGATACCATTGGATGTTGTCCTGGCAATCCGCAGCGAGAGAATGGTCTGGAAGGCATGGTACGTTTTGACGGGATACTCCTCTATCATTCTCGTTGACCTTTACCATTTGTAGAACGTCCTCCTGAGAGGGGCCCTGGGAACGGGCAAAAAGACAGTTGCTCACGCGATCTGCAACATGCTCAAACGCCCGATGCTTGACATTCAGGCCAGTGACATCCCTGCCAATGTGCAACCTTGGGCCGCCAAATTAGCATGGGTATGTACCATCTGCAGGCTATGATACATCTCTGACTCGACGTGGTGGTCGCTTAGCTTGCGACAAAGTGGAATGCGGTGGTAGTCATAGACCGCGGGGATGTACGTATCATCTCTCAAATGACCCATTATACCCCTTCTGAAGACATGTGGTACAGTATTTCATGAACCTTGAATGTGCAGATGGTCCAGTACGTTCTTTATTTTTGTACCGTTAGTGTTCTACTAGCTTAACTAATTCTTCGTCAGGAACGCATCAACGTCATGATTCAAGAATTCAAGTTCTACGGATGTATCTGTCTGTGGCCCGCGGTTTTGACGGACGAGCAGCAGGCACTGCTCGGGCCGTTCTCAGCCAGTGCGTACTTCGGTCACCTTACTCAGCTGTACCACTAACTTCTCTGTTGCAGCTATCAGATTCCCAGATCTCGATCTAGCAGCCCGTCGCCAACGTTGGCTGCAGCTCTTTGGCCGAGATGACCTGGCGGCAGCCATTTCTAGTGGCATGCATGCATCCGTCCCTGCCGAGAAAGATACGGAGGTGTGGACTTTCCTCCGGGAGATCGAGAAAATCTCTTGGTACGAACTCGATGGTAATGTCATGTCTGACACTGGATGACCTGACGCAGCGCTGACGGTTTTAATAGGAGTCGACATTGATAACTTCATGCGTTTAGCACAAACCGTAGCTGGGTAAGTTAGTTGTTATCATGAAGTTGTTCCTGACAACTGATCGGTGCCGGACAGGGGACAAGGTCCAACTCCTCAGGATGTAAAGAAGCATCTCAAGGTCTGGGGTGTGCCCCTTTCCGTACGGAGCAAGGTAGCGCGGTTTTTCGCGCTTCGTGACATGCATCCAACCGACTAATTTGCATGTGAGGAACGTGTTGTGCCTGTTTGAAATATCTACTTGATGTCTTGTCCTTTTGTATGTGTTTATAGCTCGTGAGATCTGAGATTCGTGTTGTAACTATATACTTATCGTTGTACATATGAAATACCTAACTTATGTCACGGAGAGACCTCTATGCAGCAGTGTCTGGGACGGCATCATGTACGACCCTCGTAAAGGTGACCAATGACCACGGATTGGCATGAACCATATATATAATCATGCGTAAACGACATTTAAGAATGCATCGTTAATAGCCTGGTGAGTAAAAGACATTGTCAGTCCCAAAACTCGAAAAAATGAAGACGTGACCTGAGTCCCTGAAAAGTGAGACAATATAGCACTGCCTGCACGGCGGTGCCCCTCCGCTGTAAGTATTAAGCAGCTGTATCATGACAAGACGGTCAGGCTCAGCCGAGTCCGGAACCACCCAAGCCTTGACTTTCCGTCAAGGACCCTTTATAAACTGTCATGTAGTCTCATCATACACCGCGGGCGTAGTTCGGCAGTTAGGGGGCATACGTCTGCCCTCTAGTCACCCGGATAGCTGACGGATTCTTCCAGCAGCACTATACTAGTACTTTGAATCAGCGCTCGGGTCATGAGACGTAAGCACTCAATCGTGGTAGTCGATTGCCAAAGATAAAGCACGATTGGATCTCATCATCATAGGCGCTTGGCCAATGAAAGAGTGAGTAGTATAACACCACCGGCCAGGCAATCAAAGTAGAAGCAGTAGCAGAACAGGAGGGATCTACCACTTTGTCCTTTAGTAGCGAGCAAGGCGGTGAATGCGACACTCGATTAAAATAAGACGGGGCGTAGAATCAAGGTGCTTGCGCACGGCTGGTGCCAAATGTCGGGACAGTAGCCTAGTTAGACTCTGAGTGAACACCCTTGCCTAGTTACCTACCAAAGCACTCGACAGTATTTGCGTCTCAAGGGCACGCTCATGCTGTAGATGGTTCGCCTACCTTTGTGACTGTATCTGGGTGATTTTTTATCACAAAGAGCGTGAGATATCTCATAAGAAAAGATATGCAAAATTAATCGGACATAACCTGGCTGCGAAGGTTGAGCGTCTCGGCGTTACTGATGTTCCGTGACATCAAGGGATTCGGAAGATATCCTGTGCAAGGAAGACCACTACAAATCTATTTCAGAATGGGAGAACTTTGACCTTCAGTGGTGCTCCTGGTGACGTCATTGACTCCGCTGTCCCAAGTAAACTTCTTCTCGAGATCAATGTCTCACCTGCAAGCAAGTTGATATATATGGATGAACTCGAAGTTATCCAATATATTGGATACCGTGCTGAGTGCGGGTTGTTTCTAAATACGTTTGGACTAGGTCCGAACGCAAGCCGATGTGAAAATTACGGATGCAATGATAGGTAGAGAGACGGTGTGATGCACATTGAGACGGGGATGGATGGCAGACTTGAGACGCATGTCTCTCAAGTCGGAGATTGAATGATCGTACTGAATAAATGCAAGTTACGTGTTAAAAACTTTGTTCCTCGTGTGGGCTGCGCAGTTCTTGAGCAAACGTTTTTCCGTTTGGTACTTTTATAGTCTCTCTCCTAAATCAGGCTCCAATCCCCAATATCCGATTTGTTCCTTCTTACCATCATGTCGTCGTCCCCATCACCGACGACGATACCGTCCCCAACAACAGTGACGCCCATATCAATTTCTCCACCTGGTACTAGTACTCCTACTCCTACTACATCACCAAGTATTTCTTTTCTCCTTGCCTATCCTATCAAATATACAAACAGTACTAACTAATCATCTCTAGCTCCTAGTACCACCACTCCGATATCATCATCAACAACACCAACATCGTCATCCCAATCGACTCCAGTATCAACATCAACACCAACTACAACTCCCACATCATCCACACCTTCAACCACAACCAACAATGCACAAACTTCAACTACCCCTCTCACTACTAGTACAACTCCAACCACGACTTCTATGACATCCGTTGCAACTACAGTACCCATCACCTTTACGTTTGTCCTTTCTTATCTCATCCCTTCTACAGTCGTTTACCTCGTCAACTAGCTCAACAAATGCATACGGATCAACAACTGTCGTTACAACAGAGATATCAACAACAACCTCAATCCCTGTCTCCACTTCTACCCCCCCTCCAAATAACTCAAACACTGGCGCAATCGTAGGTGGCGTAGTCGGTGGTATCGCCTTACTTGTCCTCCTCGGCCTCGTCGCCTTCTGCTTACGCCGTCGCAGAAGGCGAGATGAGTTCGACGGCAACTTTGACCCCGATCGTGTCGTTTCCCACCCCTCAGGAGGCGGAACACTCCCCCAAGTAGACCTTGGCGATGAAAACGAGATCACTCCCTACCCTGGCCGTGCCGATATGCGGCAATACGGAGAAAGCCCCTTCCTGGCTGCGGGTCCCGCCGCAGCTGCCGGCCCAGCTATCCACCGTGCAACCTCCCCGCTCAGCTCCCCCTCCCAATACAGCGATACCGTCACCTCCCCCAGCGAGGGATACCCCTCTCAGGGATTCATACGTCCTGGCCCCGGCCAGGGCCAGGGCCAGTACCCTCAAGGAGCACCTAACATGTACGCAATGCAACAAGCAGACTGGCACAACCCACGCCCCCTCACATCTCCTGCCCCTAGCGTCAGCAATACCTCCTCCAGCAGCCGCGCAATGAAGGAGAGAGAAGCTGCTGCTGGTCGTCAAGGCCTTGGCCTCGCTACACAGCAAGAAGTTGACGGGGAGGGGTCTGGCGTTGTTCAGCACCATGATGGTGGACGCGCTCATAGTGAAGAAGAAGCCGGAGAACCGCGAGATATTCCTCCTGCGTATGAGTCTATAAGGCAGTAGACCCGTCGCACGAAGGGTTTCAAAAAAGCCATATTTGAAGTTGAATCTGTAATGCTCCACCACGTTTTACGTGCACGTTTCGATGGACACCACTTAAGTTTGGACGATCATACATATGTATGTAAAGTCGTCATCATCATGATCTCAAGACTCTTTTTCCCTTGTTTATTTTCGACGTTAGTTGTCGTTTGTCTTGCTTTTGGTAGCTATGACTATTTGTCGACTTTCTCCTGATGCTTTCCAGCACATATTCGTATCTCATGCACATATGTAGATATGTCCAAGGCATGATTATTTTTTGTTCTTACCATACATCAATGCAAAATTAATATCGCGTCCAGCTGCCAGCAGAGCTCGCGTACTAACCAAATATGTACAAATATGTTCATATGAGTTGCTGCCACTAAAACACAAAGTACTTAACATAATCCTACTAGCCACACCTCATCTGTCATATCGGTGCCGGATAATCGGAATCAGGCTCAGAATAACGCAACTTGAAGCGTCCAGTCGGACCGGTGCGTCGAGGAGGGTTGTCCCGACGCGCGAGTACGTACCAAGATTCCCGAATTAAGCGCACTTTGTTTTTGTGATTCTAATATTCAATCATGACATGCCTGATGGCGATGCTACTTCAAGTATTCGCGTCGATCAATGAAGTACAACCTTTGAAAGCCAAATAGGAATGATGTGACTTTTTGAGTGCTGGGGGACCGGAGGGCTGTGTAATCTGACGACTTCATTCTCCAGGTCGGACACGCCGCGCATCGGCTAGAAAGTACGCGTAATAACACTGGCATACTGAGTCAGTCAGTTCATCACCCTAAAAATTTCTTTATCAATCTGCGATTTAGTCTCAGGTACTTTACTGCGATCCGATCTACTCGTGCGCGTGAGTAAGGTCATCACCACATCGTGATTCGAATTTTCATGGTATTGCGTAACTAACCATCAACGTCAACCCTAAATAGTGACACAAAACAGTGTGCGCTCACGAATGGACTGTAGGGAACTACTTGTAGTACCATCATTGCGTGCGTATTAAAGTAGCCTCATCTCCGAAGAACCGCGCATCTGAAATGGCTAGGTTTGATCGAAAGAGATCAAGGGCAATGAACACGCGGTAGTAGTACACTTTAAGTTAAACTGTGTTGTTCAAACTTAATTGGATATCTCGTACACTATTACACAGGAAAGCTCATAGAGCACCGCGTCTGGGTTCCTTTGTTTGTTGCGGTATAGAAATATCTCTTTCAAACTCACTTGTCAACTTTCAATGGATGCAGTATGTGTGTTTGCGTCCCTCTCTGAATGGAGTACTTATGGTTATCATCTCAGTATGTGGTATCGAGTCAGCCCCGCCTCGTACGGCCTATGTGTGACCACATCAATTTTTATATCAGCTAATAAAATACGGGTAACGGCATGCCTGAATAAAGATCGAATGATGTCTTTAGATTAAAGTTTGGCCCCGGTTCAAAGCTTATTCAGAACAGATACTTAAGAAGGTGCATGACGAACGCACGAAGCCCTTTTTGACCTCGAACGAATGCGCATGGGTTATTCGGCTGACGAGATCGCAGCGGCCGGGAGTCTACAGTACTTGGCGGTGCGTCGTTCTCTTAACACGATGACGGCAAGGTAATAACAGACATACCATTGGTCACTAGTACATATGTAGTACGTGCTATCTGAACTGCTTGTTCCGTATGCTAAAGCGACAGCTCAGCGTCGATGGCGACATTCTGGGTAAGCTTATTTCGATTTCTTCCTGTCTGCTATTGAATTCGCTTATCCAGATCTATGATTATGTCTGTTCACTTAACGAAGAGGTGATACACTTGTGTTGCGATATGCCTCGGTTGAAATGTTGATAACGAGTTATTCAAAGTGGACGTTCCTGTGTCGGTCGCGCTGGACCAAGGTAAAAGTCCTTTATATCATAGCGCGATATGTTCCCTTTCTATTCGTCATCACGAATATATTTCGTGCGTTCAATCCTGGCACATATCCCCCATATCGAACTGACACGTTATTCTTCAGTGAATTTCGACCCGAACGAGAACCCTAAAGTATGTGGATTTACAGCGAAATTTCTCATCCGCCAATGAATGACGCTGATTGCATGTCATCGCCAGAAATGCAAGATTCTGGTGGATATCTACTCCAGTACGTGCTCGATACATGCTACATCCGCGTCCTTGCTGAGTGCTGCGGTTTCTTCTCATAGGTTTTGGAGTGATATCGCTCGCTTGCTCTGAATGTATTTCGCCTTCATCCGCGACATACGCGTGCCTCTGATCTCGTTCTTCCAGCCTTTTTCGTGCTAAGGACATATGCGCTTTGGAACAGCAATAAGATCGTACTTGTAGCCATGCTGTCCGCCCTTTTCGTGAGTCCCATACCTTCAACACACCCGATCCCATGGTTGATGAATTTACTAGGTTGTCATTGCATCGTTCATCGGCATTTGTTTTAGCGCTATCGCCACCTCTTATGGTTAGTGTTCTCACCTTCCCCCTCTACTCTTCGCACGTATTCACTCTACCTTACAGTTACGACTAGCGCGATACCAGGCATCACAGGCTGCTACCGGAGCTCGACCAGCCTCCAATTCCTCATGCCATTCCTTCTCTTGTTTCTCTTTCAGCTGGGTACGTCACCGGCGGGAACTCGGAACATATCTCACATTAGATGCGACGACTGACGCTTACCCCAGGACTGGTCTCCTTAACACTCATACGTGTCGTCCAGACCTGGCGATCGTCCAACAGCACCATGTACGCCGTTCTAACGAAGCATAATGTGTTTTACTATGCATGCGCTCTGTGTGAGTCAGCACTTGCATCTGTTTTGTCCTGACATCAATGATGTTCATTATCTCGAAGTTCTCTCGGGCATGAATGTCCTTGCGCCAGTAATGTTTTCTAATGTGCGTGAACGACCCGTCGATATGACCGAATCACTGATATTCCGCACACCCAGCCTATATGGTACTCCCTCCTCGAAGAGTACGCACTTGCAACTTTTGTTGTCAATTTTTACTGACCGCACCCTTGAATACGCATGTCTAGTTTGGAGGCCTTTATCCTTGCGATCCTCGCCACACGCATGCACCTCTATCTCTGGCATGTTGATCGACACGTGCATGGCTCTCAGATCCTCGCGTGCATTTCCATGTCCGATATGACATCTACGGTCACCACGACGTGACCTCTCGTGGCGTGGAGTTTATTTGGTGTCGTTCATGAAGCGAGACTTGACCTACGAGATGGCTGGTCGAGGGTGGCTTGGCGTGATGAATACCTTTCCGTTTTGAATCTTGATTCATATCGCAGAGCAGAGGCTACATAAACTGTTTGTAGATGTTCATGCTCAACGATGAGAACTCCCGCCTGTTGCAATATGTTCTGGAATTCCATTCACAAATTCCTGCTTTGTAAATATCTTTTCCTGCAGAGCAAGTCCAAGTCCCAGTAAGTCGCGTTTGCGAATCGAGATGACATGGGCTTTGTATTGTTAACAAAATCTACATGGAACGGATACTGATGCATATAGTAATCATTCTGCCAAATCAAATAGATAATATCATCCACATTGACGAGATGAGTCTGACGGGAACTTTGACCCTGGTCGTGTCGTAGCCCATTCCTAGGGGCATCACCTACCCCAGGTTGACCTCGGATAATAAAACAAGATCACTCCCTTACCTCACTCTGGGGAACATTTGCTGACCCGGCACCACCTCCATGACCTGGTAAACGAATCTGCTTTCTCATTTACAATTGGGATCAGAAGGGCACGTGATGACGATAGCCACAAGAAGACATACAACGCCCCCAGACTCGCCTCTTCGAGGGATGCAATACAGTCAGACTGACTTTGTTTCCTGGTCGGAGAGCAAGCAAGGTGGGTCATTAAGACGCACTCTCAGCACTGGCCAAATTCACTCAGGCGCAGTCAACAGCTGCAGGGACTGCTACCAAATCTTGATGAGAAACATGTGCTCTGACCGGTAAATAATTGCCAGCTTCCCCGCACTCGAGCCTGGTAATTTCCGCCCTTGGAGCGGTGAATTCATCCACGGGTGCATAATTAATCTCGGGCTGAGCAGCTGCTGGCCGTGCTGCCGTTGGTTGTGCAGTGCGAACGAGGCGCCGAATTAGGTGCGCAGCTTGCGTGGTGGAAAACGGAGTTTGAGTTTGTTCAGGTGCGGAATGCTACGTACCCTGTGAGTTTGATTGCTGCGCAGCATGGACTGGTGGCCTTGGAGCGGTAGTACTTGTATTACCCGCAGCAGATTGCCTCGCGAATAGTGCTGGGTGAGAATTCGAACCTGAATTAAATGCGGCGCGGATAATTAGAGTAACTGGGGCTCTGTTATTGAGCTCGATACCGAGGTGTTCGTATATAACGGAAAAAAAATCTAAAGAAAATTTGTAGGTGCGGCTGAGGAAGGGCGAGGTGCGATCCGTGCGAACTCGACGTCGTGGCAGGGATGAAAGAACGAATGTCATGGGAGCAAACTGTTTCGCTTGGCTACGGTGGTGCCGGACCATTCCGGCAGGCCACCATTACTAAGTATATCTAAATTACCCGGCACAAACCCAGCACCTGTACAAAAGCAAAGCCCTGTGATGCGTTACTGTCGCGCTCACACAGAGATACAGTAAAACAGTTAGACCAGCATCTATTCTAGGCCCTGGAACTTTTGTCAAATCAACATCCCCGAACTAAGCCGAATCATGCTGTCCTTGATAAGTTTAGACCGCTGTCTTGATGGCTTCAAAGAAGCGATACTTAAGATGAGCGCGTGAAGTTCTTTTTACTTCGAACGAATGCAGATGGAATATTCTGCTGATGAGATCACAGTGGCTAGGAGTCTCAGCGGTGCGTTGCTTTTTTGTTACGATGATAACGTTGAACTAATAGATATAGGGCCCACCATGGTTCACTATTGCATATGCAGTAGGTGCTATTTTAATTGGTTGTTTCGCGTTCTAACGTGACAGCTCAGCGTCGATGTCAAGATTCTGGGCAAAGCTTGTTCCAATCTCTTCTCGTCTGCCGTTAACATTGCTTATCCAGACCTATGGTTATGTTTGCTCACTTCACGAAGAGGTGATGCACTTGTGCCGCGATTCGGATATTGATACCATGCTGTTCAAAGTGTAGGTTCATGCGTCGGTCGCGCGCTGGACTGAGGTAAAAATCCTTTATGTCATCGCGCGACATATCCCGTTCTTGTGATGCATAACATATTACTATGCATGCGCTCTGTGTGAGTTAGCACTTTTATATCTTTCTGTCCTTATCAGTGATGATTGTTACACCGAAATTCTCTCGGGCATGAATTTTTCTGCGCCAGCAATGTTTTCTGATGTGCATGAAAATCCCATACCTGTCGATATGAACGAGTCACTGATATTCCGCACATCCAGCCTGCATATTACCCTCTCCCAAAGAGTATGCACTTGCAACTTCTATTTCTACTGACAGCACTCTTGCATACATATGTCTATTTTTCAGACCTTTATCCTTGCGACCCTCGCCACGCGCATGTACCTCCATCTCTGGCATATCAACCAGCACGTACACGACTCTGAGATTATTTCTGTGTCCGACATGTCATTTGCACAGCGTACGGTCACTACGGCGTGACGTCTTACAGCGTGGTGTGACTCATTCGGCGTCGTTCATGAAACGAGGTTTGACCTATGCACGAGATGGCTTGGCGTGACGAGTACCTCCCCGTTTTGAATCCTGACTCTTATTTTAGAGCCGACGCTACATAAACTGCTTATAGGATATTCACGATTGATGATGAAAACTCCCGCCCGTTGCAATATGTTCTCGAATCTCACCACCATGCTCGTCCCGTTCACGAACTCCCGCTTTGTAGATCTCTTTTCCTGCAGAGTCAGTCCCAGTAAGTTGGATTTGCATACCGAGATGTTCCTCCGGCTCTTATACTTCTCGAGCGTCCGGCACAGGATGACGACTAACAGATTGTAGGCACCTGACATCTCGCGTAAACGACATCTTCCTAGAACAAATACTGATGCATATAGTGATCGGTCTGTCAAATCAATTGATAACATCGGTTTTGATTGCAGGATACAGTGGGCACTTAAATGTAGTAATGGTGTTATATCGTGTGCCCTGTCATCTTTTCGAACACTACTGAATTTACAGCAAAGCGTTCGAAGGTAGTCTTCCATGGTCTGAGGAGTTTTCAGATTCTAGCATGTCATCATGCATGTAGGAAGTTAATTCGGAACTTGATTCGTTCAGTCCGTCTTGCCTATTTGATGAGTATCGAAGCTGAAGTCCCACAAGACTGCCGAAAGATGGTAGGCTTTGGGGGCCCAAGGGCTAAACTTGATTATAATGGGCTCCTTCCCATGAGTTTGGTGTGTTGTGGTGTAGGACCAGGCCGAACGCGGGCATAAGCGGTATTGTCAGATCTTTGGGCAACACTTACACAAAGTCCTGAAACGTTTTTCCGTTGCATGCTCAAACGACACCATGTGCACATGGAAGTTGTTACTGCTCCTGAACATCAACGGCTTTGTCCTCCGTCTTACATGAGAGCCCGTTTTAACTCAGCTCAACAGAGCGTGATTGCCCAGTGTTCCGTCTATGCCAGGCGCACCATCCATCCTTGTGAACTCATGGCAGACACAAAATGTAGTCTAGAGGAGAATATATGGAATTTCGTAGTACATAATAAACTTTAGTTAGATATAAGGTTGAATGGTATCGTGCATATATAACAAGTACAGGGGAAAATATGGTCCAGAATGGATAAGAATTGGTGCAAACGCTCGATAGACATTTGCGTCTCCTAGTTTTGAGAGCCCCACTTGGTGAAATTGAAGAATGTTTTGACACGCTTCACCAGCTTGGCGTGGGTGCGCTGCTTCACACGGCAAGAAATGTACTCGTACTGCATACCACCCTCCCCGTCGGGGACTTGTACGCGCCTGATCGCGTAGCCCGGCTTAGGTCTCGGGAGATACGTGTGGATTGCAATCTGATGAGCAGGTGGTTCTTCATATGCCTTCTGTAGGGGTCAAAGCTCTGGCAACAACATGAAGGGAATCGGTCAAACACTTACCGGCATGATTTGTCTTGTGGGGATAGTCGGGAGCGGCGCCTACAGATGAAGGTCTAAATCAGCCTAATATCCAAAGATAAAGAATCATCTTACGTGCAACAAACGGTCACATTTTGCGCAGATCGGTTTGCCATAGCACTTTTCGCAAACCGACTTGCGGCCGAACATCGCTACTTCCTGACTCTGCGCACGAGAAAATGTGAACTGGGACAACAACAGAACAGGAAGAGCTGACCTCCGAAATCGGAATGACTGTAGAGCACTTCAGGTTTGAACACACTTGTTGCATGATTCGAATAGATATGAAAGATGCGAGGAGAATAATAGGACTTTGAGAAATGGAAACTGCTGAAAATTTTAAGCGGTGAAAGACGATGAGTGAGTGGCGATAGAACATGACAGCTTATATACGATACGGAGAGATATGAGCGTAGTGGCAAAATGTGGAAGGTAGGAGTGTGGATGCCTAAGCAGTAGTGGAAGAGTGATGCCAAAATAATGCGTTGTAGCACGTGAACAACAGAACAGGGACGTGACTGTATACGAGAGTGCACCGACAAAACATGTGTGGAACTCCCTATAATAAGGTGCCTGAGGTGTCACGCAGCAAAGGTAGAAATCACTAATGCTCACAGTGACTATCCACAAGTGCTCGTGTCCACATCACAAAGTCGTTGTGCGATACCGCTGCTCTTGTATAGATTACTTACAGATATTGAGGGAGAAAGTTGCTTGTCTCCGTGTTGTTGTGTTGGCTTGGCGCAAGCCTCTGCAAGGACGGAGACAAGTGACATCGAAAAGAAAAGGGTCTCGAGAGCGAGGATGTGATTTGTGTGCGTGTCAAATTATAAGGTAAGTCCATCAAGCGCAGCGTACCTCCTGAACATAATGAACGGGGTATTTCAGAGACCATAATGAGTGGGGCAATCACGGATTTGTTTTACGGGCATCACGATATACTGCTTACGCACGAGAGACGCCCAAGAGATATATAGCCCTGTCAAAGGACTCCTGCCATGGTAGGACTGAAAGAGATGTCTGTCATACATCAGTACCCAGGCGAGCAGCAGCCACGGAAAACGGCAGAGACACTCCGTACTGGCACATGCTCCAGTCATGGTCGCAATGTTACAAGAAAGGCACGAGTCGGCTTTCATCGCCGATGTCAAGCTGAGGAGCATACCATCATCAGATAACATGCTCAGGGTGAGAGCTCGTCTCACCTTCGGTAACGGAGGCGTAGTATATCATGGGTGATGCCATGATGGACTATAGCAATCTGTTACAGTGTCAAGCTGAAAAATGATGATTTGCGTGCAAATTTTACATACACCATCAATCCCAGCCGGACACCTGGTCCTATACAGCTTGGATGTAGGGACTTCCGGGACGTCCACGCTGCTTCAAATGTCATGGTCACAGTGTTGAGCAGAGAAAACTTGTTTCCCATGCTCCATTCGTCACCGCTGTCTGGACCCAGGGTATTTGAAAATCTGACATGTATACTGTTGCCAGACCAAATGTAAGACTTTTTTATGAGATGTCCGCATAGTCCTTGTTCACATCACAATCAATAGAAAATCGCAGTTACCTCTCGATCATCCTGGGGAGCAAACACTGAGCAAAGAAACTCGCAGCAAAATTCTATGCCTATATGTCGATCCACACAAGTATCCCAATTGACGCACAATGATGGTACCTCGTGCGGAACAGGGAATAAAGAGACTATCTTCATCCGAGGGGGAGCCTGTGAACTGAGGAGCAACTTGCAATGTGTAATGATTTAGCCTGAATGCCGCGCTATTTTGGTGGATATGGGGTGACCATCTGTATGCGGATGCTTTGTGGAGATTGGTCGACTATCCATACGCTTGGAAGTGCGAATACGTAGAATATTTCTTGGAGCTTGAACGGTTGTCCGTATGTATGGAGGCTGATAGATGTGGCTTCAAAAACGTGTGAAGAGCATTTTCGTAGCAGATTTCATCCTCGAATCGAGTGGATAGCAAAATGACCTGTCAAGTGGTGGTTTAAAGCATTCCCTCGAGCATAATTTCCTGGTTCGATTCTCTATTCCACATGAGTCAGAACACAATTTGTGAGCTACATACTATCTAGTCTTAACGCAACACTGCCGCAGCAGATGCGTGACAAAATACTGTCGAATGTTCCGCATCAAACTCAGGGTGTTGAGATTCCGATGCGAGTGACTGGAAGAGCGCTCGTACTACTGCGTATTATTATATAAAGTATTAGTGGTCGATTCATGCTAGGAGGTGAAGGCAGGCAGACTCGTGACTCGTCCTTCGGACGCAATGTGATATCACCGTGCGTGACGGTGTGGGACGTCCAGAAGCTTACGCAATGATATACAACTTTAACTCCGAGTCTCAGCCTGTACCATCCAGGATTCAGAATATTCAGGCCTCACAAGTCACGACCGGGCCATTGGCTATCCTCTTTGTTAGCGAGCCAGAGCTTTGATACATAAACTCGTTGGTTCTGAAGTAATCCCACATTTGCACAACAAGCGATGCACGGATTGGGAGTATCTGTATATGCCACGTAAAAACGCTCAAGGCCGGTTCTTCCTTCCATTTTGTGCTCGGTTCTAATTCATAGTAATGTTCGCTCTTCAGGATGTACTCATGAAATGCATATCACTAACCTGCTATCTAAACAATTCTGCGCTGTCGACTAAGTCTGGTCCAATCTTCAACCAATCCACATCCCCCACACATGCGATAGACGTAAGCGCGGCTCTTTTCTCTGCTTCGCACTACATGTGATGTATGTATCCTTAGATCATGGGGTTTATTGATTCAGACTCACAGGTATGGTATCTGCGAAACTTTGACGTGGATGTTTTTACTGATTCGGAGAGGTCGGGTGAAACCGGACACGGTAAGTTCCTGCATGATTTCAAAGTTCAGGTAACAGCTAGTTACGAGTCACAAGTTTAAGCATAGGAGTGCTGTGTAACGACGTTGAACGGTTTCTATTCAAATAGGTTTATTACCAGCCCCATGGGTCTTACGGATTGGGAACTCCCTTATATAAATCCATAGGTGCACTTTGCTCTATGATGCAGCTAATGCGCGATACAACGAGTGAGTTCAAATTCTAGTCTTGAATTCTACTCACCATTCTCCAGAGACCCGACTTTTTCTTCTGTTACTCGTGTCTCTCAGAGGGGCATACGCGGTTAACGTAACTGACTGTTTCATCAACTTCAGAAATAATGCGAATCAGACACTCAATGCGTCCGGGTTGGTAGATGCCAATGGTGGAAGTATAACAAACACATCGTCGGAGATCTTAAAAGCAGTCGGATTCACCTATGGCGCATGTCTTTCACAATGCGGCTCTGGAACACAGAAGCCCGACTGGGCAAACGTTTCGCAGCAGTTCAGCGCCTGGCTGTTACCCTACCTTGCGCTCATTTCTCACCTGCCTTTCGGTGCAAGACATAGAGTTGACAACCTCATGTCTGTCGTCCTCACAATCGGTTCACCGGTGCTCGCCGGTTACTCGATGATCTTCACTATTCTCAACGCTCGGTGGATCAGTCGTCGGTTTGAGAAGGTGTCCTTCCCAAACGCCAAACACGCCGTCCGCATCCTTATAAGCCTTCAGCAAACTCCACTGAAAATAACGAATGAAGACTCGTTGCTCAGCTCCCTCATTGTCCTGCCAGAGAATGACGACTGGTGGCCGAAAATTGCCGATTTTCTCGATTATACTCTCAATTGGCCCATCGCATCTGCGGCATCCATTGCGTGGGTCGTCGTTGCATACCTATTGACAGCCATCGGCTCGCTGTCGGACATTGACGCCAATCTCGACTCTAACGGTCAAGGCGCAGGGTCGATTTGGTTGTGGCTCATACCAATCGTTATAGGTTGGCTGCAGCTATCCCCCAAGTGTGACTATGTGCGCATTAAACGGGCCATGGACAATGCAGATGCAATGGCATTTGTAGCGACCCATTGTGGAGCCATAAAGGCATCAGACCTTTCCGAAAGACGAGCCATATCCATTGATTCCACTTTGGAACACCCTTCGTCTCCCGACGAGAGTTTAACTCCACCCATCTACAATTATGCCAGAGCCATTCCATGGTCTCGGTCGGCGGAGGATGTCTTCGATGCTTTCCTAATGGCCTCCAACAATTGCAGAATGCATAGACCGGTCAGGATAGGTGACATATGGAAGAATGCGGGCGGAAGGAACACTATTGAGCCCAGCAACAGGTCTGGAAACCCGTCCGAAGTCAATGCATACTGTAGACTTCCTCGATATGCAGCACCTAGATGGGGAATATGGAGTCCCTGGGCGTCAGGGATATTTTTCCGCATGTTTGTGGCATCACTCCTGCCCCTAGCTTTGCAGTGGGCAACGACTGGAGCTGCGGTGTTGGTTGTGTATTTTACTCCAACTAACGTAAGCATCGCTTGATGCCACACCTTTACTTATCGCTGACAAACGGGAAACGACAGGGCCTTGGTTGTAGATCTCTTGGTTATATCATCTACGGTGCCCTGGCTACGATAGTGTGGGCGATGCTCGTTGCGTCAAGCATCATTTCGCACTACACGCATTCTTACTCGGGCAGATCTAGCTGGAGCCCGTTCTTTTCCATCACAATGCGTCTCGCAAAGGTCCTATCGAACCTTTTGAGATGGAGTGGGAAATTCTTGGCAATCATCAATGCAGTCTGGTTAATCACCGCCAGTATGCTGCAGTTTATGGGTGTTTATAATAATTGTTACTGCAACTCGAGCGCGTTGGGGAGAGGGGTCCAACATGGATATAACATCGTTATAAACAGTAATTTAGACTTAAGTCTGACTGAAGCTGCTTGGTGGGGCGGGTTGGCTTTGGGTTGCTCTACCTCTTTGGGATTTGTTTTCTTGATGAGTTTATTGACTGACTTTGTACCTACGTGATGTGTCTGAAGTTTTGGCAGTTATCAGCCGGGAGGAACGGCAAACTGGCAGAAGACTCCTCACGCCAGGGCCTATCTACAAGCCTTGAAGCACGGCAAGGATGCAGGCGTCCTTTATATCAGAAATATTGTCCTCCATAGAGTATTACTCTGCATAGGACACAAAAAATTGTCACGGATACATACAATTATATTTCATATTTAGGATATATGTATGAATAGGTTGACACTCGTCGAAAGGTGAAAATTTTCATCATGTTACTGCAATCTCTCGAGGCAAATGTAAGAACTAGAAGTCTCGCTCGGCCACGCAAGCCTGCTGCCTGGACAAACAACTGGGATCCCGAAAGACTCAAAAGTACCCAATATTGGGACAGACCTGGGGCAGACATGCACGTGCCATGCATGCCCATTTTGGTAGTAGTAATTGATTTGCGATTCGAGTACTGTCCAGGTCCAACTTGAAAGTGACTGCATGGTGATCAGTCCTTCTTGCTCCGGCACAAGTCCCAAGCTGTCATGACGCCCACTGAGCGCGTTCTTCCGCAGGTGGTCTGACCTTCATAACATCATGATGCCATGGTGCATGATGAGGCCCGGTCCGCAGTATATAATCTTCATTACTTGATGCCACTCCGCCGCGGCGCACACTCAGATTTGACATTTAACGCCACGCATCAGCTAGCATGATCACTGCTGGGCCGAGATGTTGATAAATCAAGTTCCAAGTGAGTAATTTTCTAGTGCTTCTCTCCATAGCCGGTAAGGCTGCATCATTATGACGTGCTTGCTCAAAGTTAGGCTCTTAGGCATGTAAGAATGGTTGGACCACGGGGTGTCTGATTCTTACTTTTCTGTCGCCTTAGCTTTCTTAGTGTTGGTGCACGTTGCTCTCGAACAATTCTCACTCACATCACTGACACAGTGTCTCAGGCTAAAGAATTGCCCGAGACAATGTATAGCATACGTGCGTACTACCCAATTTTAGCTGGAACAGTGTTGATGCAACAGCAATACGAAACCCCGCCACTGGTGACCGGAACATTCTAGTAGTAGTGTAATAATCTTTACTTTCGCAGAAATCAGTGCTTGGATACTGACAAACGGTAAAAGCTTCATGATATTCTCATTATGTACCAGTGTTTTGTTGACTATCAGTATCACTGTTAGATTGGCACTGACACTTACCCATACATTATCATCTAAGATTCCACCTTCGATTTAGGCTATTCGGCGACTTCCATAATTTACAATTTGCGGCTGCGTCCCGACCTCTCGTTGTGAAATGTCTCCGGTGGAAAAGTTCCGTAGCATTCGTGGACACTAATACGTGGTCAATATATTTGCAGCGCCTAGAGACAACTTCAGGTTTACAAACCAAAAGATGGACCGTCCACGCGTATAATTGGAATAGAGATGATACATTTTCATCCGATTATCGACCCTATCAAAGTTCGCATAGTCAAATATGTCTTATATATCGAGAATACTGTACTCACTGGCACTCTCCGCAACATGCGGACGAGACGCCAATCATGGAATACTTCATTCACCTTCAACAGGGCTTCATTCACAAATAAATGGGAGGGCGAGGGTGAACAACCTCGTGTATCATGGCATGAGTACCTAATATAATGATAGAGTCATCGCTGAGATCAGAGACAGGTCAATAAAAATGGCCGGCGCAGTACGCCACGCACCTTAGATACGGTGGTATTAGCCACTACACTAGCGTCAAGGTTACAACCCATTATCGCTCGAGTATCTGAAGATTCAGACATTACATTTAGTTGTGCCGCGGCCCGGCTAATGCTGACTCAGGCTAGGTGTTTGCCGGATAGCCGGCAGTTCGGCCAAACAGGTGAGCCAAGTCACCAGTGAGCTGTTTAGGTTGGTTCAAAGTGTTAGTCAGCCATGCAAACCAACTATGAACCAAGAACAAATGAGCCGCAGCTTGAAACGGCTTAAGCCAATTTCAGCCAGCTCCAAGGTGTGTGAAAACCTCTCTCAGGCTCCAAGACTCAAGATTCCAGTGTCTATTGGATTGTGTACTATGAATAAAGTCCCCATTCGAGTTTATGGGAGATTTAGACTGGGGGATGTACTGGGATCGGGTTCATATGGTGTGTAACAATGACATTCACATTGTGACTATGTTGATTCAGATGTACCTGACTTAGCTGTCGTGTACCATGCACGAAACATCATAAATAATGATGTAGTTGCCATAAAACTGGAACCTATCATCAAGAATTCATCCTCTCTGCAGCGTGAATACTGCATCTTGAAACAACTCGAAGGTGGAGTTGGCATACCTCATGTACTTTGGTTCGGCAGAGAGGCGACATACCATGCCATGGCTCTCGACCTCCTTGGTTCATCACTGCACAACATATTTCTTGCACACCATCAGAAATTCAACCTCGATACTGTTGTCAATCTTGGTGACCAACTGGTTAGTCAGTCTGTGGCGAGTTGTTGCAGAGGCTAATACATTTACTCAGCTCACATGTCTTGAGTATATTCACTCACATAACTACATCCATGGCGACATCAAACCACAAAATGTCTTGATGGGCCTTGACAATTCAAGGCACACTGCTTTTATCATCGACTTTGGTATTTCAAAGGAGTACTGCAACACATCAACTCGAACACACATCCCATTTCGTCATGATCGACCTCTTACTGGCACCCCCGTGTTTGCCTCAATCAACAACCATTTAGGGGTCGAGCCAGGCCGCCATGATGATATTGAATCACTGGCATATATGTTAATATATTTCTTGCGCGGCTCCCTTCCATGGTTATCTAATGACCACGACAAGCTTTCTAGTACTGCCATACTCGAGCGCAAAGTTAATACTACGGTTGAAGCCTTGTGTCATGGAATTCCTGTTGAGTTTGCGAGTATTCTTGTTTACTCGCGCTCTCTTGCATTTTCAGAGGATCCTGACCATGACTATCTTCGTTCATTACTGCATGGTCTTCGTGCCACCTTGCCTGCATGCTTGCTCAATTTCAGCAAGCCTGATAACCCTACCCCTGCACCCCCCGATGAACATCGAGTGACTGAAGTGACACCCTCATGTCTGCTGAAGGCTACACCTCTTCGCCGATCAACTCGCATGTAAGTAGTCCATTTCATCTCACTTGTGAAGCAAAGCTCACATCATATGGAAGTTTACGTCCACGCAACGGCTTTCAATCACATACACCCACTTCAACACCATGTAAAGGTAGCCGACAGTGTTGTTAATGGAATAAGGGTAGCTGCCATTACTTGTATGTACATAAAATGCACGTATGTATATCATTGCTATAGTACTGCCACACACTTTCTTGTCCAGTCTGGGCAAAACATCGTGCAGTGCTAGTGTTGCGGTCAAAGCGAAGTGACCTCAAGGTAACTTCGGCTGAATTTCACATCCCATTTTATTGCTGAAGAAGCGGATTACATTATTTTGGGACCTGTATCTAGGAATGCCATAGATGAGCTTGTGGCAGCAGGTAAGCTTGATGAACTCGCTGAGCTATTCGCAAATGAGAATGAGGATGAGATCTAGACTTAGTCTCTTAGATTATACTGTATCTATTTTGGTCAATCTATTATTTCTATCTACTGTCTCGCCTATTGCTGACTTCGTGAAGTGAAATGAAGTGTACTTCGACTGACTTCATCCACATCGAAGTCTACCGAAGTGTATCCAATTTCCACTTTGATTCACTTCGGTTTGGTCCACGGCAACACTAACAACGACAACGTGCACTCTTGACTCGAGTCTTCCACGATCTAATGCAACCATGGAACATGCTGTTCCCTGCCTTCCATTGCCAACACTCCATGATTAGTACTTGCCATCAAACCCTCATCCCATTTGCCTCACTGAGTCTGCATGTGAGCCTTTTCACCAACAATTCACTTTCCTTTCTGACTTTATCGCAATGTGATATAGATCCAGGCCCATCCAGCATGCACTCAATCAGTGGTTATTGGCATAAGCAGTGAGGATGAAGGTATGTCACTTACATGATTCAGGATGCGATTAAACATGAGGTGAAGGCATGCCCCCAGGAGTTGCTAGACTATCCTCACCTTGTATGGCCACACCCTATCGCTCAGCACCCCAACACTCAGCACCCTCTCAGATTTACAGGTAAACAGTCCAGTACTTTGTGATATGTTGTATACTAATGATTATTGATATTTCCAGGGTGTTAATCTATATAAAAAGGGATTTAGTTATTGGGTTCACAATAGTCTACTACGGTGCTACCGATATGCCACCTCGCCGGCGTGCACCCAAGGCCACTGCTGCCCCCATTGCTGCCCACATTCCCACTCCAATCATCGCCACTCCAATTGCTGCTGTCGCTGCTCCCATCTTGGCCACTGCCTCTATCACCCCCATTGCTGTTGCAGCATTTACCAATCCACGTTGAGACCGGCAGCTCCCTCGCAGATATCGAGATGGTGCTGAAGCTAGTGCTGCTCCAAATTGCATAGTTCCTGCAGGAGAAGAAGGGGAGTCTTTCAACCTCGAAGATGTCTCTGGAGATGAAGAAGAGGACAAATCTGCACCTACGGTCAGGGCACCTACAGGCCCTAGCCCACTCCAAACCGCAATCAACACTGTCGCACCTACAGGCCATAGCCCACTCCAAACTGAAATCAACACCATCCATTCCACCCCAACTGAACCTATGGCCACTGGTGGTCGCGCCAAAAAACCCAAAAGCTCTGATGATGTTCTTTTCTTTTTTAGGGAAGATAAGGTTGCTAAGCGCAGGATCTGCATACCTTGCGAGTACGTATTGTGTTTGCATCAGCACAAGACATTTTTTATCTTACATTCTTTACCAGGCAAATGAACCAACAGGATCCCTCATACCCAGCGACGTCATATGCTAACTCTACTGCTTCTGGAGGTCGTCGAGCACATGTTTTCAATTGCCACACCGACCTTTACTTAGAGGAGGCAGAGCACCATGGATGGCTCATACAGATAAAGTCTATGATTGATCTTTTTGATGAAGGTTGGACCCTCGGGTCAATCCGCAAACGGCTGAAGAAGGATCTGACTTGTACCATTGATTCACTCGGTTCTCCCTCTGATCGTGATATCACACCGCTCAGGCAGGGACCTCTGCGAGATGAATTACCTAACTTCACCCTCGATGAAATGCATCGACAGATCGTCAAGTTTATCGTCGTTGATGACCAGGTGAGTTGCTGACTAATTTATACAAACTATTGTTACTAATATCTTCAGGCAATCAATTTAATTGAATGCCCTGAATTTCGTTGACTGATCCGTCTTCTGCGACCAGAGTTAAATGATGCTGACATATGTCACCGCACCAAATTGCGGGAATTGATCCTCAATGCTTTCAATGAGTACTTTGAGGTCTTAAAGAGCGACCTCTCAGTAAGTGTACTACTGTTGAGAGTCACACAAAGGGTCTTATTTTATACATATAGAAGGCACAGGGAAAGGTCTCGTTTACCTCCGACCTCTGGTCAGACTCTAATCTCCGCCCATTTATGGCAATTACAGCTCATTGGATCACCAAAGAAGATTGGACTAATGTTCTCGTCTTAAAGGCAGCATTGATAGCTTTCCAGCATACCCCAGGGACTCACTCGGGAGATAACCTAGGCGCATCCATAGTGGGCCTCCTTGATCGTGCCAATGTAACAAAAAAAGTCAGTATCTATTTGTTCAATGTGACATGCACTGACTTCATTTAGTCGGGTCATTTCACTCTCGATAATGCTGGAAACAATAACACCTCTATGCAAGAGTTATCACACCTATTGGAGTTACACGGTATTCAATTTCATCCTGTTGAAAACAGGATCCCGTGCTTTCCTCACATCATCAATATTTGTGTGAGGCATATTCTCGATGAGTACTGGAAAGCCGACTTTTCAGATGTGGTCAGCAGATGGGTAATCGAAGGTAAGACCATTGAGAAAGACATGTATGTTCAAGCCATCCAACTCAAAGCTCTGGACCGCGCGAGGCTCCTCATATGCACTATCCGTTGTCCTGCATGATGTGGGAATCATGCATGGACATGAATACTAGGTGACCCTCAAAAGACAAAGTCTGTTAGCTTAGTCCTCAGACTAGCCAACCCATACCTTGGTTTCAAACCATGGTTCATATTTCCAGTTTTCCCCAAGTTTCATGATCTGAATATGTTTTGACGGAAAAAGTCTAATGTGAGATGGGAATCACATTTAGACCTAGTTGATGTGAGAAGAGAAATGGAGGTTAAGGTATAGCCTTGCCTTTGGCTTATTCACTTTGGCTAGAGAAAACCACAGAGAAAAGTACAAAGCCTATAAAAAACCTATCCAAAAAGACCGTGTTTCAATTCCTGCCAACTGTCTTATTTTTGCTACCTACTTTTCTCTAGTGTTTCTTTACTTTACTTTTTCATTAGGATGCTTTGACTCACCTGACACTTCATAAAATTGTACCCATAGGGTATGATGTCATTATGATGTCATAAGACTCCACAGATACTCCTGCAGGTATTCTGTTGAAAGATATTATGTCATCAAGCTCTAGATTATTCTACTCTACAATGACATCATTCATGATGTCATTTCCTTCTAGAATATTCTGCTCCACAATGACTCACTCTGACTCACTCATGGAAGGTTCTGGAATCTTTTGCTCCACAATGATGTCACTCTTGATGTCATTATGATGTCATTACTCCACATTCCAGAATGTTCTGCTCCACAATGATGTCATAGCTCCATCTTTCACTTGTATTTTATTCTTTTATTGGGTTTGACCCAATATTTTGATTGGTCCTCCTTATTTTTTATTGTTTGTGAACCTAGGTTACTTTCCCACACAAAATGTATATAAGGAGAGCCCATTCTCCCCCAAAAAAATATGATCTCCCATTTGTAGCAATCTGCCTCAGATATTTCACTTGCAAAGTTGGTCCCTTTGAAGTGAGACAAGTGCAGGGAAAAGAATTCCCTTGAGATTATAAGTTTCTTACCTTAGAAACTTATTAGTGCTATAGACCAAGTGTTCTTGGTCACATATATTGTCTTTGAGACCCCTTTGTCTCATTGCTCTGTGCCCTTTGACTAAGCGATCTTAGTCATCTATCATATTGTTGAGACCACGTCTCACTAGTTGTCCCATAGACCAAGCAATCTTGGTCAAGTTATAGTCCCCTTTGTTCAAGCGATCTTGAACATATATTGTATATTTGAGACCATTTGTCTCACAGTCAGGTGTCCATAGACCAAGCGATCTTGGTCATATTTTGTATATTTGAGACCACATCTCACTAGTTCCAGTATCCAAGTCCAGAGCCTAGAAGGAGATTTCCTAGGCAAATACATTCCAGAAACCGAATTACGTGTCTAGAAGCTTATTCCTAGACAAGAGATTTGAGTTTCAATAAAGAAAAGTAAAGCTCCGGCTAGGTTGATCTTTATAAAAAGATTAGTTTAGCGAGCCTCCCAAGAACTCACACGTTATCTACCATGAAATAGGAAAAGTCGTAGACCGTGTTAATTGAGGACTGGCAAGCAGTCTTATCCAAAGTGTAATTGTGGTGTCATTACATTTACATGACTTTATATAAGACCCTCGGTTATTAAGACACCGTGCATCAGACAAACGACATAGTAGTTTTAGGGTAATCATTACCACAGGAAATGACGAGAAGTGGTTCCAAGATGACTCAGGTGCAAACATTCAACTCCCTGTTGTGCAACTTCTGCATGATGAGCCCACACGTTGGGACTCAGCATATGTTATGCTGAACCGTTTACGAACACTTCGTCAGGTAAGCATCCACCCAGCCTAATTACATGGACTAACAGTGAACTAGGCTGTAGATTTATTCTGTGACTCCCCCCTTCAATGCCACATGATTGACAAGAAGTTGAGCCCAATGGAATGGCTCGTCTTACAGGACCTTGAAGTGATTTTGGAGGTCAGTACTCACATATTTTGGGCTCACAATCTGATTAATCATTATATATCAGGCACCGCATGCTGCTCAGCAAACAATGTCCAGCGAAAGCACTCCCATACTGAGTGGTGCGGTTCCTGCTTTCGAGAGCATGACCAAGCGGTGGAGTGAGTTGGTTCTTATACCACACCTTGCACCTATAGTCAATATAGGGTTGGATTGGGCGGACAAGTATGATGACCGCATGGGCGCCACAAAGACCTATGCTGTCGCAATGTGTAAGTCCCGCTCACTGTAATCAAGTTTGATTCTCATTTTTTCACTCGTAGTCATTGATCCTGCAATGCGCTTGTCATGGATAGAAAAGCACTGGGCCCAGCAGCAAACTGAAGGTGCCAAGAAGCACATAATCAAACTGGTACATCTGTTTCACTAGTAACTGTACAACTTTGAACTGATATCCTGCAGATGCATGAAAAGAGAGGGGACATTTCTGGCTCTGCGCCATGTCCAACTGCCGAAGTACCACGACAATCAGGTACACTAGGGGCACATATCTACGGACTTCCCGATGTACAAACACGGCCAGAACACCATGATGGTGTCCAAACGGTTGAGCAGGAGCTCGAGGCTTACAGTACAGCTACCCACAGCCCCAAGGGAACAGATATACTGTCATTTTGGAGGGTAATTTTGTGTCGTTCTCACACATTTTCATTGATCATAAAGTGTCAACCAGGCATCTCAGGGCATGTTCCCGACTATTTACGCTATCGCTATGGACTACCTCCCAATACAGGCATCCGCTGTTCCATGCGAGCGGGTGTTCTCATCAAGTAGCGAGACATACACAAAGAAAAGAAATCGCCTCAGCCCAGTTCTAATGGAAGCGCTACAGATTGTTAAGTTTATCCTGAGAAAGGAGAGACTTAACTTTACCAGAGGATGGGCAGCATCACAGCAAGATATGGAATATGCGCTGCTTCGTGAGACAGCATCTGATGGGTCCTTCGCACTTGACACCAGTGGAACTTCAGGTGACAATTTCACACATGATGCTCTGCTCAATGCTATTGCCGTCCAGGAGTGCGATAACATTGACGATGCTGCTACCATCTATGGTATATTGCAATGATTGTTCTCATTTTCATCAATTCTTGTCTCTTGCTTCTTGTTTACCTTGTTCTGGCGCTTGTCCTTTGTACTATCTTCCCGCTATTAGGTTCATAATTGGATTGATTTCAAATTTTTAAATCATTTCTTCTCTTGAATGCATCTTTCACATTCTCCCGTACAGCACAAAGGGTGATGAGGATGCATGATGGATTGAGGTTTCTGTAATGCGCTTACTTCTACTAATAGGGCAAGCGAAGTCCTCCAGCTCAATGCTTGGAGGACCCGCATTCATTGCCCTAAACTCACCATACGAGTGCCTATCACCAGTGCAAGTTGATTCATTGAGTTTTAATAGATTTAAACAAGTTGAATCAATGACTCGCACTCGGCTTTGGCCGAGTCCTAGGTCTGTGCGCATATTTGTCACTGATTGTGACATATGCCTGTGACTAGGTCTCCTAAACTCTTTTTTTTTTTCAGGTGACCAGTAAAACGTGGCACTTTTTCCTTGTGTGCTTATGTAAATCGAGGAAAAAGTGCTAGCCAATATTCTTCTCCTCTGCTTCGCAGATGACACGTAGACTGAAAATTATATCAGTACTATTGGTATTAGGTATGTCGCTATCGTTTGTTCGTATTACTCTTCTATTTTCTCTACCTACCATGTCTTTGCTGGAGTTCCTTATGGGAACCTTGAGCCATTGTTGCTCTGGCATTGCATGGGAGGCGGTCTTCGTGTCTAGCGTCTTTATAGACGTGAGACCGTCGTCGACAGTCGCACGATGTACCGTTTGTTTGCCCAAACCCATCATACTTTTGCCGTACTCCCTCATGGAACCATTGATATCTACTGACTTTGTATCATTCAACAGTTCTGTCTCCTCTGTCTTGCAGATGACACATACACCGAGAGTTATATCAGCATTATTGGTGTTAGGTATGTCACTACTCTAGAGCCTATTCCTAGCTATCTACTGACGTGGTATCGTTCAACGGTCACCTCTTCCCCTTCGCTGTCGATAGCTGCAACCTTGGAATCGGTCGTAACACTGTCGCAAAGGTCAAGTCCTTCTGTCGATTCTCATGGTGGTCGACGTGCGAGTTCTCTCAATGTTCCGTCACCTCATCAGCGCTCTTCAACATCCACCTTCATCATTATGGTGCAGGAAGGTTACATGGCACACCTCAATTGTTACAAGGTTTTTGTTGACAGCGAACCCGAGCTCAGGCGTGTTTATCAGAGCCGGGAAAATCCTACTCGGCCACCCTCCTCGACACCTTCTGACTCGGAAGAAGGTGAAGTAGAAGAGGAGAATCCAGATGATCTGGCCGCACGTGAGCTTTATATAGTTCCTTCGACGGGTGCTGTGCTCGCATACGGTTCTGCTATCAGTCTACTCAACTATCTCTGTTGCCTCATTCCCCATGACGCATTCACGCCAACCCCACTTCTGAAGTACAGCGGTGACTATGCCACTGTGCTTGAGCTGCCATCCAGCCTTCCTCTTCCCATCGACAAATTGATCTTCCGTGGACCACCCCGATGTTCCAAGCGAGAAGCCCGACGTGCAGTAGCATTCATGGCTGTCAAGGAGCTTCATAAACTTGGGGTATTCAATGACTACCTTCTTCTGTCAGCTGGCTCCAAGGGTAGGCACTTAGAGGATGCCGACGGAAGAAAGCTTTTGGATGTGAGTGATGTACCCGACATCATAGATGTTCCGGTGCAGGATTCTTGGGCTCTGGGGCCGCGGCTGAGGATGCACGTCATTTCCATCGACAGTGTTGACGTTGCAGGACTCGTCACTGGCACGGAGTCACCAGCGCTAGAGATCATGAGTGAGGGCTGTCTTGTCACAATGTGATGCACTGACGAACTTGTATTTGACGAGGACGAAGAATGGGAGAAGTTGGAGATGCTCAATGAGTATACCAAAATGGGCATATGGTTCTGCATCACTGGCAGGCCCATCACTCTCCCTATCACTTGTTTCCTCGTTCCACTGACTCCTCACAACTGTATCGACTTCGACGCAGTGGAGCGTGTTGACAAGTATAAGCGTCAAATGACACATCTGGGACTGCTTGTCCCTCAAGGGGCCTGTCGACGCACATATTTCTCGGAAAATGTATACCATGCATTTCTCTTCCTTCCACGCATATGCCGCCATGCTACAGACCTATACCGTGCTCACGAAGAATGGTTTGAGCTTGGGTTACCTGCCATTAAGGACGAGCTTCTCATTGAGGCGTCGACCTTGCCCACGACAAGTGCAAAGTGGAATAACCAGTGTTTGGAAACACTGGGAGACTCCGTTCTCAAGCTTGCCGCCACCGTTCATGTCATGAACAAGTACCCCCACCGGCATGAGGGGCAGCTGTCTCAGCTCTGCCAGAACAGTGTGTCCAAACGGACTCTGCTGGCAAGGGCATTGGAGATTGGCCTTGAGAGGTACCTCACCTCGGAAGGTCAGAGTCTCCATGTATGGCGCCATACTATCGCAGAAGATGGTGATCACATGGAGCCTTTTACTTCTGCGAGAGGGCATGCTCATGGAGCATACCCTTGTCGAAGCTTACAAGACTGTATGGAGGCAACATTAGGAGCTGCCTTTTTGCATGGTGGGATGGATATGGCACTCCGTGCGGGAGATGCCCTAGGTATGACTGTGGGTGGCACTATTCCCTGGACGCTGCGATACTCTTGTCCACCGGAACCGTTGCCGGTGCCACCTCTTTTCAATGACCTTCAAGTCAATCTTGGATACGAGTTTCATTGGGGTGATCTTTTAATTGAAGCTGCAACCCACCCCTCTTTCGCAACTACTGCTGGATCATCTTATCAGCGATTGGAATTTCTGGGCGATGGTGAGCAAACTCGATGCCTTGCTTCTGAGCCAGTAACTGATGATCTGCTAAGCTGTCATTGACCTCGTCGTCATGAAGTATTTGTTTAACAAGTTCCCTGAAGCCAACTCAGGTCAACTATCAGCTGCTCGCTCGCGAGCTGTATGCGGGCCAACCCTAGCCTCTGTCGCTGTGAGACGGCTCGGGCTTCACAAACATCTGCTTATCAACAATGTTGAACTAAGCACTGCGATCACAAGACATGTTCCTTTGCTTACGTCTCTCTCCCCTGAGGATACTATCAGCAAGGGATGGAAATATGACCCACCGAAAGCACCGAGTGATGTGCTGGAAAGTATTGTTGGAGCAGTCTTAGTTGACACCCGTTTCGACTTTGAGAAAACAGCGGCCATAGTTGAAGCGGTGATCAGCGATGTGCTGGAAGTCCTCATGACAGATCTTCCTCGGGACCTTGTGTCTGAGTTGATGGTCTGGGCAGCTGCAGTGGGATGCAGGCGGATATCCTTCCAGTGAGTTTCCTGGATATGCTTGTAGGACCCTCATGACTCTTTCAGGAAGACACAGAGCAATCCCAAGCTCCGGCAAAATGATAGCGTTTCTGTGGTTGTGCATGACGTAGTTGTTGTCGGCCCTATTACAGCCACCAACCTGTCTTTGTCGAAAGGTCTTGCAGCGGAACCTGCAGGCACTGTCTTGGCTGACCCAACATTTGACAAGTCTCTTGAAAAGTCGTGCAATTGCATGTGGGACTTGGCTGCTACTCTCCCAGAAGTAGCAGAGGCTATCGTCGCTGATGATGCCACAGCTCCCTTGAAGCTCACTGATGAGACCGAAAAAAGCTTTGCTACCATCAGACGTTGCAGGACTTGGACATTGGTGGGAACAAGAGAACTGATTGGCATTGAAATCACCAGAGCTGAGCCCTCCGCATTAGAAAAAAAGATTTGCAAATGAAAAGGGAGCTATTGTCACCGTATACCTTTCTGCACATGGTGCTTCGAGGAGATGGATTACATAGGACGGTCGCCGTAGGTCCAGACTTGAACGATTGCACGTAAAATTATCTGGCTTCAAGACCCTAAAATCACACGAAGATCCCAATGAAATTGCCGAAGCAGGTAGCGGGTTTTGCCACTTTAGCTGGCGCTATAGCTTATATTATTAGCTAGCTTGAACCAGCTGCAACCTTCTAACCATTGTTGTATCAGCCGAGTTAAACCTAAATTATGTAAGCTGTAGCCTGTATGTGTTCTGGTTAAGCCACAATGTTCGAACCAGCTTTAGCCAGAATTAGCTGGAGCTCCGGCATCACTAATTACATTGGTCACATTCATGCCGTGATCTCGTACAAAACGATACACTGCGCTTCCGGACCCTGTTGCATATAAGAAGCAATAGGTTAACGATCGATAACAAAGTCCTCCAATGATCTCTTACGTGACATAGGTATTTTATATAGTTACAATTGGAATATCAGGTCTCATGATAAACACATCTCAAACGGGCACAATAACATCTTCCTCGTGTTCTTGAAACTTGATTCATCATGCGCCAAGTTGAGTGGATGCGTGTCATGGAGCGTGGAAAATCGAACTACCTGCTCTGCACAGAAAAGGGCACACCCCGGTCCTTGAGATATCCTTCTAAGTGCTGATGGTTTGGATCTTGTTCTCTGTGCAGCGCCAATGAGCTGTCAGGAACAGCTTATATCAATCAACTCACCCAGCCGATCTTCACGCCAAAATCATAAAATCTTGCAAGGTCTGTTCCTCTTAGCATCGCATAGCGTCAGGGCATCCAGTATCAAACATGACATTGCCATTGAGTTTGTGTCAAGAGATTGTCTCAATCTCCCGAAGGAAGATCCACACCTCCATATCAATCATTGTGCTTGTTCATGTGTCCGAATCACATTCGGCAGGCTTCATGTGACGGTGAATAAGTTACACAGTAGATTCCAATGGACCCTGTCTGTAGTGGTACTATGCATCAAGTCATTTCAATATTGCTTCTTCATGAACACATTGCAGTATGATGCAGATTGAAGCACAGACGTTCAATGGCCTACCAAACCAATACGTAGAGGATTCTGCTCGTGATGACTGTGTTGACAGAATCTCCAGCTCAAAATTTTTTACATCCAGGTGAGCATTTTACCGCACACCGCTCTGAAGCTATGTACAAAACCCCACTCGGCATCCAAGATTGAAATTATCATCCAGTGGCAGATAGTTTGTAGTGCCGCAGAGTTCAGAATGTTGTATAGTAGGCGAGAGGCTGGTGAAAATGCCTGTGGGATTGTAAGGCCCAAAGATCTAGTACAAAGATCCTAACAAGAACACTTCGTTTGGAGTAGGTGTAGGCATGGATGTAAGCACTGTCGGGCCAGGACCAGAGAGATGTATCTGACAATTTTCGCGGACTATTACAGGGTTACGGTATCGTGCCGTAGGATGATAGGAATGTGATGGCTGGTCTACAGACCAACATCTCCTCAAGTCGACAATTATAATGCATGGCTGCTGGCACAGTGATACTGATATTTTAGCATCGTGAGAATCAGGAAACGGGTACGACTCGGAATTACTCCGACTTCCTCAGAGTCCTTTCCTTAGACCAGGCCAGAACCGACACCATAAACATATCATAGCTCACATCGAATTGACAACAATATCCGTGTTTCTTTTCGCTCAGTGTACACTGTCATCATCGCGAAGTTGTCACCTTTCCGACTGTTCGTCACTTACGTTAATTGCGTGTCCAGCCCGCAGACGAAGTGCAACTGCACAACCACAAATCGGGCAACACGCCCACGGTCCACCGATGATACGCACTTGGCTTGAATGGCTCCATTTCCGTGGGGAAGGCTACAGGAACAAAATAATGCGAATTGACGGAGACACAGAATATGTTCTTCATACAAGTACACTATTCCTTTCTATCTATGAATTGTCCATGAACAACATTATATTTTCTCATTCCTCACCCCTGGATACAGCGATAATTGTGCGTTTATAAGGTGTTCACAGATGGTTATTCCCAGGGATGTAGCCTGGAGATGGTTTTCTGCAAACACCTTATCGTCTGTTCTGTCACAGTGGTTACCTTCACGACATTTGACTGGTTGAATTGAAACCTACAGATGACACCGGTTGCACGACGCAGATTGGCCTCCACTGATACTTGGTTGACGATTGGTCCGGATCCACTGTTCTGTGTGCAGATGTATGATCATTGTGCGTTACTCCTACTCCCATCTCTTAACACTCTTCACTCCACTCACCACTATGCACATCCTCAATCCTCCTTCTTTCGCCGCAACAGCATGTCTGGTTGTCTACAGTCATGCGCACAAAATAGATCAATGTCTCGTCCTTGCACAACCCCGCTAGTATTTACTTATTAATCAGTGTCGACTCGAAAGGATGCTGGAGATCAGCTATGATAGAGGCGAAAAGGAGATTTTGAAAAAAAAAAAAGCAGCATCAAGGCTTTTAGTATTAGGCATGATTACAGTCCTTCCGGAAAGTCTTGACTCACGTGTCCGAAATGGTTCAAAAATAGTGAAAATGTCGAAAATTCAATTAAATCACTTTCGAGTTTTGTATGCCTCTGAACGGCTTCAAAGATATCATATCTCACACATTTGTCACTCAGACTCGTCATGGTCTACCAGAGTATCAGTCGCGATCAGAAAGAATGAGCCCTGTACCTGCTTTTGGAGGAAGGATGGGACATTGAGCACATTGCTGTTGCTCTCGGAGTATCGCCCAGAAGCATAGAGCGGTGGAAGGTAAATTATGATGAACATGGTCATGTTAACCCCCCTACACCAATCATGGGTCGCCCTCACTTGCTGGATCAAGTTATGACAGACGAGATCCACGAGCTGCTAGCTGAAACCCCGTCACTGCTACTTGACGAGATCAGTGAATGGCTCGCCATATACCACGATCAGCCTATATCGACGTCAGCTCTCCACAAAAACCTCAGGGACCTTGGTCTCACCTACAAACACTTGAACAGGGTCGCGGCCGAATGTGATGATGGTTTCCGAGCTGATTGGTTGCACAATATGACAACCAACTATACAGCTGAGCAGCTTGTGTTTCTGGACGAGTCAAGCAAAGATGACCGCACCATACTCCCTAGATATGGTTGGTCGCTCAGTGGACAAGCCCCCTTTGACAGGGTCCGCTTGAACAGGGGCATTTGATACAGCGTGCTGCCGGCTCTCACCATTGACAGCTATATGACTGTCTGAGTCATTGAGGGATCTATAGACAGCGCAGAGTTCTATGATTTCGTTGTCAATGACATAGCAAGTATATCCTTTTCAGTGTCTGAATTTTCGCTGATTGAATCCGCTGTAGTTGCCCAATATGAACCCATTCCCGAGCCCCAATAGCGTGATTGTCCTCGACAACTGTTCCACTCATAAGAGTGATGCCTTATGAGAAGCTGTAGAGGCATCCGGTATGTCAAATGCTATTTTACTTCGCCTGCAAGTATCTGACACCTTCGTAGGTTGTTTACTTATATTTCTGCCGCCATACTCTCCAGATTTCAATCTGATCAAGGAGAGCTTCAGTTGCTGTACATTCGACTACATTTCATTTTATTCTGTCGCTCACACTTCCGCTACAGTGAAGAAGTGGCTTCAATGGCATTGGAGAGATCTCCAACACAGCCAATTCCCTGAGCAGGACCTTCGTGAAGCTTGCTTCAGGGCCGTAAATGCCAAAAATGCTCGAGGCTGGTATATGCATAGTGGCTATCTGTAGCACGGACAATATTACGCGGAGGGGAGTAGCTAATAGCTGCATTTACGGGGTAACAATATACGGGTATGAATATCTACGAAGTTTGTGTAAGATTATCAGAGTTTAACAAATGGTAGATGTGCGAATAAATGGTGGGGATATCACATTGTAGATCTCGAGTGCAGTCCTGAGATGACCTAGACAAATGGGTTTTCTGCTTTGCTGGCGACATAGGCATTCAAGATACGTATGCGAGCGAGCGGAGGCACTGCAGCCCATTCCCAAATATCAGCACCTAAAGCATCCAGCTTGTCGCCAACTTTGAAGCCGAGCTTTTTAAGACTCTGGCAGTCCTTGTCGTCCAGAGCATATTTTTGACACCATTCCTCCACCGGATTCTTGGTAACCTGTGCCGGCGCAGCTGAAATGCTGGCAGATGCACCGAAATGCTGGTGTGTGCAGCCCAGCCCCACATGGTGTGCTACTGGACTCGGAGTGGGTGGTACAAATTGCTGCATGTGTAGAGGGTACATGTTCCATGGTACGAAAGGGTACAATGGGGATGAAAATTGCTGCAGCGAAGGGTTTGGGAGGTTCCATGGTGACATTGAAGGGAAGAACGGCTGGACAGACATGTTCAAAGCATGAGGAGTCTGTGGTGTCTGAGGCAGGGTCAAATCCTTGATGCGATCCTTAGGATTGAAGAAATTGCTGCCAATGGGAATTCGCCCATACGAGGTTTGCTTGCAAAGCTGGCAGCTATCATATATGAGTGTCACAATAGACAATGATGATGTACATACAATGGAATTCACCCAAACTTTCATTCTATTGGAGTTCAAGTCAAAATGCCAGCCTTGTGGTTCTTGAACATAGCAGCAGATTGAAGGGTGAGTTGCACAAGTACCAATCTCGTGCTCGTCGTTAAGTCTCTCCAGGATTGGTGTGATTTGATCATCAAATTAAAGCTGCGCATCATTTCAATGTCAGCAATTTCACTTGCTGTCACCGTGAGCACTCACTTTTCTCCCATACAAGCTACCATCATCTTGACGTTTTTCAGGAATATCCAGAATCGGAACAGGTGCAGCTTGACGTCCGTGTTTGGTAGGTCTTGGAGTCGCGAGTGCAACAATGATGATTGTGGAGTCTGGATCTCTCATTCCTCGAATCTGCTTCTTCATGGTTTCA